GAATTCGATTTACATGTGTAAGAAATCTGTCCATTTACGTTTTCATTTCAATCTCCATCTTAACGCGGGCTTAATAACCATTTGAAGTCATTATTAATCGCAATTACCATAACCATATGTCAGTTCTCTGTCACATGACTCTCGGGGGTGGTGTTACTTTTTTTTGGAGGGGGAGATTGTCTGGGCAAGGTGCCAAAACCGGTTACTGCCCACAAATAATTTTTCGCTGTCATCATCGACTCAATAAGCACCGCTAACCAAACGGGGCAACAAGTTGGAAAAAACTTAGAAAATGGTAATAAAAAAGTGGGTAAAGAAAAATGTACTTTTGTGGTAATAGGTTAGGTCTTTGGCTTGTCCCACACATATACAGATGCAAAGATTCAAATACTGAGATACAAATATGTAGCTACACTTAAGCAAAAAGACCCCATAAATCTTACAAGTCGCTTTAAAGGTTAAATTTCTTTTAAATTAAATTTTCTAAATTACAATCTAGTTTTTGCAAAAGCTTTGAGTAGTCTGAAGTTGAATTCAACTAATCGAAAAAATAGATAATGAGATAAAATATTTAACTATCACAATTTAGAATTGAATATAAATTTAAATAAATTAGATGTTTCATTTCCCCAGTTCCATTTTAAAATTGCTATGTACACGTATTTATTAAGAAAAGAAAGATGCATCCAAAGCGCATGCATACGTTATGTTTTATAAAAAATATGTTGTTTTATCACTAATTGGTTCATTTTCTATGAGTGTACTTAGCTACAGATACATGTCATTAAACTGGGCGGCCTCAACACTGGCACAAGGTAAGGGGTCCGACTTGGCCCGGCTAAAAAGTCTTCTTCGGGCACACTGATCTCTAGACTCCTCCTTCTCCCCAGCCCGTGTCATGGCACATTTTCACATTTCTCTCGCCATTTCTCCTCCCATCCTTCCCAGCCCCTTTCTCTTTTCTCGCTTTTCGCCGACGGGCGCATTATTCATGCCAATTTCTACAAGTTTTTTCACAATTGTTCTGCGTCTGTTATTTGTTCTTAGTATAAGTAGACAATGTAGATACTTGTAGATATGTACTTGGATTTATACACGTTTTAAGTCTCCTATTTTACTTGTTTCATCCCTTCTCTAGCCTGTGATTTATGTAGGGTAAATGTGGGTATTTTAAACTACTAAATCGTTTTTGGAAAAGTTTAAGGGTAAGCAACGCAGGTTACATAAAAGAGGCTGTCGAATCGGTTTGGACTACATTGATCTAGACTTGTTCTACATTTCTATAAGAAATGTGTCAATGGTTGACTAACATATATGTAGTAATTAGGTTTTTTTTTTATGGATTTTTGTTATTTTTTAATATGCCTGAATGATTTTAATTAATATTACTAAATAATGAATCATGAAAAGTATTTTCACAGTTAGAATGTATAATTTAACTCTGAGGGTGAATAATAATACGCTTTGTACATGAGTGAGTCCCCGTAATATTAAGAATTAAGAATTAAGAGTTTCCCGGGGCAATCTTAAATGCATGTAAAGATGAATAAGCGGGTTAAAAATAAGTTAAGTAAGTGAGCCATCAATGAATGAAGTAATTAGAGTAGAGTATCCCCCGTGTCGAATTGGCTTACCAGACTTGTTGCACGGTTTTGTGGGTCTCTCTTGCAACTGCCACTGTCTGCCACTGTGCATTCCTGGCAAACTGGGCCAACGTCTGCTTATGGCCAAATGCGAGTGAACATGCCCCACATTCCCCCACCGATGTGCACTTAACTTTTGTTTGTTTGCACTTCGCTGAACGTTCCGTTTCATTTCATTAGATTGCAGTTCATTCCTTGCTCCGATCCCGAACAGCTGTGCGATGTTGTCATCCATTTCAGCCATCCTACGGCCCACATCCTACGCCCAAATCTGCACATAAAACACACCAAAACAAGACATTTTCCACTGTGGTCGAGGTCGTTGCTGTTTCTGTTTTTATTTCTATTTCTCTTGCTGTTGCCAGACACCCAAACTGGTTAACCGAAAGTTACCCTAAAGTTAAGCCCACGTTTAAATGCAGCTTTTGACAAACTGCACTCAACAAAATTATTTAAATTTACCATGAAAAGCAATATGTTTAAGAGGAATTCAAGACAGATATTATAAATTTGTAATATAAGCCCATTAAAATAATGAGATTATTATTTAATTTTATATATTTTTGTGATAAAATATGTGTATATTTGTTATTTGAGGTCCTCGCAATTTTATCTTTATGTCTATTGGAATATAACTCCAAATAGATTAAGAACATTAAGAACACTTTTATTTCCTGTGTGGCTAGTAAACCCATATGGTCAAAAACCTCTGATTAACATTGATTGGCCGATTTATTAACCTTTTCGTGGTTACACGTTTACGTTTAGCCATCTTAAAGCTCTTTTGACCCATTTTTGGGCTGTGGTCGAGATCCCCCGCGTAGAAGAGTTAAACGCACATGTTGCATGGGTGGTTGCTATCGAAATAGGTATACAAAAATATATATAGACAAGTCTGGGCGTACAAATATGAGTTTTGGCAAGAGATCGCGAGAGGAAAAAATAAGAGAAGGCAGGTTGGAGCGACGTCAGCTTTTAAATAAATGACAAAATCTGCAGAGACAGACGTTCCACATATACAGGCTATATGTACGCGCCTCTAAATATACATATGAGAAGAAAATTACCAAAAAAAATTTGGTGACGCAAACTGTGACAGACATTACACATGGCCAACAAAAAACTAGAAAGAAAACCTCAAAACGGAAGTGACCGGCCACAACTGTCCTTGTTTGGTTCACCTCAATGAACTGATAAGAATTTCGGCCATGGCAACCAAATAATCACAATATCTTTTTGATATTTGGTTTATAGTTCGCTATTTGATTAAAAGTTTTTAATAAGACAATCTAAAACTGAATCTGATTGACTCAGACATCCACCCACTTAAGTTCCCCATTCAAAGATCCAACCAACTAGGGAAGTAATGTAAACAAAGACCTTAACCAGAAACAAAACCGCTTGGTTTCAATTACGAAAATGGTCATTAAAACGTCTTAAGGCGTCAACCAGTTTGTTGGTTAAGCCATATAGCCAAGAGGTATGGTGTGTGTGTTTTGGCCTTAAAAGGTTCATGCGGTGGAGCTGCACTTGCTGGAATTGTGCGACATACTCTTGGCTAAAGAAGAGAACTTTGACTTGTTCATAAGTCCCCCTAAAATTGCTGTAAATATTGTGGCAATTTAACCACTTGTAAATCCAATTTAACTGATTGCTGGCACTTTAGGTATTAGCATAACATCACAGAACTAGCCTATAAAATACTCGTAGCTATTTTAAAGAAATCGCAGATAAGATATGCTCGTGTAAGGGCATTTCATGTTCTTGTTCATCGGGCGTTTCTTCTATCGTTTTGACTTGGCTAATTCAGTATGCGTGCCACATGTCGTGGCTCATTTGACAATCGCTCATAACGGGGCTTAAGCGAGTGGTCAAAAAATACGTTCAAAACAAGCAACAACCTGCCGTCAGAGGAAGTCGAATTCATAACTTCCTACCGACTCGGCTCATATGTAATTACACAAAAAAAAACATATTTTCAAATTCAATTGTTAAAATTAAAATAACATTAAACTTTGTCACATTTACTTTTGGTTAATGATAGTTATATAAAAGCACTGTTACTGTTTATTAACTGTTTAGTATTAAATATAAAAGGTAAAAAATATGTTAATCTGATGACTATCTAGAATTAACAGTCAGAATTATTTGCAATTTTTTGTAAATGAATAGATTATTATTATTTTACTGTGTTTTTTTCTGTGCATTTATTTAAATGGGCATGAACACCTGAGAAATAAATGCAGGTATATCTAATTATCTATCTGCCGAGTTGTGCGCAAATTTCAATTAGCCAACCTTGTTATCTGCTGCCGACTTTTTTTTTGGCCAGTTCAGATAGGACTGGTATGGCCTCAAATATTTGGCCAGCAATTGTTGAATCTCGGCAAATAGAGTATTTTCCGCTTATCGCCGGCTATCTCAGAGCACGTTGCGTATACGCACAGATGGCCGAGAGCAAGTCACTCTGAATCTCGAGGCGTGGGCGATTCTGTAAAGACGATGACGAAAACTGTTACAAGGCTACCTTTTCAATGTGTACAGCGACTAAAAACACATTCCAAGGCACCCTGCCTTCATTTCCTGCCTGCCGCCTCATTCATCTTTTCTCACTGTTTTGTTCTTTAATTGGTCGTCGAAAAGCCATTAACTGTGGCACGGATAAGTGCCACAAATTGACCGGAGGCACAAAAAGAAATAAGTATAACATCGTTCTTAACCCAAATGCCGTTGACAGCGGCATTTTAACACACATTCAAGTGGATAAACTTTTGCCAGCGATAAGCTAGATTGCGGAGATCCGTATGTGCCAACAGATTTAGCGAGTTTTTCTATTTTCCGACACCAAAACGAACAAGAAACAGACCAAGAACCAGCCGCCAGCAATTGCCAAATAATTCTATTTTATTTATACATTTTGGGCCAGTTGCGGTGCCGTTGAGTGGAATAAATGAGTGAATTTAAGCCGAGTTTAATGCTGCCCACATTCCAAACATTTTTGAAATCAAAATGCTGCTATTGACCGACCTTGCCTTGCCCACACAAAGTGAATAAAAAACTCATTCAGAGTTTGAATGCAACTCCTCCTACAATTTCGAGTGCCCATAAAAGCTATATTTATATAAACATATGTTTTCTAAATAAGAATTTAAAAATTTGTTGTTCGTGTCTTAAATTAAAAACAGGTGAATTTGTACTCTCAATTTACATGAAAACGAATCGCAATTAAAGTAACTTTTTTATTGGAAGCTATTGAGATTTATTATTTCTTAGCTTTAACGTTTCCACATTTAGATTAATTTTAAATTACGTTGAACGTTTTTCTTGAATCATACTTAACCAGTTTTATTCTTACAGATTCTACAGAACTTGGGCAAAGTTGATCGGACCGCAGACGAAATCTTCGACGATCACCTGAACAACTTCAACCGCCAGCAGGCGAGTGCCGCCAGGTTACAAAAGGAGTTCAATAACTACATAAGATGTGTTCGTGGTAAGTCCGTTAGATTACATCTGTAAGGTTAAGAACACATTTAATCTGAGATATATCCTAAATTCCGACAGCTGCACAAACCGCCTCCAAGTCGCTGATGGATGCCGTTGGCGAAGTCTACGAGCCACAGTGGAGCGGATACGATGCCCTGCAAGCACAAACTGGCGCCTCTGAGAGTTTGTGGGCCGACTTTGCGCACAAATTGGGCGATCAAGTGCTCATACCGCTTAACACATACACCGGACAGTTTCCCGAAATGAAGGTGGAATTTATTTAAAATCGGAGTTTGAAATAAGTGTACTAATATTGTTCTTTGTAAATATTCCAGAAAAAAGTGGAGAAGCGCAACCGCAAGCTGATTGACTACGATGGCCAGCGTCACTCGTTCCAAAATCTGCAGGCCAATGCCAACAAGCGCAAAGATGATGTCAAAGTGAGTGCTTTGATAAATTTGTTGAACTGTATTTTTAAATAATTTTTTTACAATTAGCTAACCAAAGGACGCGAACAGCTGGAGGAAGCCAGACGCACCTACGAAATCCTGAACACGGAACTGCACGACGAGCTGCCTGCCCTATATGACTCAAGGATACTGTTTCTGGTCACCAACTTGCAGACCCTTTTCGCCACAGAACAAGTGTTCCACAACGAAACGGCCAAGGTGGGGTTTGGCTACTAATAGCTCAAAAAATAAAACATAATCTTAATGGTTCCAAACATGAAATATAGTAGATTAAAATTAAAACCAAATTGATATGATCAGTAAAAAAAATCTACATAAAAAAGCCAGATAAATGTTAAATTTGTTAAATAAAATGATGTATTGAAAATCATAAAATTTAAACTAATTATAATATTACTTTGATATTTTCTTTTTATGTTCATATATATTAAACTACGAAATAAAACTTGTTTCCTACTTTTCGATTGCAGATCTATTCGGAGCTCGAGGCAATCGTCGACAAACTGGCCACAGAATCGCAGCGTGGCTCCAATACGCTACGCAAACAAACTAGTAAGCATTATCAACATTTAATTACGTTTCAGCGACTATAATTATTTGTTTATTATTTTTAAAACAGGCAATCCCATCAAGACATCGAGTCCAGTGCAGTCGCCAGTAAACAAATTAAATAACGCCAACATCAATAGCAACTATCAGAATCAAATTACCACAAACGGTGGCTCCAGTTTGGCAAACAGCCGTAAGTCACCATTACCAGGTTTTTTATCCGCTTTTCCCTATATCTTTTTATATCTTTCTCACGAGAACCCTAAGTATTTTCTGTTATTTATAAAACATTTTGTTTCTTTGCTTTTCATTGATTTTCTACGTTTATTTAACGATCGATTAAACAAACAAAATATAATCATTATAAATTGCTCAAAACTGTACAAATAATCAACAAACAATCTCATAAAAAATCCATTAAAGATTAATTATATATTTCTGAATTGATGTCTATATAAAAAGAGCTACATATAATACACAACATATAGAATATTTGTATAAACTTTTATTATATTTGATATTCGCACTATATAATATATATATGCATATACTCAGATGATGATTAAGTTTTTGGCAATTTATAAGAAATTTTGATTGAGTTATTTTTGCAACTAATTTGGTTATCTATTCGTTTTAAATTTGAACTAAAACCACCCTTGGCATTGCGAAAACATTCCATTTGTAGACAATTTAGCTTGTAAATAAAGACGAAATTGTTGGCGGCGGTCTGGCGATCTGGGCTAGCTTTAATGTTACAGTATAAGGGATTTAATACTATTGGACCCCTTCTATTCTACCCTTTAACCAATTAAAAGTTGAGATTGGAAGCCATGCAAATGAGATCCCAGGTTGCTATCGACCGACTGAACGGACAAATGGAATGTTGCATGTTCTTGTTGCTTTTCAAAAGTTCTGATTGAGTTCTCCCCTCTGCCCTAACTTGCATGTCCTGAGTTTTATATGATTTGTTTTCTCTCTTTTTTATTTAATCTTTTGTTTGGAATGATGCTAACCACAATTCAAAACAAAACCAAATGAATGATATAACAAAAACAAATGCATTCGACAATCAACAAACATCACAACGTATAAAACACAATAAAAATAAAATACACACGCGAAACGACACACCAATTAGCGACATCCACCAGCTCGTCGCTGCAAGAGCCGAGATTTGATTCAGTTTCTTCAACACCAGAACCGCCCCCGGATTCCCCAGCAGCAGCCGCGCCCAGCAGTCCCACGGAGAACGGTGTGACCGCAGCTGTATCCAAGCCACTGGAGCGTCCCGAGTTGAGTGGTCTGAATGCGAGTGCCAAGGCAACCACAACCACGCAGACATCGCCCACGGAGGAGGTGGTGGTCAGTGAAGTGAAGCCATCGGAACCTGAAGGAGCAGTAGACGCAGCCGCAGCAGCAGCAGCAGCAGCAATCCCACCTGCTGCACCAGCGACACCTGCCCAAGTCAATGGCAACAACAATGAACCCCATGTTACCAAGGAAGGTGGCAAACAGCCCAAGGAACTCCCAACCACCACATCCAATGCCGAAGCTGCTGCCGAGGCGGCGGCCAACAATGGCAACTCGATCGAGGAGCACAAGCAGAAGAAATTAGGTAATGACACATCAGCATCAGAAAGAGTCACACAGCACTTAGTTACATCAACAGATACAGATATAGTAACAAAATCAGATACAGATACTAAGACCAGCACAGGCACAAGTCAGAAAGGTAGACCAGTACCCGTAGTAAATAGGCACAGCGTAAATAATCTTAATAAGAATCCATTCGAGGATGACGACGATCGTATCTACGAGGTGCCCGCTGGTGAGTAAACCTCAAAAAACGAGTCCACTGGGTTCTTTCACTCTGTAGTATCTCTATCTCACTATCTCTTCGCATCCTATGAAGGACCACGTCTAATCCCTGTACTCTAAGCTTAGTTTCCTGTGTGACTGTCGTCTAATCCAAATTGAGGATTACTGTATTGTATTGTAAAACGATTGCGCGGCATGCTGCGTGGGGTATCCACAATGGCAGGATCTCAATCTCATTTCCTGGGCTGTGCATCTATATCTATCCATGTTTTTCATTTAGTACCTGTAGTTTGGACTAAGCTAAGCCACTTCATGTTGTCTTGATTCGGGACTTCAACACGCAGGTGATCGTACAACTATCTATGTAATAATCACCCATCAATCCACCATTGCTTGCACGTTCGCTGCTTCAGTCGTTTATCGTTGGTTTAAGCCCAACTTTTCCAGCACACTGAAAAACTAACAGCCCCAAACTAAATAAAAGCCTGAGAAAGCGCTACACCCACTAACCCTTTTGGCCAGGATTGCGTTTCCGTTGTTCTTTGCGTGCGTTTGTCTACTAAACTCGGTTATGCAACTTTCGATGTACACTGTGTGACGTACGGGTCTGTGAGGGTTATGGTACCCAAACATACAACCAGATCTTAAGACGGAACCCATTTATTTCTCTGAACAGATGCCAACACCGCTGACCTGCCGGCCGGCGTCCTTTACCGGGTGAAGGCCACCTACGGCTACGTCAAGGAGGATGTGGACGAGCTCAGCTTCGAGATCGGCGACCTTATTCGCGTCATTGAGTACGACGATCCCGAGGACCAGGTAACGTCGATTGAGTAAAACTGTTGGGTATTCTTTTTAAACCCTTGCACATGATTGTATAATTTTGGTTAGCAAGTTGAAGGTTTTTAGATTTTAGATTCGTCGGTCCGAATTAAGAAAAATAATCTTTTTTTTATCAATATCAAATGAAGTTTGCTAGCCGCCGTTTTTTTAGAATAATAATTATCCTTAAGGCGGGTTGTGAATAAAAGTTTTATGAAAGATAAGTTCTTTTTAGGCAAGCCGAAGTTTAAAATTCGCTTACCAATAGTTTTTATTTTTTAATGTTAAAAAACAATGACTCTATATCGATTTTTCTAAAAATTTTGTCGATCGATCTTTTGGCAGCTATAAGATAAAGTCGACCGATATTTGTAAAATTAAACCGTAATTTTGGAATTGTAAAAAAACAACTTTCTCACGGAGTATAATCCATATTTTTAAAGACATAATAATCCATTTTTTTAATGGGAGCTACATATATGATAAAGTCGTCCGATCCGACTTTTGTGAACGTTTTATTCAGATATTTTAAACCTAACAGTGATTCAGATCTGAAGTATATATACTTAATGGGATCGGAAATTTATATTTCACTGCGGGCAAACTTTATCTTAAGAGTATTTAAAGGCATTTGAGGGCATTACATATGCAAGGGTTTTTCCCCAACTTTGGAATCCGAAGTTTATATCTTCCTCGAGCTTTGCACGCGCTAGTTTCCCCCTCCGCGCCAAATGCAGACCTCCGCACTTCCTGTCTATATTGAGTGCAGTTCTTCATTGCCAACTTGCAGGAGGAGGGCTGGCTGATGGGTCAGAAGGAGGGCACCACCGAGAAGGGACTCTTCCCCGCCAACTTCACGCGCCCCATCTGAGGCGGCGGACTGCGGAGCAACTGGGCTAGCACTAACCATCAGCAACTTCAGTTACACCATCAACATTTTTAGTACGGAGATCCAATCCACACTTTCGGCCAAAATTTTCTTTGTGAGCGCTGCTTTTGTTTTTGTCCAATTAATAAATTATTGTTTTGTGAATTGTATTCGTGAATTGGCAATCCATTTTGGGATTGTTCGAGCAGTGCTTCCAACCACAAATTGTTATTGTTAACGAAAACCACACAACACAAAGAAGAACGCAGATGAGGAACGAGAGAGAATATTTTGAAAATGTTTCAAACATTTTTTTTAGTTCTAAGTTTCAACAAAATCTAAAGCATAAACCTACGTATACATATATTATTTGTTAATCCTATTACTGTGCTCATAATTATTGCGTACCTAAACGTATATAATTTGTAATTTGTTAAAGGTAAACCAAACAAATGTAACGCATATCACTCGAAGGCCAGAGTAATTGTTAAACAAATCAAAAGTCGGAGGAGAGAGCCTGAACCTTTTGTATTTTGTGTGTTTTTGCAAATATTTAGTACGAGTTTTTATAGTCAATTGAGTATTTTTGGGGCGATGCAAAAAAGGCCAGATAAAATTCCTCTGTGGTCCCCAAAGTTTTGGAAACTGTTTTTCAAGTAACATCTTTAACGTTTAGCGATTACGTGTATCTTAATTTGTACTTTGGTTTTTAACTTTCGTTTGAGAGACTCGAACTAGCTGCAGCTTTATAACACGAACACAATCCAATAGTCACTAACCGATCGATTCGATATCTTTGTTTTATTTAACTCGATTGTAAATCACACGAGGTCCGAAATAATTGTTTAAATTGTGCACACTCTGTAAAGTTATTATTTTAATTTTATTTAATTAATTTAAACACTTATTTATCGCATGAACATATTGAACAAATGATAATAATTTACAGAAAAGCAAATAAAACATAGATTAAATAAGAGGTACTTTTTTAATTTGGCGGGCAATGGCATCAGCTTTTAGTACTGGAAAATAACGAAATATAAGCATGTGACCAATTTTTGGCACTGTGACCCGAGTTTTTATATCTTGTATTTCGTATAATTTGGCTAAGCTGCCCGTGAAACGCTTGTAAGGATAATAGTACCTTGTTTAGCTCTTGTTGTTTTAATCTGATACAATAAATAAGTTTAAAATATTTAACACAAAAATATGTCTAATAGGTTAGTATTTTTTGTATTTGAATACCAATTTATTTTTTGGGATTTGTTTTTTATGGATTTCGAAATACTAAAATCAGAAACGTAAACTGCTTGCAAGTTGTGCACTTTTTTCCGGTATTTATTGGTATATTTCGCGGCGCGTCGGATGGTTTGTTGCGTCGTTCCCCGTGCGGTCACACTGTCCTCAAAAACTACGGTCGTGCGTCAACGTTAGCGAAAAATGCAAAATTAAATATGTTGTGAGTAGCGAGCGATGCCAAATCGAATATGTTGTGAGTTTCGAGCGAGATCCCCGTCAAACGGATGCCCCGCCAGCCAGCGATCTCCATCCGCCTCCGCCTGGCAGCCCCCAAAGAAAACCCCCCGAAAAAATTTTACCTGCACCGAAAACGTCCCGAAAAGCCAGTGTAAAGTGCGTTTCTTGACTAAATTGTGTAGCCCATTGAGCAAGGAGCCCCATAATGTTAAACAATCGCCGAATCGAGTCCTAAAACCTTAAAATTGCATTGCTATCAAATTTTTTTTCGTTTAGTTAACGCCCTCGCTTATATTTGTGTGTATTCGTTCGTAAAGCAGTGTAGTTCGCACTGCTTGCGCGAGGAAAACACTACGAATAGGAAAAAAAGTTAATAATTGTAACAAAAGTTAGTTTGTTTTTTAGTTTATCAGTTTTTTCGCCAGCAAATGGTATTTTAAACAAATAATTTTTGAAGCCAACGGAATAACTTGTTAAAAGTATATTGGGTTAAAGCTTTGGGCGGGTGGGTAAAAAATTAAAGGGGGAGAGAGGGGTTGTGTGTGTTTACCTTAGACAGTATGATGATGATTTTCCGGAATGCATATTCCTATTTTCCACCCATGCCACCCCCTCATTCTTCTCTTTGTCTCTCTCTCTTTTTACTTGCAGTTCCACTGCATACAGAAAAATAAACAAATACAAGAAGCATAAAGTATGCAGAAAATTAAATACAAAAGGAGCCACTAAGTGTTTCGTGTGAAATCAATTTGAGAGCGTTCGTCGTCTTCGTACATACTTTTCCGTTTCAATTACACTACAATGAATATTTGTTGAAACTTTGTTGCATTTACAGACTGGTGTTTAAAAACAACAACAAGAAGAAACGACAAAAAATAACAACAGCAGCCCTCACACACACGGAAAAAAAGAAAGATAAAAATATCCACATATATAAATAGTATCATATTTACATTAAAAATAAAGCCGAACAGACGTAAACGTAACTTTTATATTACAAAGCACCAGTAAAAATAATTAACCAACTACACACGTTCCTTAAAAACAAACGTTTTCCAAACCGCAAACCAACTAAAAACGAAATGCTTTTGAAATTAGTTTAAGCTAACTAATATTAAAACGCAAAACCAACAAACAAACCGCAAATATAATCCGCGTGATTAAATTTTACAAAAGAAAATAAAACAGACCGAAAATCGGCAGGGAACCAAAAACAAGCGATAAACCCGGAAGAACTACGATCGGCGTATAAAATTACATATTTTTTGTATAAAATAGTGCTAGCAAAAACCAAACGAGAGAATAACTGGAACATCTTTTTGGAGAATCTCGTCTGAATACGTTTAATCTTGTCTCCGTTAAATCAATAAGTAAGTAAACTGAAACGAAGTATTTGGGATTATTTTGAACTCGACCACTTGTTGCCAAGTACTCTTCTTTGTGGTTTAGCTCTTTTCTGATTAGGATATTAGAAAGGGCATCGTCTTCTAAATAATGGTATTTATTATTAAACATTAAAATTTATATTTTTGAATTAAAGCAAAGCTTTAAATTAAAATATACAATACAAAACTAAATTTAAAAATGTAATTTATTTTTTAATTGGTAGCCCACAAAAATAATAATGAGTCAAACTTTTATTATATTAGCTAATAGTCGATACAACTGTAAGTAAAGTAAGGGTTCGATAAGGTCTCAGTGCATTCAACTCTGTAGCCAGTGAGTAATAATCTGGTATTTCCGATCCTGAATCGGTTTTTAGAAAAAAACTTTCAATAGGAACGACCACTCCAGAGGAACAGTAGCCGTCTAAAGATTAAGAAGACAACTCAAACGTTATCTCTGACTGGTTTATCATAGGCATATACATATGTAAGGCAGATAAGACCAGTTCTCGGCGGGATACCCTCCCTCCGATTTGGTGGCATGATATATCTGGCAAACTATTGTTAAAAAACGCTTCATTGCGCCAATTGCGTGCCTCTGCCCCTGAATTTTGCGGCTACTGCTAATTAGATTTTGTAGCTTTGCTCAGCGAGAATGTTTTCCGCCTGGAGCCCACTAATCCTGGGTATAGTCGGCTAGCCGTGACTTCAGTAATTCCCTTTCTCCCGCCCACACTCTCCATTTCTCCCTCTTTTGCTTTTGTTTGAAATATTGGTAGATATTCCATCGATATTTGGTAGTGTCCATGCTAAAAAAACCTTGCCCCGACCCATGTCAATGTATTCGCCAACAAAATTGGATTAGCAATCACTCGATATAGGAAAAGACGGCGGGAAAGGAGAGGAAATCGCACCAGTGCAGGTCATAGGCTGTATTCTATAGGCTTGCCCTACGCTGAACCCATGAATGAACGAAGATTTCGGGTGGACCGAAATATAGGTCTATCGAAATATATAAATATTATGTTAGTACCAATATAGTATATAAAATGATTCAGCTAAACTGGCCATAAGTCTAAATAATGTTAAATATTCTTCGTAATTTCGTATTATTCTTCTGAATATTATAACTTATCGATTTGTGTTCAGTCAAAGTTAATTTAAATGTAGTTCATATTCTAAAGGGATCGAAAAAATCCCTTAGGAGATCCATAGAAATAAATTTGTAAGCTTGGTCCACCTAACTGGAGAACACTCTCGCTAACCTGTGGCCAACGAAGCCATATATTTACCGAAATCAGCTTTCTTGCAATGAACTTGGCCGGGGGGCATTTGGCAAACGTTTCCTCAATCTCTTGCCACCTGGTGTAGGGCGATCCCAGGTCTGCGCAGAGAGAGCGAACAGTGTTCAAGCCAGAACCGGACATAGAACCGAGCCAAAGCCAATGCCATGGCCAGAGGAAAGCCAGGGGTAGCCATGAGCCGGGGGCCATCTATATCCAACGTCGTCATCGACATCGCCAGCTTGTGGGGCAGGCAAATATGAAATGTTAATTGCCAGCACGGGACACAACGCGGCGAACTCTCGTTGGGCCAACAACTCTGGTGGTCCGTAGAATCCATAGTTGCATAGTTCCTACGGTTCGGTTATGCAAGCAAGTCCTAAATCAAAGCGTCGCCTCTTTGCAGATGTTCTTGGATCGTTCGATGTGTTCTTCGTTCATTTGTATCCATCGCTCTCAGCCTCCGAGTCACCGATATCTGGTCAAGGACTTAGCGTAGTCTTCTGTAACTAGCAATAGCAATAGCCAAAGAGCCTGGATCCTGGAAGCTGGAGGAGATCTGGAGAGCGAGCAACGCCGAAGTACAAATGCATCAATCGAAACTGAATCTGTAACTTGGAACGGACACGTTGAATTCAGCGCCCGTCACACAACCAATTAGATAGGTGACAGAAAGTCAGAGAAGGGAGTCCAGGAGACCATCCCATCATCCTTACAGCATACATTTTCTAAACGGAACGGCGGGTCGAGCGTAGTGGCAGCAGCACGCGAAAGCGTCCATAAATCTAGTTAGCATGGAGTGCTGTTTATCGGAGGAGGCCAAGGAACAAAAGCGCATCAATCAGGAAATCGAGAAGCAGTTGCGCCGAGACAAGAGAGATGCGCGCCGTGAGCTTAAACTGTTGCTGTTGGGTAAGTAGAACGTGACACATTTTGATTGCACTTAACTTGGTTTAATGCAATTGAAGACGGCTGGCTAATTGCATTGCATGCCCGGCATTTATAGCTAAATACTTTAAAATCCTATATCCCCAGGCACGGGCGAGTCCGGCAAGTCAACTTTCATCAAACAGATGCGTATTATCCACGGCAGTGGCTACTCGGACGAGGACAAGCGTGGATACATCAAACTGGTATTCCAGAACATATTCATGGCCATGCAGTCAATGATCAAGGCCATGGACATGCTAAAGATTTCCTATGGCCAGGGAGAGCATAGCGTAAGTGAATCTATGGACAAAGAAGGAACTATTTAATCACAACACAATCATATGATCCACAGGAACTGGCCGACCTGGTGATGAGCATCGATTACGAGACCGTTACCACGTTTGAGGATCCATACTTGAATGCCATCAAAACGCTTTGGGACGATGCTGGCATTCAGGAGTGCTACGATCGCCGTAGGGAATATCAGCTGACTGATTCAGCCAAATAGTGAGTTACCCGTTGAGAAACAAAGGGAAACGATTAACTTCATGCCTAAAAATATACAAAAACCCACAAACTAACTAACAGACTGAAACTGACTCTGAAAACTAAATAATGTATCTTATTTATGTGTAGTTATCTAAAGGATCTCGATCGTGTGGCTCAACCTGCATATTTACCCACTGAGCAAGACATTTTAAGAGTTCGTGTGCCGACAACAGGGATAATTGAGTATCCCTTCGATTTAGAAGAAATCAGATTTAGGTACAAACAATATTTCTCATTTTACCATTGCATGTGTCTGACTTCTACTTTGGTTATGGTTAACTTTAATTTTTATAACTCTTTTAAGCGCATGTTGTTCTAAGCATAATTATATTATAAAGGGAATTAGTGAGAAGCTGTGAAATTTTATGGACTGAGACAGATTGTATGACCGTCCTTTTTTATTGTTTCAGTTCTTTGCTTAAAAATCTATTATTAATCTAATTTAGCTACTTGAGCGACTTAGCTCGAATTGAGCAAGCTGATTATTTGCCAACCGAGCAGGATATTCTGCGTGCTCGAGTGCCGACAACAGGCATTCTTGAGTATCCATTCGATTTGGATGGTATTGTGTTTAGGTATATATAACAAAATTAACGCGATAAATTATTGACGAGGCTAGAAATTTAATTGGTAATGATACAGCTAGTAAACTGTTATTATTAAAACATTGATTATTTGTGGCTTGCGCTTTTAGTTAGAATAAAAGATTTTTTGTTTGGCTTTTAATGTTATAGACCTTTGTTGAAGCATTTTAATAATAATATCATTTTTCTTAATAAACAGAATGGTGGACGTCGGAGGTCAGCGGTCTGAGAGAAGAAAGTGGATTCATTGTTTTGAAAATGTGACATCAATTATATTTTTGGTAGCGCTATCAGAATACGATCAAATCTTGTTTGAATCTGATAATGAGGTATAAAGCACATCTTCTTAATACATTTTCCCAATTATAACAAAATGTATTACTTTCAGAATCGAATGGAGGAATCTAAAGCTTTATTTCGTACTATAATTACATACCCATGGTTCCAAAATTCGTCAGTTATTCTTTTCCTGAACAAAAAGGACTTGTTGGAGGAGAAAATAATGTATTCGCATTTGGTAGACTATTTTCCTGAATACGATGGTAAGTGTTTCGAGTGGTACATATAAGTGGACATAATTATGTACGATTCTATGCGGCGATGAACCAGGTCCAAAGCAAGATCACGCTGCGGCCAAACAGTTTGTTTTGAAAAAGTACTTGGCCAGCAATCCAGATCCCGAACGACAGTGCTATTCGCATTTCACAACGGCCACAGGTTGACTTTGACCTTTTTTACTTAAGATCAATGTTACTGCCTCAAATGCGAAACATCTTCTGTAGATTATTTGCTAGTTCCTGTAGTACCATGCTAGATGTAACATATTATGTGCCTTTTTATCAAAACAGGTCCACAGCGAGATGCAATAGCGGCCCGAGAATTCATACTGCGAATGTTCGTAGATTTAAATCCAGATTCCGAAAAAATTATCTATTCTCATTTCACCTGTGCTACAGGTAAGTGTATAAACTTTGTGTACTTGCTCAGAAAAAGCGTGTGGATGTGATTCTTATTTTCAGCATAAAAGTCTGGTTAAGAGGTAAATTTTGGTCTGTACAACATTTGCATTTGCTTTTGCCGCTGGTTTAAAATAGAGTATCGCTAGTCAAATTATAAAAAATAATAAATTCATTTCTAACCGAACCGATGATCTCTTGGTAAACAGATACTGAAAACATCAAACTTGTGTTCTGCGCTGTCAAAGATACAATTATGCAAAATGCACTTAAGGAATTCAATTTGGGCTAATCTGGCAACGAGGAATTCAGGACAAATGGCAATGCAAATTAATAATGAATAATTGATTTCAAATGTGTATGAATTGTTTTTCAAAAGTCCCTCAATAAATATATATATAGTCTGTTAAATATATTGGATGGAATGCGTGTGTGCAGTTTGCGCTCTTCAAAATACATTACAAATCCAACTAATTAAATCTTCTTTTCTTTGTTTAGATACGGAAAATATAAGGTTTGTGTTTGCAGCTGTTAAGGACACAATTCTGCAATCGAACCTTAAGGAATATAATTTGGTCTAAACTGGATTTGGATCGAAAAACTATTTTTGTGATTTTTATACAAACACACATACACATTCATATAATTCCTTTTTCGCATATTTACTAAATATAAAAGAAGAATTGAGCAGCAAGCGAATGTGGCCGAAAATTAGGCATTAATTAGACCCGAGAATGTTTCTTACGTTTGTAACATCAGGAACCGAAAATTGTAGAATAAATAGAATACTAAACTGAGGTGGTAAACCAGCATCAACAGAAAAATGGAAATGATGTATACATTTTAATTTGAGAGAATAATAACACAAAATCTGATACAAGTACTAATACAGGGTGACAACCAATAACCAGGACAAAGTTTTTCGCTTTACAGTGCGTATATATAAAATCATAGAAAAATAATTTATATTGGAATATTATCATTTTTATGGAACAAATTCTGTGTGATTTTAGAACTGTTTCGGAAGGGAAAACTGCTAAAAGTCAAAAAGACAGTAATCAGAAATGATTGAGACCCAATGGAACAGGTTTCTGGTTAGATTCAAATAAATCACTAGTTATTTCGGATTTAAATCTGAAGGACTGTAAAGAGAGTTTAACCTTTCCACTTAAACGCAGTTCCTTCAAGAGAGTTGATACAAAATATACGTCCGAGTTATTTGTTGTCACCCCGTAATATTTAAATAAATTTATTACTATAGTAACTTTTGTAATAAAAACCGAAACAAAAATATGAAAGTAAATTTAATCAAAAGCTTGATAGGGACAACAAACTGAAACAATTTTGTCGTACTGAAGCATAATAAAGCAACATTTTACTAAAATAACTACAGAAGAAAAACAAAATTTTGCGTAAAGAATCCCCCGGAATATATATATTCAAAGAATTATATATGCTAGAAGTCTCTTATTAGAATTTCAGGGCATATAAGGCGTGTAAAAATAATAAACCGAAAACGATAAGCTGATAAAATGAATGAAAACGAAATCACAGATAATACTGTATTTTTTATTAAGCTAAACCGTAAATATTGATACTATTGTTTACCGGAATATTTAACTATACATGCAAACAGATAATATAATAATTCATAAACGCATATGTAACAATTAATAAATTGATTAATTTGTATTGCGGGAGCCCCATTCATTGTAAATTACGATTCGTATTAATAACATGAAAACAAAAAGAGAATCACGCAAACCAAGAGAAACTTAAGAGAAGAATCTGTAAGAGAAACGCCATTTACATGGAGCATCCACGTGTTTGTAAAAATGTCGATAACCACCCATGCAAAAACAGCAGAATCCATGCAACTTATTGATATTTAATCAGACATCAGGTCAAATTCAATCAAATGCGATATACCACTGGTCGAGAAACATAACTATCAGAAGGGAAAGTTTTGCTCTCACGTACTTTTGTTGCCATCAAAATTTCAGTCGAAACAAATTGTTATCAAATGTAGCTTGATTTTCGTACTTTTTAAATTAACTTTGTTAGTTGTTTGCTTATTTTATAGATCTTAATGTATGCAACAATGGACACACTTTGCGGCTTTTCAATCGATCGAGCCTGCCAAGTGCGTCCAGTGTTTTGTTTTTGTTTTTATAATTTTAGTTTAATTTAATATACAAGGAAACTAAATGAGACGCACATAAATAGAAAAAAACCCATCAACAACAAATTATTTATGTAAAAATCCAAATAAAAACAATTCTACTCTACGCATATGTGGAAAAAAATATAAAATGAAAAAAAAATGAAACGTACATATATGTAAAATAAATATGAAGCAAAATGTTTTTCATAATTTATTACACTTATTTTGTTCAACCGAGACTCCCTTAACTCGTCAGTTGGAGTTTATTTTAGTCGGGGCCACAGAAGCACACTTTGGCAAGACTCTTACCAAAATACACGACCCATGGGAGTGGAGAATTGAGAATCCTATAACCGCGCATAACCAAAAACAAAAAAAAACCAATACGCATCTTAGTTTAAGTACGATTCAACAGTGTGTTGTATAAAGCTTTAATCCTCGTAACCACATCTAGTAAAAACAAAGTAATTAAACCATTTTTATGATTAACCAATGGATTAGCTTTTAAAAAGCTTCAATAAGTCAATGTGTATTTTAAAAGATGTAGCAAAGCCTAGAGAGCCAATGAGTTTCGGGACCCGATCGGAATGGATATGGAAACGGTTTAAGTTCTTGATGCGAATATCGATTCACAGCCCTTTTGGCTGGGCATCCAATTTGGTAGCTCCGATTTCGGCTTAACCCGTTTTGTATATCCATGGCATTATAGACATTCACACACTGACATATATATAGTTTTCCGTCCAATGAATTGCATCAGCAGCGAGCAGACAAAGTCTCCCATTTATTTTGATCTTGTTTCCGGTTTTGTTCTTGCGGAAATTCCATTTTAAAATACAAACATGTTTCGGCGGTTTCAATGTTATATTTTCCGTTTCTGCAGCCACATACACACACTTAAAATATGTCAAATTTTATTTTTAGCATTTTGTGCCTTTCCACTATCAAGAATCACATAAAATATGTATGACAGGCTCCAGTTGGACGCTTTAATATGAAGTAATTTGAAACTTGTTTTAACGCAGATCCACAGGGAAACAAATTTACCCATAACCGAACCCTGTGGATAACCATAAAAAATTAATTATCAGCATGTGTGTATTGCCAGTTTGTTATGTTTTGGGTTGAAAGATTGGTTCCTCATTTTTATAATATGCACCTATAGTCAGACAGTTGTATGTAAATATTTGGCAAATTACTCAGGGGGAAATCGAAAACCTCCTGAGATATACCACATAATCGAGCATATGTATGTAACTATACATTAAACTCAATAAGAAACTATAATAAAATGAGAATTTGATAAAAATCATTAATGTATGTATTTTGTATTTTTATATACAATTTATAATTTTGATTACACTTACAATTGTTACGATTAATAACTAAACTTATATGATAAAACAGAAATAATACAGAAGAATCTACTAGATATGTATTTCCAATATAGAGAAAGCAAGTACATAATACACAAATCCGATGATTGCTAAAGGAATTTCAAAATATTGTAAGGAATTAAGATTAAACAAAGTAAACAAAGAAATTTTCTAAGCAACAAACTCAACCAGAACTGCAAGCAAAAGGGACAACAATTTAAATGGGAAATTTGTGTATTTGTGTAAATCTAAAGCGGATGGAAGGATGTAATATGATCCTTAGGCCCTGATACTCGATAAGTAGGGCCACGATTTTCAGATTATTGAAAACCATTTAGGCGTGGCATTCGGTGGCTAGTTTTTACTTTAACTATGTATGTAAATGAAAGAATGACCACATTCCACATAAGAAAGCTTGAAAAGCAAAGAACTATTGAACAAGAATCCCAAATAGTAATGAAAATCTCCCTTGACGTTCAACAAAACTACATTCTCGATAAAAAGAATGACTAGCCGGATGTTTCGGTTACAAAAGACCCTATAAACTCAGCATTGGGATAAGCAGTAAGAAATTTTAGTTGTGAGTTCGGCATGTGGCATTTGATCGATCGGTCGATATTAGGGAGAAATATTCGAGTCGTGTTTTTCTCCACTGCGCACCTAAGCATATACATACGTGTAAATCAGAAGCTAATGAAAATGAAACATCCACTGGAACTGCATGCTTAGCCTAGGATTAAGGCAAACCACACAGACCCCCAAAACGGAGACAGTCCAACATGTCCATGGGCCGACTATTGATAACTGTAGCATTTGAATTGATTGATATTGGACGGACGGGGTTTTCCTGGGTGTCTATACATTTGTCATACAAATCATATTGAAGACAGAGATTGTATGCGTGGCAATTGTAACTAAACAAATTTTTTAGATAATTAAAAGTATCTATGTACACCTTAATATTAATGAAAAAACCAATATAATATAAATAAAAGTATATTGAAAAGAAATTCCCCGAGTTCGAAACTCGCATTTTTTAATATTTCTCTGGTTTCATAAATGTGTATATAAAAAGGCAAGGTCCTGCTGGGATCCAATGGTTGGGATTGATAGATTTTTTACGAGGTAAAAAGTACAGCACTCAGCAACAAAAAGACCAAATTATACATTTTTCGATCAGTATTAGCATATTTAAAAAAATAACAATTTTTGTCACAAAATTTTATATTTTGAAGAAGCGATTATTACATTTTTACCTCATTATACCCTTTCAGAATAATACTTATAATACATTTCTTGATCAGGATCGCGTCCTGAGTTGATATAAGCATGTCCGACTGTCCGTCTGTCTGTTTCTACGCGAACTAGTCTTTCAGTTTTAAAGAATTGAAACTTTGCACACACCCTTCGTTCCTTTTCACTCAGTATATTGGAAATGCCATAACTTTGGTATTTGTAAAGTATAGGAAGTTTTTGGCCAATCAATCCGACCACCAAATTTAAAAAGGATCGGCCGACTATATCCTATAGCTGCCATATAACTGAACGATTGGAAATGCCATAACTTCGGTGTTTTTAAAGTTAGGAAGTTAGGATTTTTTATGAGTATTAAGAATCATCATATGAATAATTTTGGAGAATAATTTACATAGTATTCTGCAAGGGTATATCAACTTCGGCTCCGCCCGAAGTTAGCTTTCCTTTCTTGTTACGAGATGATTTTGTTTAATACACAAAAGCTTAGAAATATTAAATTCTGCTCACAGCATTGTCAAATGACGATGGATGGTGTTTTGGATTGCGTTTTTAATGGATTGAAAGATCAGCGGGAATCTGAGTTCATAATATTCAAAAGTGAAGCCGAAGTCTAAATACTCTTGCAGACATACCGAAAAATAATTAATAATAATTAAAAATAATTAATAATAAATATTTTCCGATCGGCATGATCTTTTTAACGTGATCAGTGTTCACTGCGTACGGTAAGTATGATAGATACATATGTATATGCCAGATTGGGGAAGTAGGCAACTCAGAGGACGCATCCCAAATGGCATACTTTTTACACTATACTGTATAATACTTTCATAATAGGCAAAAGCATTAAGATTTACTCAGATTTCTTCGAAAACATCCAAATAGGGTTATAGTCTACGGCAAGATTTTTTTGCATAATCAGAGTACACTAGTAGAATTTGGAGTGCAATAAATGTTTTCAAATAAGAAAAATTATGGTCTCAAAATTTCCTTAAAACCGAATGGAATACTGTGGCAGATATGTGGCATCTGTGAAATATAGTTATCCGATTTTAGAAAAACTCAATGTATTTCTATGAAATATCTTCAAAACAAAAAAATTTAAAAATTTATCCCGATTGTTCCAATAACAGCTTTACGAAATAGACGTCGGATCAAACTTTATTTGCTTACACAAATAGAAATACGCTTATAACGGTTTAAAGGCTCTAGCTTTTAAAGTGAGATCGGAAAAGGTATGGAAACATACAGATGCCGATCTAGATATATATTTTATCGGAAATGTATCCTTTACTGCGATACAAAGTTCTCACCATAATTTATATACCCTCGCAAGGGTAACAAGTCAATGCCCATGGGATGTTCACTGTGGAATTACTCTAGACGCCAACTCGGTAAATTCTTTATCAAGAGAACCATTAAGATTTGAGTGATCAAGGTTCGTAGGCACGCTTAAAAATCACACAACTTCGCGTAGCTGTGAAAGGCAATCTGGCAGTTAGTTTTCGGCAATACTCGGCCGCTTGCGGGCGTGAGTTTGAGCGTTTTGAAATAAAAGTTGATGAAAGGGACTGAAAGTAATATAATCACAAAATAAGAAAAGTTCCTTTTAAAATTAAACCTCTTATTAAAAAATCAGATAGTTCGGTAAAAAAAAACAACGACTTTATGCTAAACTAAAAAGTTTATAGTAATATTGTGTTAGTGCATACATCCCTTTCAATATTTTGATTGTTGTACGGGTAAAACGCAATAAGACGATTTCTATTTGTAATTAGTGAAACAAGTCAAAACTAATAGTATTCGAAAATAGAAAACAATAGTTGGATTGCTCATATAAAGTATGGCGGTAAAATACACAAAAATAATTGATCGATTACATTTAATCTTAGTAAACTTGAAATAAAATTAAAATTTAAGAACGAAAATTCTCACTTTGAGTTAAATTTGCCTAGTTTAAAGTTTTCAATATCGAAAAAATAAAATTAAGTGCACAAGAACCGAACAAAATCATTGTCGTGAATGCGTAGCCCTTCCACTCGAAATGAGAACTGAACTCCCGAGCACTCAAATCAAAAATTCAATTCTCAAAGGAACTCAAAGTAAGCACAGCTGTACTGAGTAGTCCCAAAAATTAAATTGCCGTTTTTCTTTCATTTGAATTGATTTAATATTCATATATATTCAAAACTTATTAAACTTTAATTACGTGGAATAAAAAGCGTTTTCGGAAAAAACACATAGCTTAGCAGAGAAACCGTGACTTTACTCACTTTAGATGTAAGACTTAATCGCTCTTCGACGCAACATCGAAATAACCCATTTAAGTTCGAACAAAATATTTTCGGTAGTTTTTAGAAATGGTAAATGGATAGATCCAAATCATTTATAATACTAAAATATAGAGAATCAAATGTAAGCAAAAAAGACTACACCCATCTAAAAGTGAACCCGGCCGGTGAACCCCGAGAGCTTGTGAGTCGCGAGTCACAGGCTCGGACTTCTTAGAATACTAAACCACGAACCTTAAATACATTTGTTAATAATTTTTTTCTTAATTTTTCTCATTTTTAAATTTTAAATAGACATTTATCCACTTTGATATCGTGTTTTTTTATAATTATTTTTGATCTCAAGTCTTTGGCTAGTTCATGCCTTTCTTACTCATAGAAAAATCCATTTTAAAACCATTTTTTGACTTATTAAGGAAATATTTTATACATGGTGCAGAATCTGTTTAAGCCACACCTATTAAGTTGACACTCAGAGATTATTTTTTTTGGGTGTAACAAAAGCAAATAAAGCTTGAAGGATCTGCAGAGCGAACAAAAGCTTACATATAATTACCTCACGAAACGGTGAGTCCGTAAATCTAATTAGCATGAACTGCTGTTCGTCGGAGGAGTCCAGGCGTCGAAAGCGCATCAATGAGGAAATCGATCTGCAATTGCGTTTGGACAAGAAAAATGCACACCGCGAGCTTAAAATTTTACTGTTGGGTACGTGGAACACCACAATGTTGAATGCACTTATCATGGCTGTATGCAATTGGAGGCTATTTGCACTGCATGACCGGTATTCATTGCTACATACGTATGTATTTATTTCCAATCCCAAATCTTCAGGCACGGCCGAGTCCGGCAAGTCGACATTCTTCAAACAGATGCGTATTATCTACGGCAATGGATTCTCGGACAAAAACAAGCGTTCGTACATCAAACTGGTATTCCAGAACATATTTATGGCCATGCAGTCACTGATCAAGGCCATGGACCAGCTGCAGATTTCCTATGGCCAAAAGGAACATGGTGTTAGTGGTTTGTTGGCTTTGCAAATACATTTTTGCTTTATCAAAACATAATCGACCCACAGGCACTGGCCGATCTTGTGATGAGCATCGCTTACGAAAAGGTTGAAGTGTTCGAGGATCCGTACTTGAGTGCCATCAAAACGCTTTGGGAGGATTCTGGCATTCAGGAGTGCTTCAATCGCCGTAGGGAATATCAGCTAACTGATTCAGCCAAATAGTGAGTTATTGGTTTATTTCTAACTCAAAATTCAGACAAGAACCATCTGTTGAGAATGAAACTGAATTAGAAAATTAAATATTTACCATTTTCGTGTCGAAACGGTTCGAACAATAATTGACCATCTTGATATCAACAGTTCGCTTCCCAGCATTAATTTGTATGTAAAAAAATTCTCTAATAATACTTGCATTCTCGTCATTTTAATTCCAAGTCCTTTTTGGAGGACTGCTCTAGGCTGTATTTAGTTTATGTCCTTTTTATTTTATTTAATTTACAAAACTTAGCTACTTGAGTGACATAGCTCGAATTGAGCAAGCTGATTATTTACCAAACGAGCAGGATATTCTGCGTGCTCGAGTGCCAACAACTAACATCAATGAGTTTCCATTCGAATTGGATACGTTCGTGATCAGGTATCTATTTTACTTTTATTTTCTTACATTAAACTATACTTTTTTGATCAATTTTTAGTTACATCAATTTTCAACAATTTAGTTTTTATAATTTTTATAATGTTTAAATAATAAATAACAAATAATTTAGAGTCTTTTCCATGCCAGCTATTTGGCCGACTTTTTGTAAGCTTAGAACCGAAGTTTTGAAAATGAAAAAATTCGTACATCGTGGAGTATATGCGTATATTTTGTCGATTGTTCTTTTGACAGCTATTTGATTTAGTAGTCCAAGCCGATATATGCCAGAGGCACCTGCAATTAAAATAAAAATTTTGGGAAAGCTTTATATAGAAAGCTTCAAAACTGAGAGACTAGCTTGGCTGAAATTATAACACATGGGTATGCAAAATATCAAAATCGCCCAATTCTAACTTATAGAACAGTTTCATGTATGTTTTATACCCCTGCAGAGGGTATTATAATTTCCGACCCTATAAAGAATATATATTCTTGATCAGCATCACCAGGAGAGTCTAGCCATGTCCATCTGTCCGTCTGACCGTCCGTCTGTCCGTCCGTTTCTACGCAAACTAGTCCCTCAGTTTTAAAGCTATCTGCTTGAAACTTTCCCAAAAGTTGTCTTTCTATTGCAGGTAGTTATTGGTTTCAGTTACCAATATTATTTGCAGGTTAAACTTTATGCAACTCATGTTTTTATACCCTTGCAGAGGGTATTAAATTTTGGTCAGAAGTTTGTATCGCAATGAAGGAGACGTTTCCGACCCCATAAAGTGTATATATTCTTGATCAGGATCAATAGAGGATTCGATATAGCCATGTCCGTCTGTCCGTCTGTTTCAATACCGTTTGCGAGCTCAGTTTACAAGCTAGCGATCTGAAACTTTCAAAGTCGTCCTAAAATATGTGTACGCAGATCAAGTTTGAAAATCGCCCCGATCGGACGTCTATATCCGTATAAAAAGTTTTTGACATTAATCCTTCCAGCGCGTGCCGATTGGACGTCTATATCCTATAGCTCCCATAGCAACAATAGGGTGAAATCGGTTAAAATTTTATGATTTTCAGGATATTTCGCACAGTATATAAGCTATTGACATGAATCTTTCCAAATCGTATTTTTTTTATGCATTCTATATCCTATTGCTCCCATAGGAACAATAGGGTGAAATCTGTCCAAATTTGATGTTTTTCAGAATATTTCGCGCAGTGTATTGACATAAATTGTTCGAAGTCCTATTTATTTACCCATATCTTGATCGGGGTAAAAACACTTGCCGATCGGACGTCTATATCTTATAGCTTCCGTAGTAATAATTGTTAAAGGCGGCGAAAATATCCCTATTTTTCTATTTTTATATGACGTTTTTGCAGTATAAAAGCTATTGACATGAAACTATGCAAAGCTAATTTATTTATGTATACCCTATTCTTTTCGCTACTTTTTCAATCAATTTATCAATTTCGGCAAAGTCTGCAAGGGTATTAAAACTTCGGCTTGCCGAAGTTCGCTTCCGTCCTCGTTATATTTAGCACCGATTATATTACAAGATGTTAATATATGATCTTTAATCACAATATATTTTCCTTCAATAATCAGAATGGTCGACGTCGCAGGACAGCGATCCGAGAGAAAAAAATGGATGCATTGTTTTTCAAATGTGACATCAGTTATATTTTTGGCAGCGATATCGGAATACGATCAAGTTTTGTTTGAATGTGATACAGATGTACAGTTTTAGTTTTTATTCAAATGTTTCCGAATAAATTATCAAATGCCCTACTTGCAGAATCGAATGGAGGAATCTAAAGCTTTATTTCAAACGATAATTACTTGCCAATGGTTTCAAAAATCTTCACTTATTCTTTTCCTGAACAAAATTGACTTGTTGGAGGAGAAAATATTGACTTCGCATTTGGTGGACTATTTTCCTGAATACGATGGTAAGGTGTTCCTAATTATAATTCCCCATTTGTACTCTTCATACATATACATCAATATGTAAAATCATCTCTAAATAATATTCTTGTTCTTAAAGTACCATGTTTCAAATAGCATTTTGTTTTCTTTTTTTTAACAGGTCCACAGCAAGATGCAACAGCGGCCCAAGAATTCATATTGGAAATGTATGAAGGATTAAATCCAGATTGTGAAAGAAAAATCTATACTCATTTTACTTGTGCTACGGGTAAGTATCAGATCAGACACAGCTGGTGTTTGTAATTCTAACATATTTTACAAAGTCATCCCATTAAATTTTAATTTTTTTTTGCTTAGATACGGAAAATATAAGGTTTGTCTTTGCGGCTGTTAAGGACACAATTCTGCAATTGCATCTTAAGGAAAATAATTTGCTTTAAAAATCTTAAGGATTTAACTATGTATATTTTTGTGATTTTTATACAAACACATGTAGCATACACAGAGAGTATTCTGACATTGTCAAAATGAGTTAAATTCGTGCTTAAGCGATATAATACCAGACAAAACTGTTTTTCAAACTCTGAGTATCCCAAAGCTTAGAACATCCATTTGGAGTTTTAAATTTTTAAAGATTTTAAATATTTTAATTTTGTTTTGAAAAATAAGAAGAGTGTAATCAACCTTACCAAGCTGAAGTTTGTAGCTTTTACAAAAATGAAATATTCCGTATTACGACTCCACATCGATTTTAATGTTTTAAAACTAAGAGCTATAACGATTTTCCGAAAAAATGATAAGAAGACTTTTCGGAAAGGTTTAACCAAATAGCTTTAAGTGCGAGAATAGTTTGGACAGACAGATGGACATGTCTAGATCGTCTCGCCTGGTAATGATAATCAGGAATACCCATATCTTTATAGGGTCGGAAACGTCTTTTCCACTACGTTGCCAACATCTGACTTAAATTATAATACTCTATGCAAGTAATAACAATTTTACAGTTTAGTAATATGTTTATTTTGTAATCTAACACGGCTAAGCAGAACTTGATTCCTTTTTACTTACTGGTGCATGTCTCTTGTGTAAATACATTTTTTATATTATAATTAAAAGTATATATGTACACTTTAATATTATTAAAATCTAATGTAATATAAATGTATGCACCAGTATGTCTAACTCTTGCGTACGAATTATTTAAAATCACTGTAACTAGACATAATAGTTATTCTGTAATTTTTATTTTGACAACTTAAAATATAATTTTGTTCAATCATTATTTGTTTTAATAATAAAATTTATATTAAAAAAATTTTTGAATATCTTTCAAACTATGCAAAGCGGAGTAACTCGCACTACAGACTCTGCTATCAGCGATTCACCTAAAAATTCACTGCCTGCAACGAGTCTGCAAAGGAAAAGGGACAAAACTTAAAATGTATTAAAAGTGAATTATTCAAACTGTGTAATTTGGAAGACTAGTTGTAGAAAAGGGTTACTGGTTTTATTTATGTTTGTATTTCCCTTCTCCAGTCCAAGAACGCTTCGATTAACCATAGTTTTTTTCAAAATGGATTTTCAAAACAAATGTGCAAAAATGAAAATATCGATAGATTAGTTAAGTCGATTACTTCAAATTGTCCCTTAATTTATATGTTCTCTTAAAAACAGGAAAGTGATTTCCGCTCAGTAAGATTAGTTCAGCTCAGCGCAATTGGGATAAAGCAAACTGTCGAACAGTTTTCGAAAATTCTCAGAACACTACGGGCGTACATTTGAGCTTGCTTTATAGCACGCGATTATTCTGAAAAAGGTTTGAAAAAGAGATAAAACAAAGAAAAAAAGCAAAAGTTGCAAAATGTAAATTGATCGCTGGATCTAAATGTGCAAAAAAAATAAAATAAAACACACAAAAGCCCTAAAGCAAATCAAATAGCTCTGTGCTAAATGAATACATGTTAATGCTAAAATAAAAAAAATAGAGATTGTGTAAGAACGTGAGTCACTTTAATTATTTCGTTTTACCCAGTGCACACTGGTTCGGACCGCCAACATTTTTTTTTAAATTCATATAAAAGTTAATTTAATTCTATCTGCTAGTTTTGTACAAATTGACGAAACCTTTACTCTTTAGAGCTACATACATATGCAAACCTGTCAAAGCGATATCCCGGAGTATATGTGAATCGTTAAAAAAATCAAGAAGCTCACAAGCCGCAAATCTACTTGTTTACAAAAAAAGAAAATTTATTTAAATCTCGATGCGAGAATAGCATACGCACTTCTGAAATGAGTTTATAGAAGAGGACACGATCTTTACAAACTTCTCTTATAGCAGCTATTTCTTTAGTGAGTACTTGAATAGGTTAAATAAAAAATCTTAAAATGACGGAGTATATGTACGGAAGGGCGGAGCCCAATGCGTTAAATATAGATATATACAATAAAAAATGAGTAGCTTAGTTCATTATAAAATTATAACCGGAAAAATATGTGGCCATATGTTTAAAAAATAAATGTTAATTAGGGTTACGTTATTCTTTACGTTTAATGTGTTAGTTTTTGGTGTGCAATATATTCGAAAACCTTAATGTTTTATTTAAAGTTTTAGGCGGTGCCCAATGGTCTAAAAGATTCCGTTTAAATTTCTCATTCGAGGAGCGATGGCAGAAAGAATACATTTTTTGATCAAAGGCAACTGTCCGTATGAGTAATAAACTTTGAATTCAACGAGGATTCCCTGAATCTCTAATACGCATTAGGAATGCGAATAGTATAAGACTGTATATGGACCGCCCTAGTGTACATACATACATACATAAATTCATATATCACAGATAATTTCATATTTTATTAAAAAAGTTTGCTGCTACAATCAAGTTATTTTCGTTTTTAGTGTTTTGCCTTATAATATAACACTATCTGATAGAGGATTGCCTATTTTAGTAGCAATTTCTTTATTATAGGTAAAAATAAAAATGTTAATCTTCTTGACCCAAATATAGCATGTGGTAATACATATCTAATAGATCCCTTCAAATCATCAACATCTAGTTAAGGACCCGTTATTGGCTAAATCAAAAGAAAGTGAATCGGGTTCATAACTGATGGACGAGATCTAAAGGCCGAGCAATCAGGATAGATTTCTACAAGGGACGGCGGTTCCATAAATCTAGTAACCATGTCCTGTTGTTTATCGGCCGAGGAGAGGGAACAAAAGGAGATCAGTAAGCTAATCGACAGGCAGTTGCGGAAGGACAGGAAAAGTGCGCTCAGCGAGCGTAAACTGTTGGTGCTGGGTAAGTGGAACATAAAACACTAGTTTATAGCAGCTATATATTATTCAAATTTATATTAACAGGCACGGGCGAGTCCGGGAAGTCAACATTCATCAAGCAGATGCGCATCATCCACGACGGGGGCTTCACAACCCTGGAAAAGCGTGGGTACATAAAACTGGTTTTCCAAAACATCTTCATGTCCATGCAGTCAATGATCAAAGCCATGGCCAAGCTGGATATTTCTTATGGTCAAAAAGAACATAAAGTAAGTGATCATTGGCTTTACTTATGCACTATTAATCGAACAACCAACAGGAACTTGCCGATCTTGTGTTGAGCATCGCATACGACACGGTGGAAACGTTTAAGGATCCTTACGTGAGTGCCATTAGAACGCTTTGGGGCGATGCAGGCATCCGGAAGTGTTACGATCGTCGAAATGAATATCAGCTGACTGATTCCGCCGAATAGTGAGTTATCCGATTTAATTTCGAGGTAAAATGAGCACCCAAAACCAACTATTGAGGCTGAAACTGACATAAATTTAAAAAATTTAAACTAAATTACTAAATTAACTTATGTATAGTTATTTGAAGGCTCTCGATCGTGTGGCTCAACCATTTTTAGAGTTTGTATGCCGACAAAAGGGATAATTATAGCTATATTATAGTTATTTGATTAAAAGTAACTTTTTTATTCTAATTTAGCTTCTTGAGCGACTTAGCTCGAATTGAAAAGGATAGATACTTGCCAACCGAGCAAGATATTCTTCGTGTTCGAGTGCCGACGCAAGGCATTGTTGAGTATCAATTCGATTTGAAAGGCTTAAAGATAAGGTATCTATTCAAAATATAATTGACAAATAACTGAAGAGGCTAAAAATGCAGCTAGTAGAATTATATTGCTTATAGTTACTAATATTATTTGCGGCTTGCGCTTTAAGCAACTAACGTTTTTATGTTTGGCATCGACAGAAATTTATTAAAACTTTCTAATAATGTTATCTGTTTCTTCAACAATCAGAATGGTTGACGTCGCAGGGCAGCGATCCGAGAGAGCAAAGTGGATTCATTGTTTTGAGAACGTGACATCAATAATGTTCCTAGCAGCTCTATCGGAATTCGATCAATCGCTTGCTGAAGCTGAAAGTGATGTAAGGCTACAAGCCTTTTTCTCAAATGCTGTCCAATAAATAATCAAACGTATTAATTTCAGAATAGAATGAAGGAATCTAATGCTTTATTTCAATCGATAACTTTATCCCCTTGGTTTCAAAATGTTTCGCATATCCTATTTCTGAATAAGACAGACTTGTTCGCAGAGAAAATAATGACCAGGGATTTGGTAGACTATTTTCCTGAATACAATGGTAAGTGTTTCCGTTTTGCATTCCAGCTCATCTGTAGATTAGTAGTACATTAATATTTCCTGTAGAGTCATGCTATTTGTAATTTTTTATTTTTTCTTGCATCGACCAGGTCCGAAGAAAGATGTAAAAAAGGCCCAAGATTTCATACTGAAAATGTATGTACCAGATGACCGCAAAATATATTCTCACTTTACATGTGCTACGAGTAAGTGTAGTTCTGGTCAGGAAGTATATAGGTTCTAGTGATTTTACTTTTCAAAAAGTTAAAGATAAATGCAATGCTAAAATCACTCTGACAATTTAATTTGCCACGGTCATTTCATGACAAATGGACATTTAAATATAATCACAATATAAGAATTTTATTATCGCTCTTAAAAATCCTTTTTTTTATTTTTAGGTACAGATAATATTAGATTTGTGTTTGCGGCTGTGAAGGACACAATTGTGAAAGCACACCTTGATGCATTCAATTTATAATAATCCAGCAAACGATTAGATAAATTGCATTGCAAATAAATAATTGATTACAATATAGTTTTTTTAATAATTAGTTAAAAACCTTTATTCCCCTTAGTTTTAATGAGCAAATTATATAATTTAAATTAAATTTTCCATGTTTGGACGTTACAAAACTGTTATTTATTTCAAACTTAAGATTTACATATACACTCGATTAAAATTAACACGTTTCACAAACTGTTCTTATTTGTCTTAGCGCAATAACTTCAAAAATCGCCCTGCCTGAAGCTGGGGATTCAGTACAAATTAACTATCACAATGAATTCATATTTTTGTCATGCTTTGCATTGGCCGTATAATCTAGTATTGGCGAACAAGCGAACTAAACATCACATTGATCAACAGTTAAAACGAAACTCTTACAAACTTAATTAGTTAATCTTGGGGATTGGGGGTTCTATCAAATCGTTTTGGCACTTGGGCATTTACATGACCACGAAGTCGCTGAGGTTGCGTTCAGGTTGGACCATACTTGGTGGCATCAGTTGCACCAGTTTGTTAAACAAAAAAGCTCGTTTATTCTTCAGCTCGGGTGTGCACTCCGTGCGCGCTCTTTTGGTGCACGACGAGGAACTGGGACTGGAGGCGGTCTCCGAGATGCCGGACGAGATCAGGCTTTCGTTCGACTCCAGCGAAATGTTCTCAGTGGCGGGGCCATCAGCCACTTCATCTGCAAATATAAAAGCTCAGTGCTCATGCCAAAAAAAAATTATGTAAAAATTAAACCTCTTATTTTGGCCGAAACATCGGGATCTGTTTCAAGATCTTCACCATCAGCACACAGTGCTGGTGTGGTACACTCTCTTTCAAGGCTACCATCATGGTTTTTAAATAGCAAAGAAGCCAGTTTGTGGAACTAAAATTAGTTTAAAAGGACATTACATATATAGCACGCTGTAAGAAATATAAGTCTTACATTATTTAACTGCTCCACGTCGCTATGATCAATCACAGCGGCTATATGATGACGCAAATACTGCATTGCCTTCAAGGGATCCTGGCGCGTCATCTCCTCATAGCGCAGCTTGCGCACCAAAAACCGACAGTGCTTAAGGATCTCCTCTCGTTTTGGTCTATAATAAGATTTAATTTGTATATGTTTGTTAATTAATACGGATATTTACTTTTCCAAGCGCAGTAGCCAAAAATCATCAAGCCTTAATTGCTGTTGCTGGCAGATTCCAGGATTTCCGCCAAACAAATAATGAGTATTGGCCAGATCATCGTACACCAATTGGTGGGCATAGCGTGGACAGGGCTCTAGGGCTCCATCCCCTTTGCTGGCACCCAAGATGTTCATTCTGCTGATGGAGTTCGCATCCTGGCCACTGTGGCGGCAGTAATATATTCTAGACCACTTGTGATTTCGCAGGGAATATACCCAAAACGAGTTCGATGCATCAACGTGCTGTATATCACGACGATCCTTAACCTTACTCAAGCTCTAGAATGATATGAATTAGTTAAGGATTCTGTGATTGTGTCTTTTAGGCATACAGAAAATATATAAATCTCATCGCGTTCACAATCGATCGTGGCGCGCAGAGTATACCCTGATGAGGGTTCAAATTTGGCTTCGTTGCCAGCGGTGGTTCCATGATGAGGGTGCTCCTTGTTAAGCACGGATATTGCCTGGGTGTCTACGTCGTAGCTGAGGAACTCGTCCAGATCTTCCTTGCCTCGTTGTCCGCCGTATATGTACAGTTTTCGATGTTTCTAATATAAGAACTAAATGAATTGTGAAACTTTGTAAAGTGAATCAAACCTACATTGTGAAAAACCATGCAATGTGTGATCCTGGACTTAATGGACATCACATCTGCCATCGATGCGCTAACGTGATGACAATCCACAAGAATTTGTGCCCAGGTATTCGTTGCTATGTGATAGGAAAACAACCCCGAATACTCCGGCTCTATCGCTCCCGTGGCATTGACACTGCGAGGCGTCAGTATTTTGCCCCCAAATACGTAAATGGTACGCTTATCGGCATCCATGCACATCTGGTGATCGTAAACCAGCTGGGGCCCACCCACTTGGCTAGTGTCATCGCAGATCTGCATCCAGTTGCCAGCTCTAGTATCATACAGGTAAAAGTCACTCTTAATATAGTCCGAAGTTCGTATTGAGTTGTCTAGGTAGCGACCAAGCATAAATACATTTTCGCTAATTGGATCAAAGACCATTTTGTGGCAGGATCGCGGTGTGGGTCCATTGGAAAGCTCTGACCTCTCGCATAGCAGTGACCACTGATTATCATCGATGTTAAATACCCAAAGGTCACTCAGATCCTGGTAGCCATCCCAGCCGCCGTAGAGATAAATCAGTCGCTTTTTGGCATCCACCACTAACTGATGACCTCCGCGATTGCCTGATAGAGTCGAAGTCTGTATTATAATATCTATTTGGAGAACGGAATACTAACCAGGCTTCACGTCGCTTTCAGTGAGCTTCATATGCCAGCTGTGCTTGTAGTCTTGCTTGTAGAGATACTCATCCATCAGACCCTCGTCAATGCACTCGACTATAAATCGCTCAGCCTTCTCAAAGTCGCCCTGTAAAACCTATTAAGGATATATGCACAGCAAACATATATTTTAAACCGAATATAATGTGTGTATTAAATTCTTAATATGTAAGCTATATATAAATTCTAAAAAATGTTAAAAATAGTAATTGGCTGATAAAGACTCTATAAACATTCTGAGATCGAAAATCACATTTCTTTTATCTAGAGGCCAGGGATTTCCACTCAAGATTATCTGCTTACCAGGCACTTATGCAGTTCGCTGATTAAAGGATGCTCCAGTTGCACATGCGTCTGCTCCTGGAGCGCCCCAAAGGCGCTCATGTAGCCCTGCTGACGAAAGTGCTTCAGGCACAACTTAATTATCTCCACCTCGCGCAGCGAGTTGTAGTTCTTCATGCGGGCACTGGTGTACATCGGGTCGTCCTGTCCGTGGAGCTCGACGTACCAAATGCTGAAGTTGAAGGACGGGCCCCAAGAGAGCAAGGGCACGATCTTGAGGTACAGTATTGGCAGATTCTCCGAGCCGTCTTCAGTCAGACAGCGCAGGTTGAATACTTCCGGTACGTTGTCGTTTTTCAGGCCGCTAGAGGAATACACGAACTTTATCAGGATTATGCTCTCTAGAGATAAGGATTAGCCTACCCTTCAAGCAACAAGACCATGTGCTCGTCCTCCAAGCCTCCGTAAACGCGGAATTTCTTGATATTGCACACATGCGACTTCTCGAACTTGCCAAACTTGATTTTTTTCACAATGGCGGGACGGCGAAGCTTCAAGGTAAGAAATTGCGGTGGACTGTTGGTGTAGGCGGACCACCTGGAAGTTTGATCGTTGGGGCAGTCTACGAGGACGTTTCTGCAAATCAAATGGATTGGAATTTATAGGGAAGCGCATTTCAGAATTACGAAATCCCGGGCATCCATTTTTTTCTTTGTTTGGCCCAACTTACTCGGGCAGATAGTTCGGCGAGTAGCTGGAGTAACGGTAGATCTCAAAGTTCAGGCGCTCGGAGAGGGAAAATGGCTTTTGGGCGTTGCTTTGGGTGCTGGTATTCGTCCCGGATGCCGGATTTAAGGCGCCACCAAACGAGGACGGCGCCACCGATCCATGCGAGCTGTTGTCCGTGGGACTGGATGTCGAGGAGGAGGACATAGTTGATGGATGTGCGGGGCTATGTTCCAATGATCCTTTCGGTTTGAGAGAGAGTGAGTGCCGGCCAAAGAGCAAACTAATTGCGGTTGTTACTTTTTCTATTTATCCGCCTTTTCGGTGCTCTCCTATTTCCACACCCGCAACAACCGCGTAACAGCTGATTGTCAGGGGCGTAAAAGTAAAATACTTCAAAGGGATTTCAAGGGCCTTAAACCATGGAGGAATGACATTTTATTTTAATCCATTAAAGAATTTATTCTAAGCTTGGGATCCTTAGTTTTAATTTACTTTCGAGCATATGACAAAATAAATACCCAATTTACTAAAAAAGTTTAAGCACAAACATATTACAATTAAATGAAATACAAAAATGGAAATTTACTTTAGAAATAAAAGATTTAAATGTATTAAATAAATAATTTATGTTCATGTTTTTTATATTCAGATTGCTTGGTCGTTATATGGTGAAAAATAATTATCGTTTCTTCAGAAAGGGGTAGGTAAAAAGCCTACCGCGTACGCCATTGTCTGATTGTCTTCGATATCTGCCAATCGTTAGCTATCGGTTATTGTTTTCAAAATTGATCACGCGTAAAATTGCGACTTTTAATAAAAAATATAGTCATTAAAAAGTATTTAGTACCTATTCTGAATCGATTAGGAAGATTCATTTTCATTTGCAGGGAAGATGGGAAAGTGTATTGATGTTGCGCGTGTATATTTCGGCGTTTTTTTATGCCTAGCACACACAATTGTATGTTTGATTACCCACTTGTTCCGAAACTTGTACAGGTTTAACGTTTCGTTTGTTTTAGTCCTTCTCCAAGGAAGCGTTTTACAAACTCAAGAAAAGTGAATGTTCAGCTAATGAGGACTATTTTAGCAATGTTTCGTGTGTTTTGAAACCAATAAGCTGGACTAGATCTGTTTTAAACATGGACTGTGACATAAAAGACATTTTAACGGATATTAAAGTAAATATACGCAATATTTTCTGTATTTTAATCGTTTATGAGAGTTTTAGATGACGGTGGACGTTTTCTACAAGGATTCTTCATATCTTTATAAGCCGTTTGCTCTCAAAATAAACCTTGATATATGCCAACTTTTAAAGAAAAAAACACATCAACATTTTTTGGAAAATTATGCTTTTAACCATTTTCAAACCTTGACTAATGTTAATCACAGTTGCCCATACACGGTAAGTTTTAGTTTAGGTGAAACCTTTATAATAACTACAATTAACTTAATTTTACAGGGCCACTTATTTGCACGCGACTTTCATTTGGATGATGTGTCTTTGCCTGCTCTTCCTCTTCAAGATTACAAAATTGCATTCAATTTTTCAGGTACCAAGCCGTGGAAACACTTAGGTGTGGTTTTAATCTTCTTGGAAGTGGTCGAGGATTATTCCAAGAACAAGAGGAATAAGCCACGGATAAAGATGATTGATTTTGCTTAAACTGTAAATGGGAATTTACAAATTTTATCTGAATTATAAAGAAATTTGTTCTGTAAAACATACGTATATTTTTCTCTATAATTTAAAATAACGATTAGTCTGACTATTAAATTCGCTTCTGACCATTTTGTTGGCTGCAACCGATAGTAATCGATAACTTTTCGGGAAAAAAAATAGCCACAATAAGGTCTCTCTTATTTCTGTGTCGTGGCTTGGCTTTGCTCTGAATTTTGTAGTCTTAAAATAATTAATTAATAAATAGCCATGGCCTTTGAGGCGATACCCAAGGATTTGCGAGGACTGCGCGCCTGTCTCGTTTGCTCCCTGGTAAAAGTAAGTTGTGTCTGTCCGGTTATCCTGCCCTTATTAATCGGGAAACTTTTTCCACCTCTAGAGTTTTGATCAATTTGAGACTGATGGCTGCGAAAACTGCGAGGAGTTCCTGCGGATGAAGAACAACAAGGACAATGTGTACGATCATACGAGCAACAATTTTGACGGCATCATTGCGTTGACCACCCCCACCGACTCCTGGGTGGCCAAATGGCAGCGATTAGGTAAAGTCTTCATACATATGTAGGATTTTATATGGCCCTTTGCTATAGTTGTTTTAAATTTCGTATAGCCCGCTTCACCCGTGGCATCTACGCCATCTCCGTATCCGGAACTCTGCCACAGTCCACTTTACGGGACATGAAAAACCGTGGTATTGTCTACAAAACCAGAGATAGAAGCCAGCGATAAGCCACCGGTTTGCCGTACAAAATACATGTGTAAATCTTTATTTTTAAGTTATAACAAAACCACAAATACATACAATAGCAATACAAAATGAGGCCGCATCAGTCATCCAGCGAGCTAACGCGCAACCCCTCTCCTCCAGCAGTCGTCACATGAACACCAAAGCCCGCCGATTCGAGCTCCTCCTTGAGCTTCCAGTAGACCTCGTTGCACTCGTAGTTCTCCGGCAGCAGGACAATCACATATCCACCGGCACCGGCCCCCGTCAGCTTCGAGAAGAAGCCCCGCTTGAAGGCGATGGTGAATATCTGTTCTAGTTTGGGATGCGACACTCCTATGGCCTTAAGCAGGTCGTTGTTGATTTGGAAAAGGCGCTCCAGCTTTTCGAACTTGGCGCTATCGTCCTGGGCATTGCCAAAGCTCTCGTAAAGTGGAACGGCGGCGGTGACCAGCTCTTCGCAGGCCTGCCAAATGGCCTCTATGAGCTGCGGGAAAGCCTCTCCTAGATGTCGCACCTTGGCCACAATGTCTGCGGTGCTGCGACTCACACGACTGTCCACCAGCAGGATGTTTAGTGGCTTCTGAATGTGCAGCGACTGGAAGCCCTGACCCTTGACATACCGCAGCATTCCTCCATAAGTGCACACTGTGTTGTCCAGACCTGAAGGAGTGCCATGATTAACCCGCTCCGATTCGAAGGCCCAGTTGGAGATCAAAGCCTGGTTTTCCTCCTTCAAGTAGCTGTCTCTATCAAAGTGCCCGGCCAAAATAAGAAAACTCGTGGCTAAAGCGGCACCAAAAGAGGCGGAACTTCCCAAACCGGCGCCGACGTTCAACTGGCTGTCTACCTTCACCTGGAAACCGGTTTGCAGTGTCATTTTCGGACTGCCGGGCGAGGAGAGTAAAGCGCCTGCCAGTAGATAGTAGATGGAGACAAAGGCCCGCTGAGTGTGCTGCTTGGGTGCACTGCCTCCAGATCGTTCCAGCTGCTTAGATACCTCGGCACGGACTGCCTCCAGCAGTTTGGCTGTGCTGTCTGAAGGATACTTGCTCCTGAAGTCAGCCAGAAAGTCATTGAACTCCGGCAACTGTATTTCCAGGGTGCAATTGAGTGCATCCAGTTGAAAACTAGCCACCTGGCTGGTCTCCAACTGGCGGAATCTCAAAGTGGTGCCCAATCCCACAACGGCGGCAAGGGCAGGACGATGGTATACCACTGCGTGCTCCCCATGGAGGATTACCTTGCCCGGAGAATGGACCTGGAACTTAATCATCGTTGTTCGCGGTGATCTCTGTTGTGTTCTGTATTGTAAAGGTATAGCTTTATCGGTTTATCAGCTATTTTCAAAAGTGTTATGCTAATGCCTTTGCCCTCTCGTGAGTACTTAAACTTTTATGGGTGTTTTTTATGTAACGTATGCATTTAGCGGATCATTTGCGTTGTTTATTTGGTAACTCCAATATCAGCGTGCCGATTCCTGTGCTTTCCCTTTCACTTTCTTTGTTCGACTGGCGTTTTTTCGGGTTTTCGTTTCTTCGATCAGATCGTCACACGCTAAAGCGCAACTACCAACAAACGAACAACAGGTTATTGCGGACTGTGATTGTTGTTGTATGTATATGATGGTCTTTTTGTTGTTGTCGATTTTGGTATTACTATTGGGCTTTCACTTTCTCCCACTCTTCGGGCGTGTACGATTTCTGGGAGAATGCATGGATTTCTTTGAGTTCTTCTGCCAGTGTGGAGTTGACTAATCTATGTTTTTGCAACAGGGTTTTGCCGTTGAAGGCCGGTGTCACAATGATTGCGCTGAATTTGCCGCCACACCCGTCCGATTCGTCCGTTACACTCACGTACTCCGTCTGCAATTCCTTTTTAAGCTTGTCTTCCAGGTACTTTGAGTCGTATTTACTCATTTTTGATTTTTTTTTAAACAAAACGAGGTGCTTAGTATTGACAGTGTGGCCGTTTGGGATTTTGGCTAAATTATTGTTGCTTGCAAGCCGGTAGTTGGTATTTTCCGATCACACTATTGTAATTTTCAATGTTAATCGTTTATTTTTTGATTTTAAGCCCAGTAAACAAATCAAAAAACGAGTTCGCAAGCGGATAAACTTTAATCTTTTCAGTGTGTCAGCATTTTTGAGAGTTAATCATTATTAAGCGTGCTACGGCCGTAGCTGGTACAATCAGCTGGTTCTGTTAATAAGCAGCTAAAATTAAAAAATCTTTTTTTGCGGGAAGGAGCTTTTAAAAGATATTTTCAACCACTTTGAAAACACATGTCTGCCACAATACAAAGAAAATAGAAAACACTATAATTTAAATTTATTTTATTTATTTTCATTTTTTTTATTACTAATAATTATGTGCTTCTTCTGTTGCTTATTCTGTTACTTCTGCTGTTGTTGCCGTGATGTTATCAGTGGGCCCGGCCACAAGGACACCGGAACCGGAAACTGGGGCCTGCGACTTCGCTCCTCCTTCGGCGGGCGTGGCTGTAGAGCGGCTGCAACACGGACGACGGCTGCTGCTGTTGCTGCTTCTTCTGCTGTTGCCTCTGTTGTTACGTCTGTTGTTGCTTCTGTTCTTGCTTCTGATTCTACTTCTTCGGCCAATTAACTGTAAATCCATTTAAGCAGCCATATAAAAATATATTTAAAGATTAAAAGGGACGATGAGCTTTTGATATTTGTATTTATATTGGGATATTTTACAATATGTTTAGGTTTCCATAACAGGACTCCCGAAGTCGATATTACCGGATTTGTATAGCTGATAAATTCACAACTTCTAAGGTATCAATTTTAATATCTATTTTTCTATTTACTCTAACATGATTATCATACACTCAGAAAAAAGAATTTCCCAAAATAATAGTAATTCACGTTTTATTGCCTTCAGTTTTTATTTTAAGTTTTTTAAGTGGTTCATATTACCAAAAAAAAACATATTTTTGGGTCAAACATTTTTAGGAATCTGTTGTAATAAACTATTGCATTTTCTTTCTTTATTCAAGAGGAATACCAAAACTATTTAAGTGTGTAGACCAAATGTTTAGTCCGTTGTTCTATTAATTTCAGTCCATTATAATATTATAAAATAGAATGCGCCGAAATTAACTTTTTGTCAGCGGAAATACACCAAAATGTTGTTTTTTTTCAATTTTATTGCTATCCTATAATTAATTCTTCAATAGTGATTTTAGATCAAATATCCTAAAATTGCAGGCTTTTTTATATATTTTATATGTACATATTTATATTTCAAATACTTTTCGGGGATTTTTCTCAATACCAAAGTTAAGTTATTTTTATAAATTGTCAGATGCTGGTCGTCAGCATTTTCTTAACGATTTTTGAGTTCGTTCCTTATTTAAAAGTTGCTTACCATTTAAAGGCTACTAACCAAAAGAAAAGTAGTTGGTAGTAAAATAAGCAGTTTTCCATTAAAAATAACGAGAAACAGAAAAAACACATACAGTCAGTGCTGCCACTCAAAGTAAAGGGAACTAGCATTGCCAGACATACTATCGATAGTTCATCGCTATTTTGCCGCCACCTTTTTTGCTGCAGCCAACTTCGCTCATTCATCGTACGTTTTGCGATAGCACGCGCAGTTTTCCCACCATTCATTATAAAAAAAATCGCATGTAATTATTTACTATTTGTTTTAGCGAAACTCGATTTGTTTTGTGTTAATTGTACAACATCCTTGTGTTGAATGCGTTACTAACAATTTGGACATACGATTTTCAGTGCAAATTGAAGGAGACAAAAAAGCATCACGCCATATTGCCGAAGGTAAAATTGTGGAAAAACTGAATTCTTCTTGAAAGACAGACGCCGGCATTGCTAATATGTCCAAAACAGAAACCGCCGCGGTGGAGGCAACCGAGGAGAACTCAGTAAGTGAAACTAGGGTGAGACTGCCACACAGAAGTCTATACATAGCCACCCATCCCTTGCAGAATGAGACCACTTCAGATGCAGCCACCAGTTCATCCGGCGAAAAGGAGGCCGAGTTCGACAACAAAATCGAGGCGGATCGCAGCAGGCGCTTCGATTTCCTACTGAAGCAGACGGAAATCTTCACCCATTTCATGACCAACAGCGCGAAGAGTCCCACAAAGCCCAAGGGAAGACCCAAGAAGATCAAGGACAAGGAAAAGGACATAGCCGAGTGAGTAGTGCAGCTCCAAAACCCATTTCTTGTATTAATTTCTCCCCTTTTTTTAAAACCAGTCATAGGCACCGAAAAACGGAACAGGAGGAAGATGAGGAGCTACTTGCGGAGGACTCGGCCACCAAGGAGATCTTCCGCTTCGATGCATCACCCACCTACATTAAAGGCGGTGAAATGCGTGATTATCAGATCCGCGGTCTTAACTGGATGATTTCGCTGTACGAGAATGGCATCAACGGAATCCTGGCCGATGAAATGGGTCTGGGCAAGACTCTGCAGACAATTTCCCTGCTGGGCTACCTCAAGCATTTTAAGTGCGTTTCTACAGCTATAAATCCTTTAAGAATATCTCTAAATTTTAAACTATTCCTGCAGAAACCAAGCTGGCCCCCACATCGTCATTGTGCCCAAATCTACGCTTCAGAACTGGGTGAATGAGTTCAAAAAGTGGTGTCCTTCGCTTAGGGCCGTTTGCCTGATTGGCGACCAGGACACTCGCAACACCTTCATTCGGGATGTTCTCATGCCTGGAGAGTGGGATGTTTGCGTGACATCCTATGAAATGTGCATCCGCGAAAAGTCAGTTTTTAAGAAGTTCAACTGGCGATATTTGGTCATCGACGAGGCCCACCGTATCAAGAACGAGAAATCAAAACTTTCGGAGATCCTACGGGAGTTCAAGACCGCCAATCGCCTGCTTATCACGGGTACTCCGCTGCAGAATAATCTCCACGAGCTGTGGGCCCTGCTCAATTTCCTGCTACCCGATGTTTTTAACTCGTCGGAGGACTTCGACGAGTGGTTCAACACGAACACTTGCCTGGGTGACGATGCTCTGATTACGCGCTTGCACGCCGTGCTGAAGCCTTTCCTACTGCGTCGTCTCAAGGCCGAGGTGGAGAAGCGTCTAAAGCCGAAAAAGGAGATGAAGATATTTGTAGGTCTGTCCAAGATGCAACGCGACTGGTACACGAAGGTGTTGCTCAAGGACATAGATGTGGTTAATGGCGCCGGCAAGGTGGAAAAGATGCGGCTACAGAACATCTTGATGCAGCTTCGCAAATGCACAAACCACCCGTATTTGTTCGATGGCGCCGAACCAGGACCACCTTACACCACGGACACCCATTTGGTGTACAACTCCGGCAAGATGGCCATTCTGGACAAGCTGCTGCCCAAGCTGCAGGAACAGGGATCGCGTGTACTGATATTCTCCCAAATGACGAGGATGTTGGACATCCTGGAGGATTACTGCCACTGGCGCAACTACAACTACTGTCGGCTGGATGGCCAGACGCCACACGAGGACCGTAACCGACAGATCCAGGAGTTTAATATGGACAATAGCGCGAAGTTCCTCTTCATGTTGTCGACTCGAGCAGGTGGCTTGGGTATCAACTTAGCTACCGCTGATGTGGTCATTATCTACGACTCGGACTGGAATCCCCAGATGGACTTGCAGGCTATGGATCGAGCTCATCGTATTGGTCAAAAGAAGCAAGTACGTGTTTTCCGCCTGATCACTGAAAGCACCGTGGAGGAAAAGATAGTCGAGAGGGCCGAGGTGAAGCTGCGCCTAGACAAGATGGTCATCCAGGGTGGTCGATTGGTAGACAACCGGTCTAATCAGTTGAACAAGGATGAAATGCTTAACATTATCCGTTTTGGAGCTAACCAAGTTTTCAGTTCGAAAGAAACCGACATCACAGATGAGGACATTGACGTGATCCTGGAGCGCGGTGAGGCTAAGACGGCCGAACAAAAAGCAACACTCGACAGTCTTGGCGAGAGTTCGCTGCGCACTTTCACAATGGACACAAACGGCGAGGCAGGAACATCCTCAGTCTACCAATTCGAGGGCGAGGACTGGCGCGAGAAACAGAAACTCAATGCCCTAGGTAACTGGATCGAACCTCCAAAGCGGGAGCGCAAGGCCAACTATGCCGTAGATGCCTATTTCCGAGAGGCGCTCCGCGTTTCCGAACCTAAGGCACCGAAGGCTCCTCGCCCACCCAAACAGCCCATTGTCCAGGACTTCCAGTTCTTCCCGCCTCGCCTTTTTGAGCTGCTCGACCAGGAGATCTATTACTTCCGCAAGACCGTGGGCTATAAAGTGCCCAAGAACACAGAACTGGGATCGGAGGCCACCAAGGTCCAGCGGGAAGAGCAGCGCAAGATCGATGAAGCGGAGCCGCTCAGTGAAGATGAGATCCAGGAGAAGGAAAACCTGCTTTCACACGGCTTCACTGCCTGGACCAAGCGCGACTTCAACCAATTCATCAAGGCCAATGAAAAGTACGGTCGGGATGACATCGACAACATTGCAAAGGACGTGGAGGGCAAGACACCGGAGGAGGTTATTGAGTACAATGCTGTGTTTTGGGAGCGTTGCACTGAGTTGCAGGATATTGAGCGAATAATGGGACAGATTGAGCGTGGAGAGGGCAAGATTCAGCGACGACTATCAATTAAGAAGGCTTTGGACCAAAAGGTTGGATCAAACGAAATCGTACAATTTGTTCATTCTCTTCATTTATTAGTTATTATTTCCCTTTACAGATGTCACGCTATCGAGCTCCCTTCCATCAGTTGCGACTCCAATATGGAAATAATAAAGGCAAGAATTACACAGAAATCGAAGATCGTTTTTTGGTTTGCATGCTGCACAAGTTGGGCTTTGACAAGGAGAATGTCTACGAGGAACTGCGAGCGGCCATAAGGTAAGTGCATATTTTAATTATTAGAAAGTGTAGTCGCATTTATAACAACAATTCTCCCACAGAGCTTCGCCTCAGTTCCGATTCGACTGGTTCATTAAATCTCGAACAGCTCTGGAGCTACAGCGTCGTTGCAACACATTGATCACCCTTATCGAGCGTGAGAACATCGAACTGGAGGAAAAGGAGCGCGCCGAGAAGAAGAAAAAGGCCCCCAAGGGCAGCGGATCCGCGGGCAGTGGAAATGCCAGCTCTAATACTCCAGCACCCGCACCGCAACCGAAAGCCAATCAAAAACGGAAGAGTGAGGTGGTGGCCACCAGTTCCAACTCGAAGAAGAAGAAGAAGTAGAGAAATAAAAGGCTCTTGAGATTCGGCTCCGCACTCAGCATTAGACAGTTACATAGTTAAGACAAGCGATTACTTAAACATATTTCACTCGACATAGATACTTAGTTTATAATTCACATCGGAAGCAATTGGCCCTCAACCCTCAGAATATCTTTCAAACACACCCGCCTACACATCCAACTATATTATTATTGCGTGCCGCTGTATTCTATTCCAAGTAATTGTACTTTGATCTAAGTCTTTAACCATTATATTTATATATTGGAACACAGCGATGTTAATTTTACTTACGTTTACGAAGGGGGATCCCCACAAAAAAACATAGGGGAGTTGTCTTTTCGTTCTGTTCTCTTTATAGTTTGGAATGCTGAGCAACTTAACATAATAACATTTATAAATTCTATGAATTTCAGCTTAGTTTGTGTAACAGGCACTTAAACTTAATATCATCTTGTTCATGCAGTCAACGGCATCGGCATATGGGCATCCGAGCCGCCTGACCATGTTCAACATGGCCGTAAGTTGGGTCTGAAGTGAATGTCGGCTTTGCCTGCTTTTTGAACTCATACTCGTCTTTCATGTCGCTTCCCTTGGGGGAAGCTACCTGCATCTAGTGTAATACTACGTGTCTGGTTTAAGGGTGAACAGCTGGAAACCTTAATCGTCGCCGCTATACATTTCGATGATCTCGTTGATGCTGGCGACGGCGCCCGCAACCAGAGCCAGAATGGAGAAGACACCCAGGAAGATGTTCTTTGCCAGCTTCCACTTGCACACGCCCAGGCGATCGGGCCACAGGTAAACGGTCTCCACGAAACTGGGCACAAAGATGCCCAGCAGCGAGAAGAACACAGCTCCCACCAAACTGATGAAGGGTTCCAGGTTGGGGATGGCAGCAGCCACACCACCGCTCAGCAGGATAATGCCACTGCGCAGCAGGATCTGTGTAATGTTATGCTTTTCGGGCTTGAACTTGTGGTTGATCTTGCGCCAGAGAATTTCATTGGGCACATAGAACTGCAGCCCAAAGGTGAAGAGGATGGCCACTGCCATCAGGAGCTTCGCAGTATCTCCCAGCCAGGCTCCCTCTGGTAGATTCAGGGTGATGCTGCCTCGGACCTCGTCGCCAAATCTCACGTAGCCGAAGAATCCGATGACGGCATAGAGCGAGACCACAGTGATCATAGCCGTGTTAAGGACACCGGGACATCCCAGGAAGTGCTGTGGCTTCTTCATCGAGTTCTCCACGGGCATCACAACACCAATTCCCTCCATGGCGAAGATTACGGTGGCGAAGAAGAGCGGAATGTTGGCAGCCTTTGCGATCAGTGGTTTATCGGAGTAGACCAGCGGTTCGTCAAACATGTAGTACAGAGTTATCGCAAAAGTCACAACAATGAAGACGTTGGCCATCATGGAGAACGGCACCAGCCATTTTAGGTCCCGGATCTGACCGATCAGCAGACAGGGAATCACGGTAATGGCAATGTAAATACGCACATCCCAGTTGATGCCGCAATCGTAGTTAATGACATCGTGGAAAGATGTCGCAATGAATACGATGTACACACAAGCAGCGGCGTAGTATGTGGCCATCAGGCCGATATCCACGAATTGCCTGAAAAAGGAGGAGTGTTATCATACAGGATCATCATCCGAATCGTCTCTGGGTGCTACTCACTTGGCAAAGTTTGAGTACGGACGCATTCCCTTTGGCCCATACTCGAAGACCTTCTCGGCCGTTTCAGCAAATCCTAAAGATGTCACCTTAGCATCCCGGCAAATGTTATGGGAAGTTTTTACCTGTAAGAAAAGGTTTATATTAACCATTACAAGATTTAAGCAAATAGTATTAAAAACTTATACCATAGGTCCTGTGACCATTTGCAAATAAAATACCAAACTAACACAAATCCAATTTTTTTTAAACTAGAGTATTTTCTTGTTTGTTTTATATTTTTCGCTTTTGAAAGTGGATTTAAAAAGTATCCCTACTGGATATATTAACTTTTATCAGTACCGGTCTTAAATTATTGTTAATTTAATAAGTAGCTCTGTCAGTTATGTACTTTAATTCACCATCTAATATAACAAAAAACCTTTTTTAATTAAATGATTTTAAAATTGTACTGCATTTTGTACTACCTTTTTGACAGCAGCTATTAAATTGTATATTAAGGTAAAGTACCCACTTGGCTCTTGAAACTATTGTACGAGTACGTAGTAGATGGTTATCTCACCTTAAACAGTTTTAACTCGGAATTTATAATACACACGTTCTACTATTTTAACCTTTAATAGTTAATCTAATTGATCGTAGTGCTAGCACTTGAAAAGGAGCTCGGGAAAAGTCCAAAATGACTGTCAAAATCTTAACGCCATAAATCTGCTGACTCGATTGGTTTATTATGTGTGTCCGCATTTATTTATATGACCGGTAGATGATCGGTGACTTGGCGATTCTAAGAGGCATTGGTTGATTTATGCAATGTTTGGCACGCAGTTCCTCCGATGTCTGGAGATTGGAGTGCGCTTGGTTCTTAGAAATTACGATTTGGTGGTTTTCCAAGGATCGGAAATACTTAATCGTAAAGGGAAGCAATAAAACTTCAGCAATCGCACATTGTATCTCCCCCGATAAGGACGAGTGGCGTCTGGTCTGGGTTTCGAGAAGCGTGCAACGATTGGACAGTCCGCTGCAGTGCTTATCTGGGCCCTACATACATATATAGGTCTTCTACTAACCATCGATTCGGCACCTTGAACTACTTAATACCCCGGGAAACTACGTCAGTGGCGGCTTATGCGGCTCACCTGGTCTGCCTGCTGTCTGTCTTCGTAATTGCTTGAGTAAACAGCCTGAATCAGGTGCTAAAATCTTGACCATTCCGCTTACCAATATATGTACGCAGTGGGTGCAGAGGAATCCGACGATCAGCGTCATGGCCATGCCGAAAGCCAAACCGGCGTTGTGAAAGGCCATTGGCATGGCCAGGATTCCCGTGCCCAGGGAACTCTTGAGCAAGTGCGACAAGGCGCCGCCAGCACTGGCTCCATTAGGATCGCGGTGGTCGAAGGGATCGTAGGGATCCTCCGATAGGGACTGTTGGTTCTTCTCTGTCAAGTTGGATCTTTAAGAAAGAAAGGAAAGTGTTATTTAGTGATTTTATAACTGTATAACTGGAAACAGCAAATTTTATTAAGGTTTATTGTTTGCTAATTTAGTTTTTGCACTTATATATATGATTTTTGTCTACGACTACCAAAATGCTTCGTGTTGAAATTTCGAACTCTTATTCTAAATATTATAATATTATATATATGTGTTTAGCAAAAAATTAGGTTCAAATGAGGTAAAAAGTTATTTGTTGTGTTTTTAATATAATCACAGACTTAAGGTTTTGTTTTATGCAAAGTGCTAGGGTAAATGGTAAATTAAGGCTAATGAAGGTTTTTTATTTAATAAAAGAACTGGACACAAAAGAGCCCAGAAAATCTGGAATACTTACTTCGAGTTGAAGTCATTCAATGTGGCCACTGAGCTTGAGTACGAGGGAGGGTTCTCGCCCGGCGCCGATGGGGTAAATCCCGCATTATCTGCCATCTGAAATCAAAAATTAACCAGGATCGGTTGTTATTAAATGGAATTAACACGTTTGGTTGATCGAGCGCGCACGAACTGTATTTTATCGCAGAAAGGAAGCACGAGATTCGCTTTCGTTGGCCATTTAAGGCTTGGGTTAATCCGCTCGAGGGTTGCTAGGCACAAGCCGGGCATATCTTATCGACGTTTGGAAACATTCGAGTATTAGAATAGCCTTGCCAAAGAGATTTCACATACTGGCCGATCGTTATCGGAAATGGCTAACGGAGCTGGGGGTGGGGTCGAGCAAATAAACAACAATCGCACTTCGTTCATAAAATTTAGCTTTATGGTGCCCTAAAAACGCTTGTAATTCCTTTGACTACGGCCGTAAAAGCGGACCCTAAATCAGCGTCCATATAGTAGTCACCACCTATTTTTCCTATTAAGTTGATTCATTGATGTGGGTTATACCTAAAGTTTTTCGCGGCAGCCGATCCACTTATCCCTCCAATTTACCCATGTTCTTTGAACTCAGATTATCGCAAACGTCATAAAGTTTTATTTAAAAGTCGCACTCTCTTCTATTAAAATTTATGAATCAATTATGGTATTGTTAAATAAATTGTGATGTTGTTGAAACCCGGGCTATTTTTTGATGTTCGTTGTACAATAACCACGATTCGAAAGGTCACGTGTTGGATTTATTAGCGAAAAGCTGAAGAAAATAATGATATTGAACTGTTAATTTCATAAGGGGAAAATGAATAAAATTGGTTGATAAGTTATTAAGTATTATTAGGTCAACATGAAAGACAATTATTTATGAATAGAACACAATATTATAACATAGTAATCCTTAACCAAGTTTCTTGCCCATAAGTCCATACAAATTCGATTGGAATCTGCTTGACAAATATGAATTAATTAAAATTGATCATAAAAAGTTAATATCCTACTCATACCAATAATTTTTGTATGAAAAAAAACTGCTTAATAATGGGTTGATATAAACGCAATCAAATAAGATTTTACTGTGATATTTATCTCTCTTTCCGTGGCACAGTTAACTTCGATCGATCATAAAGTCTTAAAACCATGGAAAATTTTCGAAATCGTGCAAGTATTTACTCCAACGTTTTTATGCCGCCCACGTTTTAATTTTCTCTTGAAATCTTTACAACTTTTGAACTTAAACTTTAAAGTAGCAGAATAAAATGTTTCTTAGTCATGCAGCATTAACGAAAATTGTACTGAAGTGTGTTATTAATATAATGTAACAACTACTTATTTCTATACCATTGTGGAGCGTATTATAATTTCAGATAAAAGTTTGCGACGCAGTGAAGGGGACGTTTCCGACCCTATAAGATATATATATTCTTGTTCAGCCATGTCGGTCTCTCCGACTGTCGGTTTCTACGCAAACTAGGCCCGCAGTCTTAAAGCTATTTTAATGAGACTTTGCAAAAAGGATTCTTCCTGCTGCAGGTGGTATATAAGTCCGAATTGGTCCACTATATCGTATAGATCCCATAGGAACAATCGGGAAAAAGGATATAAAATTATAACTTTGTTGTTTCTTAACATTTATCCATTAACTCCAGGATATAGTCATTTTTTATAAAAATCGGAAAAAAGGGAAATAATATAAAACTAAATACTTCGAGATATATCCATTTTTAACGATTTCAGAATTAGAAATCAGATGACTATATTTTATAGCTGTCATGGGAACGATCGAAAAATGTTTTAGAAAATCAACCTAGCTTTATTGTTTTTGTGCATCGAAATCTTAATATGAAATATTTAATTTTTGTAAAGACTGCAAGGGTATATTAACTTCGGCGTGTTGAAGTTTGCTTCCTTTCTTGTTGTTAACTGCAAACACTCGTATATCCTCAATTTTTTCGGGGCGCGATAAGAACACGTAGCATCACATTTCCGAAAACTTACTCTTCAGCTAGGATATAACGATCGCACAAGTTCTCGAGAAAGGAAGGAGGACCGAACGCGCCCTCTGGCCAAAAGCAACTGAATGATCGGTTGGCAAATAAAATGGGCGTGAGTTCTGGTTTTAGGGGGTTACGGCGCCGAAAAGTGTCGGAAAACGTCGAAATAATAATGTCCAGAAATGATAACGACTTAAAGCAAGACAGGGAACAATAATCAATAAACAACAAATACAGGCAGCTTGCCACACTTGCAGCTAATAGAAATAAAATGCTCAAAAGCTACCTTTAAAATCAATTATAAATTGATAACATTATCGCCGCCGAACCGAAGTGAGCCGAATGGAACCGAACCGCAGACAAGACTACAATCCACTTAAATGATTTACTGATCAGGGAGAACTAAAATCTATAGTACTCATCAATGATATAGTCGCTTTTTGTATTGATTCAATAAATTTCGAATAATTACTTATTTCATTGAGAAATTTAGATTCTCGATGGGAAATTACGATCTAAGGAATTAAATAATTGCGTTTAATGTGTGTTAATCGTGGCGGAGCGTGTTATTATTATCTTGTGGCTCGATAAGATTAGTGGTCAGTAATACTCACTGTACTATTGTTTTGCTTTCTTATATAAAGAGAGTAAATCGTCATTCTGTGGCATCGACAATTCCCTACTAACAATAAATTGAAGTACTAAACATTTAAAACTTAAAACGCTCAATTTCCTACGATTTATGTATGATCGGACTTTATTTGTTGTTTACCCAAAGCGGTTGCCTTATATTTGGGGTGCACAGATCGATAAATCGAATCGTCAAATCTTTATGATCGACTTCTAATTGGGTTCCAGTAACTGGGGGCCCCGAGTTTTATACGACATCACGCGCCCAAACCACCCCCAGTCGATATTGATCATAGTGGGGCATTTGGGCATTGATTATTTTTCTAGCCTATCACAGTCCATTTTCCGAAACTTGGGTCTTATTAGTTTTATGGCCAATTACATTTATTAGCTCCGTCATTATAATTTAATTAAAGGTCGCGTTAAGTGCGTCATCGGAAAATATGGTATTGGGCTTCGGATTTATGATTGTGCTAATAGGCTATTGACTTATCCGGTTTATGGTTAAAGCCCCTGGCACAGTTGCTGACTTCTTAACTTTTGGGGATTTCTCCTAATGAGCGAAACGGAACGAGAAAGATTCAGAATCAAATGTTTGCTTTACCAATTATATTCTGATTTATAAAATCTTTATTGCAAGGCAAGCTTATAAAGTACAACGTCAAATGAGAAATGTGATGGGAAGGTGTGGCTTTTCGGATGTTAACCTAAATTCAGTAGAGGATTTTTTAAAGATATTGTTTTGATTGATAAAGTTACCTTGTGAATTCTTTCCCCATAAAATTATATGGCTTACAATACACGATCTTTATCTACAGTTGAGTCTTATCAAAGCCATATACTCCAGTATTAACTGCTTTATACCCTGACCTGCTTCCATAAGCCCCCGATCCCAACGAACGGCCTTCCCAGCTATTGCATAAACTGTCTTTCAAAACTTATATCTATAGGTGTTTTTATGGTTTCAGGAATTTCTCCCTGCCAATTCTCGAGCACCGCCTTGAGTACCTTTAATTGGTTGCAGATTTTTTTAATGGAATTTCAAGTAGGATCTCTTTTGGGTCAATGCATTCCATTAAAGCCAAAACAGCTTTTTGGTTGCCTTTTTGTTACCAGTTTTCGGTTTTGTTTTGCTTTAGCTTTGTTTAATTTTTTGCTGCTTTTGTTTTGCTTGAGTGTTCGCTTCACGTGCCGCAAGAAGAGGCAAAAAGAAAACCCGTTGACCGTCCTGACAGACTGTCAATACCATTCATTAAACCCCAAAACAGAGAGAAATATGAGTAATGTTTGACAAAACACCATATTTACAAATTTTAATATATATACATTCATATATTTCAATTAATTACATTCACAATTCAAGCCATCAGTTAAGATCAATATTTTTTTAAAGTTTCGTTAAAAAATATCTGAGATAGCCATAAACAAATTTTTAATTAACTTTAACATCGTGTTGAACAAATCCAAATCTAATATTTGTATCTGTCTTATTCAGCTCAACAGTTAAAGCTTTATTTCAGCTAGATTTGTTTCATACCAGAAGTTTTAAATATGAATTCAAAATTAAGATATTTTAATTATGTTGTAGATGATTAATTTTTCTCTCTGTGCAAGGGGAGTTTCGGGCTGGAAAAGGAACTCAGTGTCGTACAATCTCTCGCGGTAAGGTGGATCGGTTCGGTACGACCTTATCGCACACACTTTCCATATGCAAAACAGATGAGCCTGAACGGCATAATTGATCGGACAGTTTGACAGTTTTGTAGTATTGAACTTGGAGTTATCTCATTGTTCGGCCCATTTGTTTTCGGGCAATAACAATATTAACGATGATGTGATAATGCCCTACCTTGCCAAATTTGAGTGACAGCCGTGTGGGTGGAAGGGGAACTTTTTATTTTGAGAATCTGAACTAAACGCCAGGTTTATTGCACCGTGTGTAGTGGAACCGTAAGGTAGCTGTCAAGATAAAACTGAGCCAATAATCTTTTATGGCATCCAATTCGGCTTATCACCGCAACAATAAAACGGGGAGCAATGATTTTTCCCACTTCTTATTCTGCTCTTGACTGGCTAATTGAATGTGAAGGGGGCTGGGATCGAAGATTTTCCAGTTTGTAGCCCAATTTTTGTGTCACATGCATCTGATAACTGCCTGATAACTCATTTGATGTGCGGGAATTAATTATAAATAATTAGTGCACTTATAAAATAGGCGATGATAAACACGAAAATCACAATGTAAACAAACGAATAATTGCCCAAGCACAATAATTACCTTTGGACCGATTTGGTTTGTGTGAACTTTTTGAAAATTATAAAGAAATTATATTAATGGCTTGATCCACTCGCTTGTCCTCGACATTGACGCCGAAAAAGTGACTTTTTCACACAGCCGCGTTAATGATAGCCAACGATATGCCCGATGGTGCGGATTTAAGGCCAGAATTTGCAGATTCAATCAACAGAGACAAATACACTTAAACACTATTTAACTTTTGCGACCATTTGTTGTTTAATTATTTAATTTTTCACACCTGCGATGTTGCAAGGATTTACGAAATTCGCGCGCGCTGTTTAAGGGTTTACGTTTTACTTTGAGCCCCGCTGGCGATTTGTTGTTAACTGTCGGACGATCGCTTAGTGACTGATATTAAGCCAATGTTTGTGCTTTAATTTGTTGCTGCGACGGCGTCGCCAGAGCGGCTATAAACCCGGCCAGGCACACAGATATATTCCCCTCTGAAACTCGGAGACGAAGTCGGTTCGGTTCAGGCAATTAGCGCATTGGACAATAAACGTTACCGTGACGCAGGTGGGGCGAAGTCGGCCTCTCTCTCAGCCAGGTGGGCACATATATACACGTATATCTCCATTGTGCGTATGGGTGCTTTCTACAGATCACTCAGCTTTGGGCATTCGGCGGCCAGACAAGTCTGCCTTCATCCCATTACTCATACGCCGTGTGAGAGGAGGAGTGGCTGTAGGAGCAGGAGATTTCGGAGGAGGATGAGGTTGACCGGGTGCCCAGAGATTGGACCAGACATTGTTGTTAGGGGAGTTCTTATCTTAGCATGGACGCAACTTTGTCGAATTGGATTTGTGTGGATCAAGAACGTATTAGCTTATCTCATTGCATTTCTCTCAGGAAAATCCCCAAAACCGCGCGATTGGGCATACTTTTAGGGGCAGACATCAGTGGTAAGTTCTTTGATATGACTTATATTTTGAAGTAATGACCAAACCACCCTGTATCCTCCAGAGACAAACTGTCTGCCATCATCCAACCGCCTAACTTACTAAAGCTGTCTATCAACTATCAATCATCTGTTACAGTTAAGAGGCTTTGCAACTACACAGTCAACATATTTTTCAACTACAGATCTTAAGTTAAAATTGGTTTATAATTATTTTAAATATATTTCTCACATGTAGTTATGAAATGATATGTATTTAATAAAATTTTAGATTAAATTATGACTTTGATCTAAAACTTGAAAAACTAAAATACAGAAAAAGTAGTCAAAGACATTTCAGATATTATTTGGACAAGAAATTTATTTAATATTATTTTAAAATAGTTCTTTTAAATGAAAAAGTAGTCAAAAAATTGTTAATAATATCGGTAATAATATATTGGTATTCCGTCACTTTATATAAAGTTATGTCATGATTAATCTCAAATTAATTTTAAGATTTTTTGATTAAAAGATACTTATTTAAAAATGTAAATATTTAAAATTTCGAGATTAGTTATGTAACTACAGATTAATCTTTGTATTTTTCAGTGTATCTAGGCAAAAAATGGAGCAAATGGTGCATATGCTAGCAACTCGAGAATTCGCTCGACACTTCGGACCTCCCAACCATCCCGCCATCCATATAGTCCCCTCCAGCAATTACTTAGTGCTGCCTTGGGCGCTTCTCTTTTAGACAGACCACGGAGTTTAGTGATTGACTTGTTTTAAGTAGCCAGCTCCCCTTGTTAGCTGGTTTTGTTGTCTTTCCATAAAATATGAAACGATCGGTTTTGTTTGCCTTAGCCCGTGTGGCTAGTTAGTTGGTCGCGTCAGTGGGACAGTGGAAAATTTTGAGCGGCTTGGCAAATGCTGTTAACTAAATGCATTTTTCACGTGATGTGCATTTTGAATTTGTCGAGTTCAAACAGTATTGCTCCAAATGGCTGGCAAGTTGTCATTGATTTATGGGGCATTATATGTGCTCGCAATTTAAGGGCCAAAGCCGCAATTAAGTATCTGGAGACAACAAAGTTCTGGGATAACAGCAATGTCTCTAGAGTTGATTGGATTGAATTTGCCAGAGCTATGGATAGTAAACAGTGTATCTTTAATTGCAGAGTTCTGATAAAATATGATGTACGAGCTGTGTTGTATTGTTTAACAAGGTTTTTATTGACGCAAGACACATGCACGTTGCGTATACGACATGTGGAAGCCTTGGAAGCGCTGAAAGACTGATAACCAAAAGGTTCTGCGATGAACCAGACCAAAAACCCTTTGAAGCGGGTCAAGTGCTTGTTCTATAGCCACTGCAATATTGACACACGATTTCTTATCGATGTTGAATTTGGAAAACATTTACTACTGTTGCTGTTCGTATTGACAATCTCCGTTGAGCCTGATAAAGTTGTACCGCCTTAATAGAGAATTATCGATTGCGAAAGCCTCCTGGATGGGTGCTCTTAAGTACTTAAGATATTATCGGGTCTTGGGGGACTTCCCACTCATCTGATATACATACATTGCGCAACCTTGAGAAACCTCTCATCAATCTAATTGATTTTCAAGCGGCAGCTCAAATGCCTGGAAAAACTTTATTCAAAAATCCCCTCCCTTAAAAAGATATTTAAGGCCTCTTGTCGCCGACTTTCCTGCCTCATTACAAGGCACATCACATCGTAATCGTATTTCTGGCCAACTGATCGAGCTTTAGCTGATGGAAATTAAAAATGCTCACCGAGAAATTCTCATCCAAATGGCCGCAATGTGTGTATTATCGTTTATAATAACGAGTCAAAACAATAAATAAGTGATTTGCTTCCGCAATTGGTTTCCGGATCTGCCTTTTCGCCATGTTTTGGGGTCAGCTCGGTTCGACTTGGACGCATTGAGCACTGAGTAATTAATTAATTGATTAATTAATATGCACACTGCGCAGCTTGTCGGTTGAGATTTAGATTCCGATATTTCGGGTATACAGCTTCTGCCAACGACACTGACCTTGCCCGATGTCAAACACCCGCGTCGCATTTTTAATTTACGGCTGCGACTGCTGACTTCGATCATGTATGGAGGTGAGATAGTGACGCAATGTAGATTCGCAACAAAAATCTGGGCTAGTGGGGGTGGCCCGAGTCATCCGGGTGACAACTTCCTTGAGTTGCCGCCACCAAACCGGTTAAATCTTAAACGGCGGCTTCATAAAGTGATTTTATTTAGCGCCTGTTTTATTTTTTGTTGTCCCAGGTGACAGAATCCCTTTGTTCGAGCGGGCCCCAAAAATACAACAAGTGTGGCGAAGCACGCCCTGTAATATAAATATTAGCAATATGCAAATAACCTGCTGTACAAATGACAAACGAAGGCACAGTCATCAGGTACTAAAACTGGCACTTGTAGGCTGGTTCGCAATGCAATTACCCCAACTCGCATGACAATAGGAACTTTCTAACTCACGGCTTCCCAAGAAATTTCGATTTCCGCATAGTTCGACGACAGAACGATCAAGGTGAATTTTGCATCAATTTCCAGTTCTATGCTGTACGAGAACATGCAATGCAAATGGGAGTGTATCTCGATCGGTGGTATTTAATGGCTGTAATTAGCATTTCCATGACTAAATAGGGATGCGTCATCGCAGCTATTAAATAATGGTTAAAGTACAATTAGCGTAATTTAAGGTATTTGGCAGCTCGATTGAATCGAATGTTTTATATAAAAACAATTGAACTGGGCTTTGCCGCTCTCTAGAACAGTAACAGATAAAATTATAAATGCAATTTTCAGCTTAACTTTAGAAGTGGTCAGATTTCCATTTACTCCCCTTTGTAGACGGGCTTGCGTTTCTCTGCAAAGGCAGCCAGTCCCTCCAGGCGGTCCTTAGTGGGTATCACCTGTGAGTAGCATATCTCCTCAATGGAGTAGCCGGTGGCCAGGTCCACCTGCATGCCCTTGTCGATGGCCAGTTTGGCCATGCGTACGCCCACAGGTCCGTTGGGCAGGATTTCTTCGGCCAACTTAAGGGCCTGCTGATAGGCGGCGTCCTTCGTTTCGTTCTGCTGCACTACATGGTTGACCAGACCCAGATCCTTGGCCTCTAAACCGTCGAAAACTCGCGCCGTGAAGATTAACTCCTTCGCCAGTGCGGGGGACAGGATGCGGGGCAGTCTTTGGGTGCCACCTGCCCCGGGGATGATAGCCAATCTCGTCTCCACCAGACCCATTTTGGTGTTCGAAGCGGCGGTGCGGATGTCACAGGCCAGAGCCATTTCTAGACCACCACCCAGAGCAGCGCCATCCAAAGCGGCAATAACAGGCATGGGCAGCTGCTCAATGGCGATGAGCAGGCCTCGGAGCTCCTTTACGAATTCGGTGGCCTCTTCTGGGGTCATTCCTGTTATTATAATACAATAAGATTGGTCATCTTCATTAAAAGAATTTAAGGAAAACCTACCTTTGCGCTCTTTTAAATCAGCACCGGCACAGAAAATACCAGGAGTAAGACTTCTAAGTACAACCACTCTCGAGCCATTGTCCTTTTTAATGTCATCCAGGACATCGGTAAAAGTCTCCACCATTCCACGGCTAAAGGAATTTTTGGCCGCTGGTCTGTTAAGGCCAATAACTGAGATTCCCTGGCGAGGTCCCTCCAATCGTTCCACCAGAACTTCATTTCCATCGCCGTATGGCGCCGCTGCCGCGAAATGGCGGGAAGCAACCAGTGGACGGTTAAGTTGACGGGCTAACCTCGCCACTCCTTGCATTATAATTGACATTTTGTATTTCAAAACAGGAAAATACAAAAGCGAAACTAGGCAATTAAGTGATTATAAAACGACCGGCAGAAAACAGCTGTTGCTACCAGTGCTGACAAAAGTTCATTGCAACTATCGATTTACGTATCGATAAGACCGGGATAGTTAGTAAGCAATTCCCACTGCATTAAAATTCTGCTTCTAAAATAATAAATAATTCTTATCAACATCTTCTTGTCTTAATTAAAAGCAGATACTTCTTAGAAGAATGAGGGTAAAGATGTTTTACTTTAAGGGCGGTAAACTTTAAATACGACTAATTTTTAGCGGATTGTCCATGACAAGTTCTAACTAAGATACAATTTTTAATAATGTCCCACGTTTGCGAATTTATAAATCTCCATCCGGGGCATCCCAATCGATATCCCAAAATATTCTGTTCAGTGAGAACATCTAATAACAACCTGTGGTGTGACCAAGGCGCTCTGGCGAAAAACAAAAATCACAACAACAGATAAAGCACAGCCAAAAAGCGCCAGCCGGTGATGGTTAAATTTTCAGTATAAAAAAATTCGCCAATGTGTCTTTGAAGCCATTTTCCAAGTACGCCTTAGTCGCCCCAAGGTGTGTGCCCCCAGGACCCAGTGGGAAACTCCACAGAGTCTTTCGATCAGAAGGAGTTACGACTGCAATTCGTTTACCCCCTTTTCTATTTGTTCCCGCATGACGTAGTTTTGCGCTTAAAGTGAAACCGCGGAGCACCCCCAAAATAAAACAAAACTTACCAGTATCTAGAGTCTGATAGTGACGCAGCGCGCCGTGTAAGTAACCTACAGTATACATATATAGAAAAGCTCAACCTAATCCGTAATCCCTTTCCAGTGCAGGATGCTGATGCGCGGCGTGCAGCTCCTGCAGCGACGTCACCAGCAGCTCAGAAGGGCCTTCAGCCAGTGCTCCTTGCGCCATGACGCCGGCAACCCTTGGCGGCGGAATGACAGCGACTTTTCTAGACCGCATCCCTGGAAGCGCCCCGGCATGTTTCTGCAGTTTCGCTGCAGTGCTGGAGGCAGTGATTCGAAGAAGAAGGACGAACTGGCCCTGAAGGAGACGACCGCTAGACCAGCGGCTCAGCCGAAGGAGAAGCAAACAAAAAATTTTGAGGTGAAGACCTCCAAGGGCATTTTGTCCATCAGCACCACCATCGAGGACTCCAAGATCAACGAGATCGTGTTCGAGAAGTCCGATCTCCCGCCGGTGTCTAAACTGAAAGAGCCGGCACTAGCCGCTGCGGCTATCAATCTTCGGGGTAGCTCAACTGTAGGTGCTACAAGCGGTGTGGGACTTGGAGCAGGCACTTTTATGAACCCTCCTGAAACGATGCCATCACAGCCTGCTCCAACTTCCGCTTTGTCTGAAGCAGCGCTAATTGCAAAGGCAGGAGAAGCTGCGTCTGCTCCTTTACCTCCGCTTATAGAAGTTCCGCCTCCCATGCCTGTTCTCCCACCGAAGCGACCACGGTTTGATTATCGCGCTTCTCTGGAGCGTAATTTTGTGACGCCCAATCGGGCCATAAGCGACTTCTTGCTAACAGCTGCGGATCTCGAAAGCCTGCCTAAGATCAAGCGGAGATCACCGTACGAACAGGAGCCACCCATGACCGTCTACTGGCGCCGCGATGTGGAGGCCAAGGCCGTGGAGGTGTGGGGCTCCAAGGAAAACCTATTGCGGGAGCGACTTAAGCGCGAGGTGGAGCGTAAGCAGTACCAGCAGAGTGAGTACCTATGTCCCCTGTGTTCGTTCAACCGTTAATGTGGGTGCTAAAGTCTATGACTCCGCAGATCTATTCACTGTCAAGCGGCGGCTGCGCGACTACCGCAGGGAGATGGGATCCCGTACAAAAGTCATGCTCGACAACCGGAAAGAATCCGAGAAGTCCGGTCAAGTGGTGGCCACCGCTATTGCTATGTAAGTTCCTTATCTTAACAGCCTAGAAATTCTAGTAAGATTTGATTTCATTCAGCAATGCGGCTAATTTGCTTTTCAAGGCTGGAGGTTGGCTCTACAGTGGTTCCCACAGCATGTTTGCGGAGGTTATTCACTCACTCGCGGACTTAATCAACCAGCTCATCCTCGCCTTTGGCATCTACAAGTCCTCCCAGAGTCCAGACATCGATCATCCTTACGGTTATATGAATATGCGATACGTTTCCTCGTTGATTTCTGGCGTAGGCATCTTTTGCGTTGGCTGTGGACTTTCAATTTACCACGGTATTGACGGCATTCTCCATCCAGAGCCCATCGCAGATTTGTTCTGGGTGTACTGCATCCTCGCAGGATCGCTGGTTTCAGAGGGAGCCACTTTGGTGGTGGCGATCAATGAGCTCAAGCGAGCAGCTAAAGAAAACAGCATGACTTTCAAGGACTATGGTGACTTTTCGTTGAATCGTAAAAATTGGTTATATTTGACAATGTTTATATTCCACAGTGATTTCTGGCAAGGACCCGTGTGTTAATGTGGTGCTCTGCGAGGATGCTGCTGCTGTAACTGGAGTTATGGTGGCCGGAGCTTGTATGGGACTGAGCAGCTACACAGGATCTCCCATCTTTGATGCCGCTGGATCCTTGGTTATTGGAGCACTCTTGGGTGCGGTGGCCTCCTTTATCATTTACACAAATGCCAATGCCCTAGTGGGCATATCCATCGCCTCCGAGCGACTGGAAAAGATTAACTCTGCTTTGGAGGCTGATGTGATGATCAGAGCTATTTACGATGTTAAGGGCATCGATATTGGTAACGCCCGTGTCCGCTACAAGGTGAGACCGTGCTCTTGAAGTACCATGGTGAGACTAAATTGTATTTCTATAGGCCGAGCTCGACTTTGACGGTCGCGAGCTGACGCGTTCGTATCTGGACAAACAGGATCTGGCCAAGCTGCTTACGGTGCGTCATATTGACCCAGTTCTGCGCCCTTTATTTACCGGTTTTTACTTACCCCCCACAGACCGTTCGAGGCTTTGAAAAGGTGGAGGATCTGGAGGGCTTTCTTTTGGATCAAGGCGAAAACATTGTGGACCTGATGGGCGGTGAAATTGATCGCATTGAAATGAATCTGCGGGTTAGTTTTTATTTTAAAAAATTAACTCAATTTGTAAGGTAACAAAACTGATTTTATTTCTTTTTAACAGACGCAATTCCCGGAAATACGTCACGTGGACCTGGAAATACTCTAAGCGCCCTCCATTCTCCTGGGGGCCTGTTAATATCATAAAGCATTGGGTGATTTGGTTGCTTTCTATAAGAAATTTTTGCCTGTAGCTTATATTTATTTCCCATTATGTACTTTTAGGTGTAATTCTTAAAACTAAGCATTAAAAGTGTATTGCCTCGGGCTTGACAGCAGCCCGGAGGTTTAAGGGAAATTCTCCGGAATCTACCTGTTTTCAAAGTAGTTTGTTTGTTGAATTATAGAGAGTTTTCCTATGATATTCCTTCACCTGATCCTGTGTACTATAAATAATGTAATTATTATGCAATGTTTTTCCATTTCTTTGGCATGGGTCGGAGGTCAGCAAAAGCAAGAGTTTCCCCTTTTTATGCAATTACAGCCGGCAGAGCTCTGCGCAAGCCTCTTCCCCTGTTTGCATAGATTGCGATCTTTAACAGCGGTTTACTTTCACTGTTAAAGGTTTGCGCCTCTGTTGCTGTTGGGGAATTTGTTCAGTCTGACTTGGCGCGTGAATTAAAAAGGTTGGTGCTTGGCGTACCGATGAGAGTCTAATAAATAACATCTCATAATCTGATTAGCAGTGAACACACTTCATTTCTAAGTAAAGCAAGCCTATATGTACAAAAATTAAAGTTAACCAAAAGTTAAATAACAAAATTTACTAAATAAAATTCATGACAGCTCTAAAGCCAACCTTAACAAGTTTTCGTGTTAAATAAATATGACAGCGGTTTGTTTACCTGTCTAATTAATTCAAAATTGAGTAAAGTAAACAAAACCACAGTTGAACTTTACTTATGCCACAAAAATAAAATAATTTGACTCTGAGTGATTTTGCATAAACGAATTTCTTTTCAAACTCACTAAGGGGTTAGTGACCTATGATAAACAATAGTTTCATTGTTTAAACAACAAAGATTTTTCTAAATAGAAAAATGAGAGATCATATTTGACAAAGCAGATTAGTATCCATATTCAAAATGTAAACATAGCTAATACAAAAGAGTTAAGAATATACTGTTAAATTAGTGCTTATATAATTTCTGTTCAAGTTTGCTATCAAAACAACAGTTTAAAGTGTATAGATGGACTTCCTCTAAAAATGTACTATGTCATTGAAACTCAAGTGATCTAAAATATTGCCATATATTTTATTTAGCTTTATGAACTAAAACTATTATTTAATATTCCTTGATCGGCTGATTGGCAGATCATAATAACCTTTATGAACTTTCAATCTATTATTTTGCTATTGTTATTAGAGTATTAACTGGTCGATCTGTCTGAATAGATTTTCCGAATCTAATTTGGTTTTTTAATTTGAGCTTTCTGATTACTGAGTGGCACTTGTTGACCCATTAACGGTACAATCAGCAGCAAACGGAATTTACATGCTAATTAGATGGCGCATGAAATCGTTTAAACAAAACCCAAACAAGTGTATTTGCATTTAATAACATAAATTCTTAAGGGTATCCCTATGACCAATAAATATATAAATATAGAACCCATACCAAGATGGGAATCAATTATCTACCGCTGCAGGTGAAGTGTGGCCCATCCGAATTGAGGTCGCATTGAGTGCAATTGCTGATTCAGTTCCATTTGCACACCAAATGAATTCCAACCCAGATGACGATCAATGCCACAATGCAAAAAGGTGGATGATCAATCAATTGAAATCAGCTTGATCTCGTAATTGCTGTCACAGGGAATCTCTGCAGCACATCAATTATTTAACTAATTGTTTTTTTATGGTTGCATAAATCACACGATATTTTACAATTCTCTTTATTTAATAGTTTCATATATCACACGATCTCTTAGAATTCGTTTTTTAATGATTGCATAAATCACACGATCTGTTAGATTTTTCAGGGAGACAATGCGGTGTTTATGGCTGCTGTTTTTGGCGCTGCCAAATCTGATTGTAGGTGAGGCGGAAAAACCTTCCACAAAGCCAAACATTGTATTTATTTTGGCGGATGATCTGGTAAGTCAAACGGTCATAGGAAATCAATATCATGTTTTGTAAAATAAACTCTAGGGCTTCAACGATGTGGGTTTTCATGGTTCGGCTGAGATTCCCACGCCAAACATTGATGCCTTGGCTTATTCTGGGATCATCCTGAATCGTTACTATGTGGCGCCCATTTGTACTCCCTCAAGATCGGCACTTATGACAGGGAAATATCCCATACATACGGGTAGGTGTGATTGTTTAATTTCCAAATATTTGTAACTCATAATATGCTTCTTATAGGAATGCAGCATACAGTTCTTTATGCCGCTGAGCCTCGAGGTTTGCCCCTGGAGGAGAAGATACTACCCCAGTACTTAAATGATTTGGGGTAGGTCGGAAAGATTGCTTTATTTTTAATCATCAATCATTAACCATAATCTGTTCAACAAGTTACACCTCTCACATAGCTGGCAAGTGGCATCTGGGGCACTGGAAGCTGAAATATACTCCCCTTTATCGGGGCTTTAGTAGCCATGTGGGATTCTGGTCGGGTCACCAGGACTATAATGATCACACTGCCGTCGAGAACAATCTTTGGGGGCTGGACATGCGCAACGGCACCGACGTGGCTTACGACCTCCATGGGCAGTACACCACGGATGTGATAACCGATCACTCGGTCAAGGTGATTGCCAACCATAATTCCACCCAAGGTCCTCTATTCCTGTATGTGGCCCATGCAGCCTGCCACTCGAGTAATCCGTATAATCCGCTGCCAGTGCCGGACAACGATGTGATGAAGATGGGACATATTTCGCATTATAAACGTCGAAAATTCGCGGGTGAGTGGCTTTATTTACTACATTAATTTAGAGGGAAGGGTGGGGCAAAACCGACACCCAATTGGCTTAGGGGTTATTGGAAGATTTGGCGTTTGGTTTAAATTTTGTAGGAGGTGATGTTGGAAACACCCTTTTTTATCGCTTAATTATTAAAGTATGCTGTGGCTGGAAAGTTTTTAGTGCTGAGCGAAAGTCTTAGTTTTTAGCATATTCAAAAGGGTGCTCAGAGGTCGACATCCACATTGTTGCTACATTTTTGTTTTATTTTTATTTATTCCTAAAAAACAATATTATTCATTAAATATACAAGATTCTAATTCTAATATTATCTGCCGCAGCCATGGTAGCCAAAATGGACGACTCTGTGGGACAAATAGTGGACCAGCTGCGCAAGTCCAACATGCTGGAGAACTCCATTATTATATTCTCCTCGGATAATGGAGGTCCAGCCCAAGGCTTTAACCTGAACTTTGCCTCCAATTACCCCCTGAAGGGCGTGAAGAACACCTTGTGGGAGGGAGGAGTAAGAGCTGCGGGTCTCATTTGGTCGCCTCTTCTGAAAAAGAGCCAGCGGGTGTCCAACCAGACCATGCACATCGTCGACTGGCTGCCCACACTTCTGGAGGCAGCTGGTGGGCAACCGGCTTTGGCCAATCTTAGCAAGGGAATCGATGGCCAGAGCATTTGGCGGGCTCTGGTCCAGGACAAGGCCTCGCCGCGTCTGAACGTGCTCCATAATATCGATGACATCTGGGGCAGTGCCGCGCTCAGCGTGGGCGATTGGAAGCTGGTCAAGGGCACCAACTACCGCGGCAGCTGGGATGGATGGTACGGGCCGGCGGGAGAACGAGATCCCCGTCTCTACGACTGGCAGATGGTGCCCAAAAGCAGGGCAGGCAGGGCTCTGGAGGGCCTCATGATGCTTCCAAGTCGAGCGGATCAGCAGAGATTGCGGGCAGCTGCCACCGTCTCCTGTCGGGCCCAATCCTCTCAAGGAGGCAGTTGCAAGGCTACCGCCTTCTCGGCTCCATGCTTGTTCCACATTCGCGACGATCCCTGTGAGCAATTCAACCTGGCAAAGCAGTAAGTTCTAAAAAAGTATTCTTTTTATTTGTTATTATTATGTGGCTTATGAATGTTTTAAAGATATCCCGAAGTTTTGCACGCATTGATGGTGGAGCTGCAGCGCTTCAATTCCACAGCAGTGCCGCCTGCCAATAAACCTGCTGATCCTCGAGCCAATCCCAGGTTCTGGAACTACACGTGGACAAACTTTGGGGACTATCAAAGTAATGATATTGACCCCGTTGTTGGGGATCTGTGCTTGGCTTCGCAAAACAGCAAAGACTGTTTGAAATAAAAAAATTTTGTTGTAGTCTAAGTGCCTTTCTGGTTAACAAATTCCAAGATTATGTATGGCTTACCTCTGGTTGTCGAAATTGTACTTATGTCTCGCATCCTCTTTTGCCGTTGTGTACACCTCTTCATTTGTCTCATCACTTTCAAAATGTCCCTAACCGTCAGACTGAACGTCATGGTCACGTTCATCCTCACAGTCAGACACATTGTGAAATTAATGAGACAATTGGAGAGGCTTACACAACAGCAAGAGAGGACGCGGTCTTAAAGACAGGTAAGGACGTGTGGGGACTAATTATAGAAGATCCTCGCAGACAAGATGTTAGCTGTGAGCGAAAGAGTGGATTTAATATGGTGTCACCTTAAAACGGCACCAATTAAAACTTACTGTACACCGAAGTCCTTCTCCCAAGGTTGGTTCACCAAAAACATAGTTTTAGTCAGGAAACGTTTACGAGGATTGATTTACTTTAACTCATAAGCTTGCAGATTCAGAGAAAATGCTGCTAGAGATAAACAATTGTTGGTAACTTTTCTAATCAAAAGTTAAAAATGCTTGACACTTCACTTTACTTTTTTGAGTTCCTTTAAGTAGTATAATTACCAAATCACCAGCCGCATTTTAGAGTTATAAACCTCCTTCGTTGGAGTTCGGTCAGAGATTAAATAGTAAAATGTCAAAGCCAAAATTCTTTAAGCAGAGAAACTGAGCCAATAATTATACCCTAGAGAACATAATGTCGACCATGTGCAAAATAAATGCAAGAACTAAAAGGGAAACGTAAATTCCCTGTACACCCATTAATGCCTACAAACGAAATTTTGAAATCATGGCCTTATCGTTCTAAACTCAGTGAAAATGTAGGCTTGTCTGGTATTTCTCAAAATTATATGTATGTATGCATATTCAATTTACCAATAAAACAAGAAAATAACTAAACTTTATAAGCCGAAGTTTATATACCCTTGTAGTTATTATAAAACGACGACATTTCGAGTTCTATGCCTATATTACTAAAAACAATAAAGCTATATCGATTTTGCGTAATTCTGGTATAGTAAATAATTACTATATCTGAAAGGAATATTTTGATAAATAGAAAAAAAGCTAAATACATTTTTTTTCAATTTTTATTTTTTTTAATTTTTTGTTTTTCCTATAGGAGCTATGTGATATAGATTTCCGATTTTAATTAAACTTAAACCGAAATTCTATAGTATTTAAATCATTTAAGTCATACTTTTTAAAAATGGGAGCTATATGATATAGTCACCCGATCCGTCTCGTTCCGACTTATTTACTACCTGCAATAGAAAGACATGGCTAGATCAACTCTCCTGGTTATGCTGATCAAAAATATATATACTTTATAGGGTCGGAAATGTCTCCTTCACTGCGTTGCAAACATTTGATTGATATTATAATAACCTTTGCAAGGGTATAAAAAATGGAAGCATAGAAATTTTACACATCTTGTGAAACTAGCGAACCGTATTTCACTTGTTTATAAATGCTTATGTAGTGAGCTAAATTTAAAAGTACAAAATATTTTTCCATAAATGTAAAATAGTTCGTACTAATGTTTGTAGCACCGTGCGAATGCGTACAACTTGACTTGTGTAGGGATTTCCTATTGCATTTTTTTTGGAAAAGTCGAATAGTCGTATAGGCGAAAAAGTTCAATTGCCCACAATATTCTTTCTGTTTTGTTTTTTTCTGATCGGTTTCCAATATAACATTGGAAATAATATGTATTGTAAATTACATTGCAACAGAAATACCAATCCGTGATGCAAACGTCCTCATTTCATTGTTTCATCTCGTTCGTGAGTTCTATTATGTTATTTACCAATGCAACTGCAACAATAACCAATTGAATAACGTATATTTTGGGCTATTTATATCGATAGTATATATTTAACCCATGCTGAGGGTTTTATAGTTTCAGTCAAACGTTAACCCAGGGCAGGAGACATATACGACCCTGTCACTGTGGACACATTACACGAAGTGACGACCAAAATCTGCTGTAATGGTTTGATTAGAACAAGTAATACACCGATCCTAAGGCGATAACATACTTTTATAAAATCAAATGGCTTTGAAGATAGTGCACAAATTCAGATTTATTTCAGAAAATACGCTTCGAATAACACTCAACCAGCTATGAATCCGATGCTCCGGTCAAAAGGTATTGGAAACAAAAAAGGAAAGCTAACTTCGGGCGAAGCCGAAGTTGATATACCCTTGCAGAATATTCTATAAATTATATTCTCCAAATTATTCATATGATGCATTCTTAATACTCATAAAAAGTCCCAACTTCCTAACTTTACAAACACCAAAGTTATGGCATTTCCAATCGTTCAGTTATATGGCAGCTATAGGATATAGTCGTCCGATCCTTATGAAATTCGGTAGGTCAGATTGATTAGCCAAAAATAAAACCCATATAAAATCCCAACTTCCTAACTTTAAAAACACCAAAGTTATGGCTTTTCCGATCGTTCAGTTATATGGCAGCTATATGATATAGTCGCCCGATCCGGCTCGTTCCGACTTATATACTACCTGCAATAGAAAGACAACTTTTGGGAAAGTTTCAAGCAGATAGCTTTAAAACTGAGGGACTAGTTTGCGTAGAAACGGACGGACGGACGGACGGACAGACGGACATGGCTAGATCGGAAATGTCTCCTTCACTAAGTTGCAAACTTTTGACTGAAATTAATAATACCCTCTGCAAGGGTATAAAAACAGGGATTTTTGGTATATTATTCGGCACGCTACAATATAAACAAGAAAGGAAGCAAACTTCGGCAAGCCAAAGTTTATATACCCTTGCAGTTATTACAAAACAATTAGCTCAAAGAAGTTTGGTCGACTTAAATCGAATTTTTGAAATTTGAATAGCTTAATCATTGGCCCATTTTTGCCTTTTTTTTTTTTTGCAAGCCTTTAGTTTTGAAAATATGGACTTTTTGAAAATTTTTGAACTTTTTCGAAAACATTAAAGTTGACTTTTTCCAATTTTTTTTTAACGTATTTGCCTGCAAATATGACCATGTTTGCCCATCTCCTAACAAGTAAGAATAAAAAAAAAATCGTTTGCCCACCGCTTAAAACAGGCATTTTTAACATAAACTGGGGGCAAACCTATATTTGTAAAGAATGCTATTTTAAAAGACTTTTGCTCAGCCAAGCGCGCAGAATCTATAAAATTATTTTATTTTACTGGAAATACTTGTTATCCAATTTGATTGTAGTTTGACATAAAAATTAACCATATGGTTTCTTTTCGCTTCCATAAAAAATTAGAGATTAAATTTATGGAATATTTGGGCAGAATAAGATTTGTTTAGCCAACATCTGGTTTATTTGTATGTCAAATTAAAATCATGATAAGAAATCTATACGCACATGGCGCGGTTTTTATAAAAGCGAAAAAGAAACCATAACAAACCATAATTGATAAGAAGTGATTTACAAACACTAAAGTTATGGCATTTCCGATCAATCAGTTATATGGCGGCTATAGGATATAGTCGGCCGATCCTTATGAAATTTGGTATGTCGGATTCAGTGGCCAAATATAAAACCCATAAAAAAACCAACTTCCTAACTTTAAAAACACCAAAGTTATGGCATTTCCGATCGTTCAGTTATATGGCAGCTATATGATATAGTCGCCCGATCCGGCTCGTTCCGACTTATATACTACCTGCAATATAAAGACAACTTTTGGGAAAGTTTCAAGCAGATAGCTTTTAAACTGAGGGACTAGTTTGCGTAGAAACGGACGGACGGACGGACAGACGGACAGACGGACGGACAGACGGACATGGCTAAATCGACTCTCATGGTGATGCTGATCAAGAATATATATACTTTATAGGGTCGGAAATGTCTTCTTCACTGCGTTGCAAACTTTTGACTGAAATTATAATACCCTCTGCAAGGGTATAAAAATCACATTTTTATACCCTTGCAGGAGGGATTATTTGGTCAAAAGTGTGCAACGCAGTGAAGGAGACATCTCCGACCCTATAAAGTATATATATTCTTGATCAGGATCACCTCCTGAGTTGATATAGCCATGTCCGTCTGTCCGTCTGTCCGTCTGTCCGTCTGTCCGTCTGTCCGTCTGTCCGTCTGTCCGTCTGTCCGTCTGTCTGTCCGTCTGTCTGTTTCTACGCGAACTAGTCTCTCAGTTTTAAAGATATCGAACTGAAACTTTGCACACACCCTTCTTTCCTTTGCACGCAGTATATAAGTCGGAACGGCCGGGATCGGCCGACTATATCCTATAGCTGCCATATAACTGAACGATCGGAAATGCCATAACTTTGGTGTTTGTAAAGTAAGGAAGTTGGGATTTTCTATGGGTTTTGTATTTGGCTAATCAATCCGACATGCCGAATTTCATAAGGATCGGCCGACTATATCCTATAGCTGCCATATAACTGAACGATCGGAAATGCCATAACTTTGGTGTTTGTAAAGTTAGGAAGTTGGGATTTTCTATGGGTTTTGTATTTGGCTAATCAATCCGACATGCCGAATTTCATAAGGATCGGCCGACTATATCCTATAGCTTCCATATAACTGATTGATCGGAAATGCCATAACTTTGGTGTTTGTAAAGTTAGAATGTTGGGATTTTCTATGGGTTTTATATTTGGCTAATCAATCCGACATGCCGAATTTCATAAGGATCGGCCGACTATATCCTATAGCTGCCATATAACTGATTGATCGGAAATGCAATAACTTTGGTGTTTTTTAAAGTTAGGAAGTTGGGATTTTTTATGAGTATTAAGAATGCATCATATGAATAATTTTGGAGAATATAATTTACAGAGTATTCTGCAAGGGTATATCAACTTCGGCTCCGCCCGAAGTTAGCTTTCCTTTCTTGTTTTTTCCATATTTTAGCAGCAAACAAAATCTTATGTTAGACCGTAGATGAACATGCTATCGTTATTTAAGTTTAAAATAGGATACCGTCCGAAGGCTAGTCTCAATTATTTTTGCCCATATACACTAATATTAGGTATAAGTATATTTTTATTAGTATACTTTATAAATATATTTCAGCATACGACCACAAAAATGTTTCACGACGTCAGCGTTCAAAGAAAACGAATCTCAAAATTGAACAAAACAAGAAAGGAAAGCTAACTTTGGGCGGAGCCGAAGTTGATATACCCTTGCAGAATTCTCTATAATAATATTCTCCAAAATTATTCCTATGATGCATTCTTAATACTCATAAAAAATCCAAACTTCCTAACTTTAAAAACACCAAAGTTATGGCATTTCGAATCGTTCAGTTATATGGCAGCTATAGGATATAGTCGGCCGATCCTTATGAAATTTGGTACGTCGGATTGATTGGCCAAATATAATACCCATAGAGAGTCCCAACTTCCTAACTTAACAAACAGCAGAGTTATGGCATTTCCGATCAATCAGTTATATGGCAGCTATAGGATATAGTCGGCCGATCCCGGCCTTTCCGACTTATATACTGCGTGCAAAGGAAAGAAGGGTGTGTGCAAAGTTTCAATTCGATATCTTTAAAACTGAGAGACTAGTTTGCGTAGAAACAGACAGACGGACAGACGGACAGACAGACGGACAGACGGACAGACGGACAGACGGACATGGCTATATCAACTCAGGAGGTGATCCTGATCAAGAATATATATACTTTATAGGGTCGGAGATGCCTCCTTCACTGCGTTGCACACTTTTGACCAAAATTATAATACCCTCTGCAAGGGTATAAAAATGAATTAATATAACAAATATAAATAAAATTGTAGTGTAATTATTATTAAATTATTGACTTATACTAACACATTTTTAAAGGAATATAAAATAACTTCTTTCCTACAATAACACCATAGAACCAACATTAAATGACCACCTTCATTTTTCAAGATATTGGCAGATTTACGATTTTACCCAATAACTTCCGATTCCTTCCTAGAGGCAAAACCATATATTATGAGACCCTATGACAGGCCAAAAGTATCGTTTATTATTTGTTTGTAAAATTGGTTTACAGCTTACATTGCTTAGCGCATTATGAAATACAAATACTTGCACGATTACAAAAAACATCAAATGCGACAGTTTTGAGTACGAGTGCATACATTTAATGCGTTACGTGGTACGGTACATACACTAGTTACATGGGCTTATATCAAAATTCTACTATAGTACCAAAAAACTGGCTAATCATGCTTGTGAGTGCTTAATGCATCAGTAAGTTCGGCTGAACACGTCAATTTTGATTAGATTTGCTTGCTTGGTCGGCTCTTTTCTGAGATTCCTAATCCTACACATCTACTGAGGAGTTGAAAGTGAGTAAAGATTTTGATTAGCGCCTTATGGAGAAGTCTAAGTGTAAGAAGAGGATTTAATTTGGCATATAAAAGGTTACAAAGGGTTCGGATAGAGATGCAGAAGCGTGGTCTCTGTGCGCTAAGCCTGGCGAAAGGGCGACGTGGATCCGCTTCCCCGAGTCCCTGTGCCCGGGGACCTCTCCATAGCCCCTCACGATCCTCGGATACACCTGCTGCGACTCGCTTCCCGTCCTGGCCGTGGACCGAATCCGGCGATGGAGACGGAGTCGGAGACTCCGACGAGCCGGGCGGCCCGTCTAAATGCGCTCCGTCACGTAAACCTTCGCGGAGGCGGGCGCATTGGAGCGCCGCACCGCAAACGTCACGATGATGCCGATGAAGATCAGGGCGACGCCGATGGCACTGGTGATGTAGTGCTCGATGAGCTTGTTCTCCTGGCTGCAAAACGAAAGGAATGTAATTAAAAACCTTTAAACCTTTATTTCCCAGACCAAAGCTTAGATACAAAATAGAAAATGAAACCAAAACGCTCTAGTCAGGTTTCTGACTAGACAAAATCGGTTCTATGCCTTCGATTTTAGTCCGAATTATACTTTTTTAATAAGAGTTTTCCTTTCTATAACTGCAACTCTAAATTTACATGGAACAATTAAGTATCCATTTTATATGTCCATAGAAAAAAACAAATCTCTTAAACGATTTTTTAATGCAACGGTCGGACCTGTTTGTCCAGATAGACTAGATGGTTAAGCTTATCATGAAAATAAATATATTAAATATGTTATGTTTATATGTAATAAATACCGAATTACATAAACGGGAATAATTATCGTAAGCAGTATTGCATCGCCAATTGAATTCTTAGAGTCAATTTTTTAAGTTTTTATGCGCAATAACAAAATTTAAACAAAAATTGAAGATTTATAAATAGCGCCAATAGGATTTGCTCTTTTTTATAGAATGAGTTTTTAAAAACTTAGCCGTATTAACATCTCTTTTGTTAAATGTTTATCCTCTATATATTATAGATAGACCAACTTGCATAACTAACAGCATTTAGTTATCTGTAGATGTAATACCTATAAAATTAGGCAATTCTCACCTCACGCCCGCCTCGTTGACGGTTTCGCGCTCCTTCTCGATCAGTCCCGTGACGGATGTGGCAATGGCCAGCCAGAAGTTGGCCAGGCCCAAGCTGGCGTGGATCGGTACCATGGCGGATCGGCAGCTATAGGTCTTGTTCTCACAGCACAGCATCACCAGAAAGCTAGGGAAATCGTAACCAATTATATTCCATGTTGAGACACCGCCCAATGGAGACCCACCTGAAGAAGCCGATCACAAACTGGAGCACGAACATGCCCATTGTCACGAAGCCCAGCCACGAGTGGAGGCTGTAGAAGTTGACCTTTTGCAACGCCTCGTGGGAGTCGAACACGGAGAGGAAGCCCAGGGCGATGCACGGGATGGCCACGGCGTGGAAGAACATGTGGATCAGCTTCACGTAGATGTGCTTCACGCACCGGCACAGACGGTAGATCAAGATGGCTAGTTGGAGGGTTCCAAATCAGATTAGTACATCCCAGACATTGCGAAGGGTCTTACAAAATCCGGAGAGCGTCACGAAGCCGGCGATCATCAAGATGGGATGCAGGTTGAACTGCTGCTTGGGACTCTCCGACCAGGCGAAGCCCTCCCGGTAGAACATCACCCAGAAGAGGGTGAGCACCAGGACGCCCACCAGCAGGATGGTGGACAGGATGACGATCAGCAAGTACTCGCACCAGGAGCAGCAGTTCCAGGCATTGTCCGGATCCTCCTCATAGCGTCTGTAACGAGATGGAAGCACAGGGAAGTACATGATAGCAAATACTACATAGCTCAATCTATTACAATTACTTTTGGCTGCGACTTTTAATGAAGTTGGGACGACGAAAGATCAGGCGGTTTAGTTCATCGATAAGGGGTCCGTCAATTGGTTTCATATTGATAGGACTATATCTAATACCGTACCGTGGTCCGTTGATCACTTGTAGCGTCTCTAAGTTTACAAGGGATTGAGGTTTATGTATTCATAAGAACCGAAGCCAATTCGAGCATAAAGGAATTTGGGAGGGTGGTCTGCCACTCATTAAACACAATTTATGGTGGTGCCTTGGAATTATGGAGATTCTACCAGAGATTCTAAAGAGATTACGCAGCTCTAATTGTGGGTTGAATGTGCTGCTAATCGGCTTAATTGATAGACAGCAGACCGACGGACTGGCAAGTAGAATCACAGTGAATTTAAGAAATCGCACAATTATCTAATTTGCCTGGCAAATCTCCAATTTTCCCTTATAAGTGGAGTAGCTCTACGAGTTCACTAGTGCGTAACGCTTCCTCAACTTATCGACTTATCATACAAACTGCTCTACTTTTCCTGCAAAGTTCAATCGTTTTGTGTGGGTGTACTCTCCATTGAGATGTTTTGGGGTGAAGTTTATCCTACGGAATGGATTTGACAGCTGGGGAAAGGGTGAGGGAGTCAAAAGTGAATTGTTTCCAGCCAATTGCGGCCCGTCTGTCGTATTAATTTCATCACTTGTCGTGCGATCGTATGACATACAGTTTCGATGGCTGATGATGGGCGCAATGATCTCACCACCAAAAGATACAGAGTTACGGATCCATCATCAGCATAGTGCATAGTTTTGGGGCTGGGAGAAGTCCCACAGAAACACAATGGGCAGCCAAACCGCAGCCATCTGTTGATCTGTCGAAAGTAAACAGCCTGCTGCAAACTGGAGTAGAAACTGTGTGCAGTCGGGGTAATTAGGCACATTGCTGGCCGCCAACGAACCGCTTAATCATCGCCAAGTGCAGCTCCCTGGCTCCGTAAGAAATCCATTCGTGCAACAACGTATCGAATGTAAACAAAGCTATTATTTAAATTAATAGTGCAAGCCCCATGTTGTGATAATGAAAGCAAAAGCGAATCGAATTACCAGCCATCACTCTCGCTTTCCCGAAGCGGCGACACTTGCATCACCGCGAAGATAATGCCATGGGGTGCTCCAATTTACATGCGACACCATCGGCGGAGAGCATCGGATACGGCGGACCGAGATCGGCGTGAGTGCCCAAAGATCGGAGGCACTTAGACAAAAATTAAATCTTATCTGGGATGTATCTCACTTCTCTTATCAAGTCTTTTTTTTAGAATATACATTTTTAGGATAATTGTACCATTTCACAAAGACGTTTTATTGCTGATAGCCTTGGATACACCGCTAATCAGCAATTACCAATATAATTATTTTAATCTATAAACAAGAAAGGAAAGCTAACTTCGGGCGGAGCCGAAGTTGATATACCCTTGCAGAATATTTTATAAATTATATTGTCCAAAACTATTCATATGATGTATTCTTAATACTCATAAAATGTCCCAACTTCCTAACTTTAAAAACACCAAAGTTATGTCATTTCCAATCGTTCAGTTATATGGCAGCTATAAGATATAGTCGGCCGATCCTTATGAAATTTGGTAGGTCGGATTGATTAGCCAAAAATAAAACCCATAGAAAATCCCAACTTCCTAACTTTAAAAACACCAAAGTTATGGCTTTTCCGATCAATCAGTTATATGGCGACTATAGGATATAGTCGTCCGATCCTTATGAAATTTGGTAGGTCGGATTGATTAGCCAAAAATAAAACCCATAGAAAATCCCAACTTCCTAACTTTAAAAACAACAAAGTTATGGCTTTTCCGATCGTTCAGTTATATGGCAGCTATATGATATAGTGGCCCGATCCGGCTCGTTCCGACTTATATACTACCTGCAATAGAAATACAACTTTTGGGAAAGTTTCAAGCAGATAGCTTTAAAACTGAGGGACTAGTTTGCGTAGAAACGGACGGACAGACGGACAGACGGACAGACGGACAGACGGACGGACAGACGGACGGACAGACGGACAGACGGACATGGCTAGATCGACTCTCCTGGTGATGCTGATCAAGAATATATATACTTTATAGGGTCGGAAATGTCTCCTTCACTGCGTTGCAAACTTTTGACTGAAATTATAATACCCTCTGCAAGGGTATAAAAATGTGATTTAATGAAACTGCGTCTGGACCTAACGCTCAAGACTTCTCAGAGTTCAATCAGTAGGTTATGCTCTATATTTTTTTTGTTGTTGATCGTGCCCAATTGAATTTCCTAAAATCCTATTAAATTTTTGTTCTATATAACCTATTTAATAAGATCAAAATAATGATATTGTTTTTTTAACGCAGTCCGTTTATATGAAAACAAATTTATTGTAAACAAGAAAGGAAAGCTAACTTCGGGCGGAGCCGAAGTTGAAATACCCTTGCAGAATATTCTGCAAATTATATTCTCCAAAATCATTCATAATGCATTCTTAATACTCATAAAAAATCCCAATTTCCTAACTTTAAAAACACTAAAGTTATGGCATTTCCAATCGTTCAGTTATATGGCAGTTATAGAATATAGTCGGCCGATCCTTATGAAATTTGATATGTCGGATTGATTAGGCAAAAATAAAACCCATAGAAAATCCCAACTTCCTAACTTAACAAACACCAAAGTTATGGCATTTCCGATCAATCAGTTATATGGCAGCTATAAGATATAGTCGGCCGATCCTTATGAAATTTGGTACGTCTGATTGATTGGCCAAATATAAAACCCATAGAAAATCCCAACTTCCTAACTTTACAAACACCAAAGTTATGGCATTTCCGATCAATCAGTTATATGGCAGCTATAAGATATAGTCGGCCGATCCTTATGAAATTTGGTACGTCGGATTGATTGGCCAAATATAAAACCCATAGAAAATCCCAACTTCCTAACTTTACAAACACCAAAGTTATGGCATTTCCGATCAATCAGTTATATGGCAGCTATAAGATATAGTCGGCCGATCCTTATGAAATTTGGTACGTCTGATTGATTGGCCAAATATAAAACCCATAGAAAATCCCAACTTCCTAACTTTACAAACACCAAAGTTATGGCATTTCCGATCAATCAGTTATATGGCAGCTATAAGATATAGTCGGCCGATCCTTATGAAATTTGGTACGTCGGATTGATTGGCCAAATATAAAACCCATAGAAAGTCCCAACTTCCTAACCTAACAAACAGCAGAGTTATGGCATTTCCGATCAATCAGTTATATGGCAGCTATAGGATATAGTCGGCCGATCCCGGCCGTTCTGACTTATATACTGCGTGCAAAGGAAAGAAGGGTGTGTGCAAAGTTTCAATTCGATATCTTTAAAACTGAGAGACTAGTTCGCGTAGAAACAGACAGACGGACAGACAGACGGACAGACGGACAGACGGACAGACGGACAGACGGACAGACGGACATGGCTATATCAACTCAGGAGGTGATCCTGATCAAGAATATATATACTTTATAGGGTCGGAGATGTCTCCTTCACTGCGTTGCACACTTTTGACCAAAATTATAATACCCTCTGCAAGGGTATAAATATTAAAGCCGATCATTAATATATATCTGTTGACAAGACATTTATTTATATAACCTATTTGATTAAATTAATGGGGGCGTTAATTTAAATTTAAATTAAAGATCCAATGCAAGACTTTTTGGAGAGTGTTAAATTGTGTTATTAATTTCTGTGCAAATGGTAGAACCAAAAGATAAATCATCAGATCATAAAGAATGATTGTTAAGGCAAATAGCGCCCAATTTGAAGGAGATTAAAGACGATCAATGATCTTATTTTTTCCCGTGCATCCGTTGGCGGTGTCAATGAACGGCTGTCTGCCACAAGTTGCACTCCTCCGCCGCAGTGGCTGTGGCTGTGGATGTGGCTGCATCTGTGGCTGCAGCTGCTTCTGTGTTCGGGATTCGGTTGGGTACTGCGGTTGGGGCAGGCATTTAGCTATCAACACATTTAAAGGGGGCGGGGAGGTGTGGCAAGGGGCTCCACTGGCTGTTTGCTGTAACACACATTTCACTTGCCGCAGATTGTTGGAAAACAAGCCGCCACCAATGGGTGTATCTGTATCTATAGCTTTGCTGCACATTTGTATCTCTTTCACTTTTCATTTGTTGGCTGCGCTGAGAAATTTTCGCTAAAAGCTTTTCGTTTTATGGAAAACTCGTTTGTTGGCAGCCACCTGTTTTGTTTGATACACTCGAACCTGAACCTGAACCTCAGGCTCAGACTCAGACTCAGTCTCAGTTTCAGAGTTTCGGAGCCGGGGAGTTGGCCTAGGTGCAGCGACTCATGGCTAATGGGTCATCGTGGATAAAAGGCTATTGACTCTGCGAAGGCACCTACTGCAATTGCGAGGCGCATAAACAGAGAAAGCGCATCGATGTGTCAGCGTAATCTGCACACTCCCAAAGTCATTTAATAAATGCAAATTGAATGCATAATTTATGCAAATATAAGCTGCAAAATCTATCATAATACGAGGATTTTTTGTATCTTGTCATGTTATACAAAAAAACTGTGAAATATGAATATTCATCAAAATGATAAAAATAAATATTGAATATTGCAATTTTAAAAAATCACAATTCAGATATTTGGAAAATATTCAATACAGAGTAGTCATATAAATTTCAAAAACAGTTTAATCTTAGTAACAACATTTTTAAGTTCAAAATAAATAAATGATTTCCATTAATCGATATTCCCCAATTTGAAGGGTCTATTTCCAAATAGTTCTAATAGTTTGGTTGCAAATATGGTTCGAGTTATGAAGTTTGACTTTATCTCTAATCTATGTATACATACATATTTAAGATCAACGCAAAAAAACGACACAAAAATGAAGTATGCAAATTATTTACAATCTGTGAATATCAAGTTTAAAGCGATTATTTAACAGATATACTGTGTTGAATTATGTCTAAGCCTCCATCACTCCTTATCTGCAGATAAGAAAACTCTTTTTGAAACTTGAGCAAATGTAGGGACCAACTTATCTCAGTCATGTGATAGAGATTATGATGACCATGACAGCCAGATGTCCAACCGAGACTAGATCAACTACAAAGAAATACTAATCAGATAATAGGGAAACCAGAACTTAAATGAAGGCCGCCATAAAAGCAGGCTAATTATGGCAATAACTTGGTTAACGCTAAAGTACTTCTCAAAAGTAGAGCAATGCTAACTGGTCGAAAGATGAAAATAGGGAAGGGAAAACTGGGAAAGAAATTGTAGCAGGAAGCCAGGGCACAATTCAATTAAAGAAACCATCAGATGTAACAAGTAACGAGCTGACGCGGAATGCACAATTAAAAGTCTGCGGATCGAGGCGAATTAAAACATTTGCTGTCGCACGCATGGATGAAAATCACTCGAACACTGGCACACACTTCTGCGGATCCTGCGGGTTGATTATGACGAAGTACGAGTACGGCATACTATAGTATGCTTGTATTTATATATACTGGTCTGATCTGGTTGGGGGTTACTTTACAATGCCCGGCAATTGTTTGGAGACGACGTCGATGTCGCGGCGTGTTTAATTAAGGCGATCTCGAGGGAGTAGGGGTCCGATCCAATAATATGACCGAAGCATATACATATGCTCGAAATTGTATCTCGCAGATACAATCGAATTCACGGTACGCCAACCTGACACGATAATCTAACGTACCTTTGTACGAGAGTAGGCTCCAAGTACTTTTCTCCAGAAGCCACAATTGTTTAAATTAAATAAATATGCTCAAGAACAGCCCGCAATTTGTTTATTTTTTGGGTCTAAAGTCTGGCCTTGGGGGGTGGATTTATGATATGTGGAAAACTTACGCTGTTGTCGTTCCTCCACGCGGCATTTTGGCCAAGTGGCGATCACGCATTTAGCCAAGTGTTGCTATTTGGGCCGAAATTCGTTGGGGTTTTTCTGATTTTTTTTGTCACCGCCACCCACTAGACGTAGAATCGCTGGGGATGCGTCACGGATCGGTTCTATATAGCTTTATATACGATGGCCCAACTAAAGGTCGTTTATCTATAGAGCGTGGTCGGTGTTTTCCGCGTAATTAGGCTTCGGCTGTCGATCTATACCGATTCTGTAAAATGCCACAATCGAGAGACAATTGAAAACGGACGTCTGGCTATGGGATCGCTAATCGCTAATCGCAAATAGAACTTTTCCAGATTGGACTCAGATGCTAATCAAGCTGAATGCGTTAATTTGTCAGTCACACGGGGCCAAAAGCGATCCCAAAACAATGACGGATTCGGTTCGTTATCTATTCATGTGGTCTTGTAAGGCCGCAAGTTCATATTGAATTCAATCGAAGCGGTTTTCTATAGATGCAAATTTCGATTCTTGTCGAACAACGTCGAACAACTCTCAGTTTCCGAGTCAAAGAAAGTCGCAGATCCGCAAGTAGCGTGTAATAAGCATCCAAAAATTTTTGAAAAGTGGCACAAAAGTTTAGTATAAACAAAGCACTTTAAGAATAAAGGTGTTTTTCTTTTTTTGTGTTTTTGTTTATATAGCTCTTTTTGTTAACAGTCGCACTAACACAAACAAATGCCCGAAAATCCTCAATTAAATTGACTGTATTTTATTAACGATTGAACTACAACAACGTACAGGTCGCGACGATCGGCTAGAGACAACTGAAAACATTTTTCAATTTTCTGGTCGAAGCTTACTGGGGCTAAAATTTAGCTCCGAACTCGCTAGGCTTTAGATCATATATGTGAATGTTATAACGATTTTTTATCGGATGCACCAACCGATATTAAGTCTTTTAGCTGAGATCCAAACCAGTTGTGTATCTTTTTATCTGAGAATTGAACCGAAGTGAGAATCTTTCTAGCTGAAAGATGAACCTTTTAAGGATCGTTTTACCTAAGACTTCAACCGGAAAGCTTTTATATAAACAATGGTGGGAGATATGAATTTAGGTATGTGTTAATTGTTTGTATAAGGGTTTTGATTAGTAAGATTAATGACTCAGTGTCTTCTCGCCACGACCTTGGATTATGCAACTTTTGGTCTTAAATGTTGTTACTTTAGATTAAAAGTGTAAATAAAGTTAAGATAATAGATAACCAAGATCGTCAGCTGACTGGAAACTGTTGAACCAAACAGTCTGACATTGGGATAAGAAATAGGTTTTTAAATAAACTAAAGCAAAATACTTCACATAACAATACTTCAAAAATAGCTGCCACCTAGAATCTAATGAATCTAATTAATGGGCCACCTGTTTGTCAACAATACTTTGTGACTATAAATAAATAAGTAAGCAGGAGTATCAATCAAAACACCTGCCGGCAGCAGCCTGAATCAATCAAATATTTATGGAAGCGAGGCTTCCTCTAATTCTAAGTGAAATACTGGGTCAGCAATTACTCGCTGGATACCACATTCACATTCATATTCCCCATACCCACTCCCCGCACAGACAACAAACACACCCTGGGACTTTGGGTCATTATTCCAGCTCCTTGGAGCCCATAAGCCAGTGGGTTTTGGGCGGGCAACGCGCCCAAAAATTACTTGAAATCAAATGAAAACCAAATGAAAATGAAATGAAAACGAGGCGGCGAAAAGGTTGAGTCCGGACAAGAAGGAAAAATACTCGTAATTACTTGGAGCTTACCGAGCTTCGTGCCAGAAATTGGACAAGGACAGGACCAAAGGACGAAGGAGCAGGATTGCGGGCGGAATGTTTACGGCCAAGTTACTATGTGAGTTCTGCACACGCGATCAACTGTTGAATTTGTGGGTGTTCGGGTTTCAGGAAGGATGTGCCCGGGTTTTGTGTGATTTGCGACGAGGTCGCATTAAAATAAAATTTACGACTTTCAAAGATACGTGAATTAGGAAATTGGCGCGTAAAAATAACCTCGAACAGCGGACAATACCCCGCACCGCCTCTCAAAGGGTGTGTAGGCGTCGACAGTCGTTGTTCTTTGGAATTGTTAATTAGTCTTTGGGGTAATTCCTAACGTGCTCGGGTCCTATTCCATTTACATTACACATACGCCGCGTGGTGCCATTAAAATCGATTAAAAGCACACTACGGATGCACTGGCCTGAGTCTGTTTTGGTTTTCCATATCACCTACATCCAAGTCTTTAGTCAGATGCTCCAACTGGCAGCTGAGCAGCGGAGATGGGGCCAATTGTCGGCTAGACAAGAGTTCCAAATTGGCCTCCGGGGAAATTGGTCTGTCCGTTCTTCTGGCTGTGTGCCTGCCTCGAATTTGCCATGCATAAGTGACACAATTTACTTAAATATTGATAAACAAATGTGTTGGGGAATCTGCTGACTAAATTGTGTTGATTAGCTGGGACTGGGGGATTGATTGGGCCAGCGAAGAACGAGATTCTGGAGAAAGGCAGTTTTATATTGGTATGTCAATAAATTTAAATGTGATTAACAGTCAATACTACAGTCCTTTTATACCCTTCAATAGTGTATTCAAGTTTCAGTTACAAGTTTGCAACGCAGTCCGATTCTTCGCAATCTAGTCTCTCAGTAGTAAAGCTATTTGGGTAAAAAAATTATTTCTATTCCAAGAAGTATATAAGTCGGTAGTATATAAGTCCCATAGAAACATCCGGAAAAATAAATTTAAAAAGACTATAACTTCGTTTTTTTTATTTGAAAATTACTGTTTTAATTTAATAAAAGTCGGATGACAATATCATATAGCTTCCATACTAACGATCAAAAACTTGATCGGAAAATCGTCAAAGCTTCATTGTTTTTAAACATATACGAATTCAAATCGAAATATAGTCGAGATTTATAAACAGTTCATCAACTGCAAAGCTGAATAAATTTCGGCTTGCCGAAGTTGGCTTTCTTTCTTGTTTATATATATATATTATATATATCTTTAACATCTTTATAAGCTTTAATAAAATCATATAAAACAAAAACGGAAGCTAGCTTCGACACGCCAAAGCAGTAACATAAAATTAATTATTAAATAAAGCCACTATAAACCACGAAGTTATGTGATTATACCCGTTACTCGTAGAGTAAAAGGGTATATTGTATTCGTGCAAAAGTATGTAACAGCTAGAAGGAAGCGTTTCCGACCCTATAAAGTATATATATTCTTGATCAGGGTCACTAGCCGAGTCGATATAGCCATGTCCGTCTGTCCGTCTGTCTGTCCGTCTGTCCGTCCGTATGAACGCTGAGATCTCGGAAACTATAAAAGCTAGAAGATTGGCATTTTGCATGCAGATTCTAGGAGTTCCTACGCAGCGCAAGTTTGTTTCATAAAGGTGCCACGCCCCCTTTAACGCCCACAATCGCTTGTATACGATTTTAAAAATTTAAATATTTCGGAAAAGTAAAAATGCAGTTTTATTGTGTTTATCAATACCTATCGAAATGTAGAAGAAATTTTTCAAATCGGACCATTCGTTAAAAAGTTATGCGTGATCAAAGTTTCTATCTCCATCTCCCTCGCACTCCCTTTACCTGAGTAACGGGTATCTGATAGTCGGGACACCCGACTATAGCGTTCTCTCTTGTTTTTGTATAAATTTGTTGAACTTTTCCAAGGCAGCTTAATAAAATAGTCTGACGATTTTTATAATATAATATTAAAACCCAAATTATTTAAGCTAGATATTGAATCATTTTATGTTTTTGTTTAATAACAAAGTTGTAATATAGTTTTTATTATTTATTCAAAATGACCTAAGGCAGCGTTATATATATATACTTAGTGCAATAGAATAAAGAATTTTGGAACACTTTTATTCAGATAGATTTAAAACTGAAAGACAGTCATGGCAAACTGCTGACTGAAATTGAAAATACCCCCCGCAAGGGTATACAAAAAAGTACGATACATAGAAGCTTAATAGTAAGTCAATTTATAAAGGGTAAATGCAAAATAAGCAAAGCGCGTCAGATTGAGATTCAATATCTTATGTTATGATATGAGGCTGTTTTGATATCTGATGATTACTGTTATTATTATCGGACATATCGGACAATGCTGACGATCATAAATCTAATCATTATTTAAAGCAATGGAATTTCCACTCATTTTAATGCCGCTCTGGGATTTGGGTAATCTGAACTCACTTTTCATCTGGCGGCGGTGGCATCTCGATGCCATTGGGTGTTCCCGGGTGCGACTTCTCGCTGACCCTGTCCATGGCCTCCTCCATCGGCGGCAGCGGGCTCACCGAGTTCGTGTCCATGTGAAAGCAATCAATTTTGATGCCGCTGCGCTTGTGACTGCATTGCGAGTAGAGAGAAACATTTATGAGGCTCGGCATTTAAATGTGGCACTTTAATAGAGAGAACAACAGAACAGCAGCAGGATTCCGATTCCCCCCATCCGCAACTCCATCGAGGGTGTAGGACTCATCTGGTGATGAATGGCGGCGCCGCTGTATGTCTGCATGTGTATGGATGGGCCTTTGAAATGGGGGAACGCTGCCCCCACAAAAACCGAACATAATGAGCGGGGAAGCCGCCTTTCAGGGGGGGGAATGGGAAGTGGAAATGGCTTTTGGCATTTATTTTTGGCGACTCCACAAGGTGGCAAAAGTGCAGCGTCAACAGAAGTCCGGGGCATTGCACTTGGCTCGCTCTCTGTTTGGGTTTCAGTTTCTCTGTTTTTTTTTATCATTCCGCCGCCTTTGCCATGTGTGAAATTGGCTCATCACACGTCCGAATGCGTTCTGCAGAGAGCGCCCATTTCCGATTCACGTCCCCGTCAAGTTGAAGATACTCCAGATACTTCAGATACCCTGACTCAGCCCGTGTGTGGGTGCCTCCTTCCCTATTTTCCGTTCGATCAATTATTATCGGACATTCTAGTTCTTGGGGGTTCGTTGAACCCCATGCGGAGACATTTGATGGACACATCAATGCCCGGCATTTGCTGATGCCAAAGCCAACTTCCTTTGCCCAGTCAACCAGTCAACCAATCAACCGGCAACCCCAATCCGCCCCTCCACTCGGAAATTCCTGCGAATCGTTTGCATAGCCCACACATATGTCCAGTTCCCACGGACGGACGATGGGGATTGACCATTCCTTTGCCTGGATTATGTTGATTATACAGGTCACAACTTAGGGGTATTATTAGCAAATGAGACAGATCCAGCCTTGGATTGTGGGTGTCTGCAGTTTGGTTTTGATTGGTATCAGCAGTCTCTTACCCTCAGTCATTTGTTTTTCAACAGCTAAATAAAGAGTTTTAAAGGTTTGTTTCTCTTGGTGACAAAAAAGGATTAAAAACGTTTATGATCTTCTTAATAATTTTCTTAATGTAATTTGGTTAAAACTGGAATGTTCTTAGGGGTTTAAGAATTCTGAAAAAATCATAATTTAAGCAATTATATAAAAGTATTTGTTAACGTAAGATTACCAATTAATAGAAGTATATTCAAGTGTAAGATTTATCTTGACAGCTAATTAATAAAAATGGTTTTCTTTGATTATATGTTAATGTGTTTCAATATACAAGTGGTCAATTGGAACAAGTGGTACATTAAGAATTTAATTTGTGAACTAATTATTGTATTTATTATCACAAAAACGGTAAACTATATTTTTGGGTGTACATTTTCTTTAAGCCATCCATAAAAAAATTAAAATACAAACTATTAAACGAGGATTCTACAAGATTGTAAGCTTTTCAAGCATAGCTAAATGTTCTTGTTGATTTAAGATTTTATTTATCCCAGAGTTGAGACCCATTTTCCTATATTTCAAATGGCTTTGGGCTACTTGCTGGAAAGGAAGCTGGACATTATGCAATTCCACAGCCGCTGACGCTGCCCATATCTGCGCCAAATAGAGGAAACAAACAAAGCGACCAGCCCAAAACCCACTCACAAAAGAAGACCCCCGAAAATTCGGTGCCCGGATATGCAGCGACTTGTGCAGAGCGATTGTCAATAAAGGGAAATGCAGAAAATGGGGCTTCGGAGGGGGGATGGAGCGTATGGGTGTGCAATCCCTAGTCTCTCCACAATAGACATCCTTTTTGTGGCAGAGGCTTAATAATCCGATTTGGGTTTGCTGAGTTCTGTGCTTTATGCACTCTTATGAGAAACCAGCTAGCAAAGCGGAACCGGAAATGATGCTGCTGTTGTTTTTGCCACTCTCGTTTTACTGTCTTTGAAAAGCTGAACCTACCCCAAGTTACTTTGGCGTGTGCGGTGTCAAAAAACCCTTTTCTATGAAAACTTAATTACTCAATTATGCACAAACTCTCCGCAAATGGTGTATACGCTTAATTGGATTTGTGGCCGCTTCAACGAGCTGGAATTTAACAATTTTCCACAATTAATTCATCTGCCCGAACGCGAACACGAGTGCATCCCTCCGGTGGAGATGGTGTGGATTAAAGAGGAGCTGATGGATGTGGTGGAAACTCCGCAAACAAACCGGCACGGAACCCGCACTCTGAAGCAATCACACACGTCCGTACTCCACGAATGCTGCGAGCGAACTGAACTGAGTGGCACTGGGAAAATTGGCCGGTGTTTTAATGGAGCGGCGGTTCGACTGAGAACGGGCAATATACACAGCACACTGGTGCCAAATTTCCAAATATGAAACTTGGTTTACTTGCTAGTCATACAGGCGCTCTCTGATTTTTACAGGTTTTTCATTGCTCAGCATAACGCAAATGGCTAGTTGCTGGTGTTTTAATAACTGGCAAACTTGTCTCTGCGTTTTGAAAATAATAATACATCAAATAGGCTCTGATTCGTATTTATTATATCTCTTTGATTTACAACATTTTTAGAGCTTTGTCTGGTATTTTGAAGTTCTAGAAACTAATTAAAGCCCGTTTAGATTTTGACTATCTTTCTTAAGAATTTAAAACCGACTTCAAAATGAACGATTATAATTTTATTTGGTATTTTATTTTTTCAATTGCGTTTTTAAGTGCGGTTTAAATAATTTTCCGAAAAACCCATAACTCCGGTAATTTTTAACTTTATAGGATAAATTTATACACATGTTATTTGGCCTTTTTGGACATGGACAATTGACCAAACCGTTATTTTTATGGTTCTTGGCAATGAAAAAACAACATTTAATCAAATAATATTTTAAACAAAAGTTGTATATCTAATGAATGTACACTTTTTATGTTCTATCAAATTTTTCGATTAAATGGTTTCACAGTTTTACAGTTTTTGCCCTCTAACGGAGAATTTGAAATGAGCGCTTAATATGATTGAGGCGAGTTGGTAGCGCAAAACTTGTTACTAATTGTTATCGATAGATCGCCAAACATAAAAAAATTAATTATTTAAACTATTCCTTGTGAGACTTTTACGGGCTTGAACTTGCTTTCAGTCCAGCGCACTCCAGTGTGTTTTTTCTTGGCAAAAGTCTCCCAAAAGGTACCTCTTTCAGTAAATTTGTTATTTATTTTTATTATAAAAATTTAAAAAAAAAAAAAAAAAAAAAAAAAAAAAAAAAATAAATTTTATTTTTTCATTATTTAAAATTCTTGAATATCCCAAAATTAATTCATATTTATTAAATGTGTACAATATTTAATTTCTATTATAAATAAAAAAAAATTAGCACCAGCACCCGTAAAAAGTGCCTGTCATAAATAATTTTAAATTGATATAGTTTTGAAAAAATAACAGTTTTATGAATTTTTCGTGAACCCCAAAAAAAAACATGGCAAAAAGGAAACGACTTGAAAATTGTATGTTAACGGATCATGTTTAATAATTTGAAGAATTATTTCGGCAACTGAAATAAAGATAATAATACAATATATCACTCTCTTGCTCTATAAATAGGCTTTTTTTCGATTAGTAGTAGATAATTTTCGTCAAATTGTTTTTAATTTAATTTAAAGTTTTCTTTTCAAATTGGACGAGAGCGATTGAATAATAAGAAACAAATTTTAATAAAATAGTTATGAACTCGTACGCGGTATTCATTTGCAACGCCCATTTAGAGATGGAACAGAATGCGCCTAACAGCACGCGGCGATATACCCAGCAGCACGATAATGGAACGTGGCGGGTATTTTTTAGCCCTTGATTTGCGCCTGAGGCAGCCACATTAATTCGGCCTTCTTTTCTTTTCCCGTTTCCGGTGAGTGGTGTGCTCCGCGTTTAATTTACTTAAATTTTTAACCAAAATATCTATTAATTTATTGCAGTGAGGAGTAAATACGAGAATACAAACGGCAAAATGGTAAGAGGTCAAAAAATAAGTGGAAAGAAGGGCGTCTGGCTACAGAGTCGACAATGCACCTTGAATTTGTGCGATCCCTTCTGTTGCAAAAATGCAAAAAAAAAAGCGTGCCTTGGCCTGCAGTAAACTAATGATTTGACTTGCCTTGCAGTCGCTCGTCATCCCAGAGAAGTTCCAGCACATCCTGCGTATCATGAATACGAACATCGATGGCAAGCGCAAGGTCGGCATCGCCATGACCGCCATCAAGGGAGTGGGTCGTCGCTACTCCAACATTGTGCTGAAGAAGGCCGATGTGGACCTCACCAAGCGCGCCGGTGAATGCACCGAGGAGGAGGTAAGCCAGAGGAACTGGTCCCACTTGTCCCGACACACCCACTAATCCCGCACTCCCGCCCATTCCCAGGTCGACAAGGTGGTCACCATCATCTCCAACCCCCTGCAGTACAAGGTGCCCAACTGGTTCCTTAACAGGCAGAAGGACATCATCGACGGCAAGTACTGGCAGCTGACCTCCTCCAACTTGGACTCCAAGCTGCGTGACGATCTTGAGCGTCTGAAGAAGATCCGCTCGCACCGCGGTCTGCGCCACTACTGGGGCCTCCGTGTCCGTGGCCAGCACACCAAGACCACCGGTCGTCGTGGTCGCACCGTGGGTGTGTCCAAGAAGAAGTAAGCTGCTACGTTCCCTGCCGGATTTCCGAGTCTACACTTTAATTTTTACATCAACAACAAAATAAAAGAAAACACGGAAGCCGGAACGTTTTAGTGCGGAGTAAAAGTGAAGTTTGTTATATTTCTAAAGTGTCGTCGTGTTAGATCCATCAAAAATCGAATATGTCCAGTGGTGGTTCGCCGGCGAAGTCCCAGAGCAGCATCTGCTTGTTGTGGCTGGTCATTTGCAAGACGGCTCGATTCCAGTTGGCCAATCCCCTCACCAGCGTGGTTATCATTGTAGGGCCCATCATGGTGTTCCTCATCTATTCGGCCACGGCTCTGTTCCGGGAGCCGCAGTTGGTGTCGGAGAAAAGGCACCCACCCGTCAATATTACAACCAAAGTGCCGTATGTATAAGCTTCTTGCCTACAGAATGCCACAATAATCCATGCCACCCTGACACTCGCAACGAACCAGGCGCATTTACTACTCTCCTGGGAATCTGGTGTTGGCGGGGGTCATCGAGGATGTGGTCCATGAGTTGAAAGCCAAAAAAAGCAAGGCCTTTTACAGCGCCGATGAGCTGGATATTGCCATCACAAATAAGAATAAATATGGATACGTGGGGATTGAGTTTGACGACAGCTTTAGAGAGATTAGGTCCCTTCCAGACAAAGTGTCGGTGGCTCTTCGGTTCCCACTTCACATGCGTAGCAATCCCAAGCTGATTTGGGACAACAAGGCCGTGTTCAAGCATTCAAACCTGGAAAAAGATTACTATCAAAAGGAGGGATTCTTAAATGTGCAGTCCGCACTGAGCGAGGCGTTAATCAGGGCTAAAAACGAAAGCGCCCTCCTGCCAGAAGTGACCCTGCAACACTACCCTATCCCCAAGCATTTGGAGGGTAGGTTTTCGGATAACAGGGTGACTCTAGCCGGGATCCTCTTCGTGCCCTTCACCATATCCGCTGCCTATCTTGCCCAAGTATGCCTTCCAAGCCAATCAGGCTTATGTGATATCTGACTAGTATTTTTCAGATGATAGTAAGGGAACGGCAGCAACATGTGAGGGCCTTGCTGGAGCTTTTGGGCGTGAGAGCATGGATATACTGGCTGTCCTGGTTTCTGGTGGGCTTCGTCCTCCTGTCCATTCCCACCTTATTTATGGGTATCCTGCTTAAGTGGCGCTTCTATCCGCTGAGCGACACTACTCTGGTGCTGATTTTCTTCCTGGTCTACAACTTTGAAGTCTTGTCCTCGGCTTTCATGATCTCAACCTTCTTCTCGGACACCTTCGGGGTTCAGGTGGCCATCCTGATCGTACATCTGCTTGGCGGCCTGCCCTGGCGCCTCTTAATTATGGGCTATAGGCCCACTTTAACACGGGCTTTTTTCGCCATCCTTTTCCTAAACAGCTCGTTGGCCATGGGACTGCAAGAGTTTATTGAAAACGAGAACCTCCACAAGGGGATGCGTTGGGAAAGACTCTTTAAGCATACCGATCCTAATGACTTTATCAATTTGGGCACCATCCTGATATTCATGTTGTTTGGCAGCTCGTGGCGCCTGATTGTCCTTGCCTACGTGGATAAACTGAAGAGTATTCGCAGCAGAAGGTGGTACTTTCCCGTTCAGCCCTCCTTCTGGTGCCCGCGAAGAGGGCGGCAGCGATACGGAGGCCGGCATCGGGATCTCGAGGGGCAAGTGGAGTCAAAGACGGGGCTCAAAGTCATTGTCCGGGCCAGAAACCTGAAAAAAGACTACAGCGGACGTGAAGTGGTTAGTGATGTAAATTTGAATTTTTACCAAGACAACATTACGGTGTTCCTGGGGCACAACGATTCGGGGAAGTCGACGATCTTTATGCTGCTGGCAGGTTTCGTCGAGCCCACGTTCGGCGAGGTAACCATCAACGGCTTCGACCTGGCCACCGAGCGGAGGAAGGCGCGTCAGTCGATGTGTATCTGCCCGCAGCAGGATTTGCTGTTCGAGAAGTACAAGGCCAGGTGGCACCTCAAGTTCTACTGTCGGCTGAAGGGAATGAACCGGAAGGAGGCCTCTGCAGAGGCGGATAAGTATCTGGAGATCGGCCACATGCAGGACTTTGCCGACAGCAAGGTGGAGAGCCTCCCAAACGGCATAAAGCGGATGCTCCTGCTGTGCTGCAGCCTGTGCGGCAACTCGAAGGTTCGAGCCTCAGCTCTCCAGCGCCTGGTCTAACTCCCTCCGAATTGCAGGTTCTTCTCCTGGACGAGCCCGGCACCAGTCTGGATCCTCTGCTGCGGCGCAACATGTGGGACATGCTGCGTCGGGAACGGAAGGGTCGCTGCATCATCATGTCCACCCACAACATTCACGAGGCCGAGGTGGTGGCGGATCAGATTGTGGTCCTGTGCGACGGCCAGGTGATTGGCTACGGCACAACGGGCTTTCTCACGCAGGTGGCCGACACGGGCTCGTTCTACCTGTTGATCTGCACCAAGATGGATGACTGTTGGGTGGAGGAGGTGACGGACTTTCTGCAGACACGCCTTCCGGAGATCAATCTGCACAGCGAATACGGCATTTACGTTTGCTACAAACTGCCCACCAAATATGTGCCTGAATATGCGGGATTGTTACTGGAGCTGGAAGGGGCACTGGATGAACTGATGCTTAAGGAGTTCAGCATGTGCGCCCCCACGCTGGGCAGTGTGTTCCTGCGGATTGGAGAGGAGATGAGGGAGCACCGGGACCGGATTGAATCCATTAACCCGATGTCACGTGTGTCGCCCATGTCGTCTCTGATCAGTAAGCGTATTATCTTATAATCTTTTGTATCGCTAGTCTTTTTCTGAAGTGTAGTTCACTGGTTGGAGGAAGTAGAGGTACATATTTACATAGGTATTACATATGGTATTACTCTCCTTTATTATGATTTTATAACATTGCATTGTGTTAATAATAGTTTTTCGTCGAAAACGAAAGCTAAAGTTTAAATACCTTTGCAGTAATAACAAAGTTATATTATTCTGTGAAATGATTTTTGCCATCGCTTTTTGGAGTATTATGTACTTTAACATGTTATCGTAAAAACTAATAATTTTAATATTCTTTTACTCTACCAATAACGGTAGAAGGAAGCGTTTCCGACCCTATAAAGTATATATATTCTTGATACAAGCCAGGGTTTTCGGTCAACATTTATCAACACACAACATTTCTAAGTCGAACAATTATTTCAGGAGTTATGAAATTATGTTCAACATAGTCAAATACATAGGTCAGCTCTAGATGGCGCTTCATTTATTTGTTTGCCGCTCCAATAGAATTGCATGAAGCGCCATCTGTAGGGCATACTTGTTTGGATAACAGAGGAACGGGTATTTGATAGTCGTGGCTCTCGACTGTAGCATTCCTTTTTGTTTAATATGATATATTTAGTTGGTCGCCTTCAACGAAATTTATACATATGTATGTGTTTCGTTTCTCGCGATCCGCAGATCTTTTCCCCTCCTTCGATGTGCGCGAGGACGATGGTCGGGTGAAGTGCTGCAATCAGTGGCGGGCCATCATGGAGAGAAAGCGCCTCTTCGCGTGGCGCCACTGGAAGCTCTTCTGCCTGCTTGTCACGATGCCGGTCATCATCTGCCTGCTGGTCGTCTGCTTTGAACTTTTCATATTTGTATTCGGCCATCTCCTGTTTGAGCTGTCGGTCACGGATCTGAGCCCCTATCCCAGAGCGGTGTTTGTGATCGAATCTCCTGGGGACGACAATATATTTGCCGTGCGCTACAGGCAGTACGCCTTGAGTCGAGGAGCCACCATTCGCACCACAGGTGGCACTCGCCTCGACGACTATCTCCTGGAGCAGATGGAGTCGGATCAGACGATGGTGCAGCAGACTTTGTTGGCCGGCGTCACTTTCAACAACGAAGACAACTCAATTATCGCCTGGTCAAACAATGGCCTAGAGCACGGCTCCGCGCTTTGCCTGGGCTTGGTGTATGCGGCCATTGGCCAGGAGCTGGCCCTGATTGACATCGAGATTGTTAATAAGCCGTGCCAGGATACGGTCACCCAGGCACTGACTGGCCTCAGCCGTTACAGCTCCGTGGAGTTCTCCCTGCTCGTGTTCCTATACCTCGTCCTGGCGACCACCATTTTCACCGTGCTGCCGGTCATCGAGCGACAGAGTGCCGTGCAGCACCAGCAATTCAGCAGCGGCATGAGCCGGATAACCTACTGGCTGTCGCACCTCTTTTGGGACTATTGGCTCTTTATCGCCATGGTCATGCCTCTGATCGTGGTCGCTGGATTTACCACAGGATCGGCACTCTCCGTGTCAATCCTACTGCTCGCCTTCGGGTTCGCCGTCATTTCGTTCTCCTACCTGGTGTCCAAGTTGTCAAATGATTTGGGCAAGATGTTCACCATCATATTGTACATTAACATGATAGGTAACCATTTGTTTAATTATTCAAGAGTGTAGAACTACATATTTCTACAACATATTATAAGGAGATTTTATTTTCAGGCATTCTGGCATTGTTTATCCATCCCAAGAGGGGCGACTTGCGCTACAGAATCCTCGAGACCGTGCTAACGATTCATCCACACTATGCGTTGTTTTGTGGCATGCAAGATATCTTAAAAATGGATAGGGTCCTGAATGTCTACGAACCTCAAATGAAAGTTGGTAAGATCGTCTTTATTGTCTTTTTGTTGAATTCTGTGCCTGACAACATCGGCTTACCGAATACGGAAGTGATTTCCTATACCTACAGCTGGACTGAATTTCATTATCTGATTATCAGCGGAACAGTGTATCTGATCCTGGTCCTTCTTTCATGGGTTCCGCGTCGAATTAACTACGTCATTAAGTAAAGACACGATCAATCACCTTTGATATGCTGACTGATTCCTAATTGCTTTGCAGATCCATCAAGAACGAAAAAATAGAGCCAAACCACAAAAATGAGGACATAGAAGTGAACCAAATCCGGCATAGATTGGCCTACTTGACTACCAAACAATATACGCACTTCCCCCTCATCCTAAAGAATGTATCAAGGCGCTACGGCAGTTTGTTGGCAGTACGATCTCTAACGCTGGACCTCAATCCGTTAGTGAAACACATAATAGGGAACATGGGGAATATATTTTGCTAGAAATTTATTGAAAAAAAGTCCTATTATAAGATCATAGGTTAGGATTTTGCCGGCTGAGGAGCAGTAGAACTCCGACAGAGGCCGACACGTACAGTATAAAACCGCGGTCGGCACGGTTTTACCGTGCCTAGTGTGAGTGGTGACCACTGATTAATTTCCTAATAACTTGTAAGGTAATGGTTCGATTTGAAAATTGTTGGTACATATTGACCGAGCATACCGTATACCATAGTAGCGATTTGTGGGCTTTACAGGGGGGTGGCCGAATTTGTAATAAACTTGCACAGCGTAAGGATTACGAGAATCTTTATCCCAAATCGCTTCAGATTATTACATAAGATACGAATGGAACTAGAGAAATTTTTAAGATAAGTGCCATAATATTTACTTTCTTTTTCCAGGTTCGAGTGCCTCGGCTTGCTTGGGCGGAATGGTGCTGGAAAGTCCAGCACCTTTTACATGATCGTGGGCATGAAAGCGATCACGGTGGGCAGCATTCACATCAAGGGCTACAGCTTGAAGAAGCGTCCTAAGGATGGCATGCGACACGTGGGCTTCTGCCCGCGGGAAGAGATGCTCTCGTCGTACATGACTGGCAGGGAGACGTTGCGCTTCTGGTGCCTGGTGAACGGCCTCCGACGAAGTCACATCGGGGCAGTGGTGGCGACGATGGGCGATTGCTTTGGACTCACCCAGCACATAGATAACCGTATCAGCACCTACAGCAACGGCACCAAGCGGAAGCTGATGATTGCCATGGCCACCCTGGCGCCGACGTTGATATGCCTCGATGAGCCCACCGCCGGCGTGGACATGCATGCCAAGTACGATATCTGGCAGATCCTGGAAAGCATCCGACAGGCCGGCCGGGCCATCCTGCTCACCACGCACAGCATGGAGGAGTGCGAGTTTCTGTGCACCAATGTGGGCATCATGGATCGCGGCTCGTTGCTCTGCTACGGATCCTTGGCGCGCCTCAAGTACCGCTTCGACAAGGGCATCTTCGTAAAGGTGAAAGTGGGCACCGCAGCAGAAATGGACCATGTGAAGAAAGAACGGGAACGGATTACCATGGTTGACTCAAGTGAGACTGAAAGTGCAAGCACGCTGGGTTCTCTACGGAGGTCGGTGGCGCACTTGGATAGACTTAGTAGATCCCGAACAGAAATATTCAGGAAGACGGAACCCATCAGAGAATTAGAACCAGTGGCAGAGGCCGCAAGCGAATCAGACATCAGGGAGGACTATGATATCCTGCTTCAACGATTGGAGGAAGTTTTCAAAAAGGATCATCCCTATAGCAGCGTGAGGTATGTGTTCATCTCTATGGAATATCTTGGAGCAACGAAAAACTTTGAGTTCAATTTAAGACATAATCATCGTTGTTATAGTTTGTTTTAAAATACGACAACTCAGCTCTACAGTAGCAATTATTTTGGTTTTAAAATATAATTGCAAATGTTAGGTGACTACATGTAAAGTAGCTGTCTAAGCTACAAACATAAATATATCCTGCATCCGATATCATGCTCGAATTCATACTATTTCTCTTGCAAACGTAAAAATGTTCCCTTTTCAAAATAAGGATGAAAGGTGTGAATTTTTAAATGAGCTGCTATGACTGTTATTATTCATATTTGTTAGATTTAACGTAAATCATCACCAATGAACTATTTTTTTTGCAATGGCATATTAACAGATAAACAATAATCTTCATATACGTTGTTCCAGGAATTCCCGCAATTTTCCGATTACACGAATAAAATAGTCTTAAATGGAGTTCGCACTTTAGTAAAATCGAAGTCACAGAGTATATTTAACTAAAATAATTCAAAAAGAAATCTACCTTCAGCCTACAAAATTAAGACCCTTTTAAATAGTTGACTAGAAAATGTGTACATTTTTCCTTCGATCTTTGAAAAATATCAACTGATCTTTCTCAAATTTATTTATTATCAAAATGTTAAGGTCCCACCAAAATATGATTAAAGGCATACTTGGAATAACTTTGTTGGACAAAACGAGTTTTAGGGTTTGTTATTGGCTTCAAAGATTATGACTGTACTGTTGCAATCAATTAAATAATTATTTGTAACTGACATTACGTGTCGCAGGAGTAATTTTTAATAAAACTTAAAAAAAAGGCATCTGCTATCTTTCAAACAATTTTCACTTCTCTTTTCCCCCAGCGAGAAGTACGCCTACCGGGGAATTATTACCTTCTGCATTCCAAAAGAGAAAATCAAGTGGTCCGGAATATTTTACTACATGGAAAACTTAAAAACAGAAATGCAGATTTTGTACTACTCTGTCAGTCATACAACTTTTGAAGATGTGTTCATGGAATTTGTCAGGAAGCACAATCAATAGAATAGCAATCCCTTTATGAATCATAAAAACTTATATTAACCTGCCGAATGGCACCTTATCGTATAGTACTGACTGGGCCTTCAAATAGTCACATATGTATTTATCTGTGAAAGCTTTGGCTACCAAATGCTAACAAATCGCATAATTAATCAGTTGGAGTTGCAAAAAGAGAAAAAATAAATCAAGCGAATTTACCAAGTCATCAGCCGTCATTTTCGGATTATTGATACTCTTTTACGGGAGCAACTAGTGAAAATTTATGAATATATTTTGTAGATTTGCGTACGAATAAATATTTAACAAAAAAGTGGTGTTTTTAACCTACAAGTAAGCTCGTATTATAAAATAAAACCAGTTGGTAACCAAGAGTAAACAGAAGTCGCTCAGAGTCTAACTATTATTTTCCGTCGCTTTGTGTTCTTTCGTCAGAAAGTTAGCCAAAAATGTGTGTCATCCGATTCTATTGGTACTTTGAACTCTCGATCAGAAAACTTTCCACAAACAAGACAACCGTGGGCAAGTTCTATTAACGATGTTTCGACATATTTTAATTGGCGTTTGTTTACAGACAAACCCATTTAATGACCCATGCCTTTTCCAATTTTAAGCAATTTGTTGTCTCCTACCCTCAATTAGACTTTGTGCCCGCATGGCGCAATAGTCAATTGGCAAAGGTAAGCGCACAAAGTTATGCGATTCGTTCCAAAATAGATTTTTCATCGAGTACGCAATGTGGGGAGAGCCTTGGACACCCTTGTTAGCTGATAGCGTACGAATTTGCTTATCGAAGCAAATTCTCAGCTCGCCGTGATTTCTGGGAAGCATAAATAAAAGCCCCTCAAAGTCATTCTAAAATCCGAGCTTCATGTTTCCAAAACAAAAACGCCTGCTTTTTCAATCACATTTTGTAGAACAGTTGTTTTTTTAATGGTCAGCCGTTTGTTTTTACAAATGCTTGCATATAACATACATATAAATTGATTGTGACACGACAGACATACATGTGTAAATGTTTCTATAGTATATTTGCGTAATCTAGAGGTATATAAGTAAACACAATTCACAATGTTGGGCCATGCTTTAATTAATGCTTTAAATAATTAGTAGCTATTTATAGGGGTGCTCACTGTAGCGTATATATAAAACCCTGACCTAGCGCTTTATTATGTATATGAAAGATGATGGCATTTGTGTAAATATCGAATAACTGAGTAAACACATTAAATTAAGTTTAAAAGGTAGGAATATAAATATCGCAATAAAATTAAGTATATAATTAAATCAATAATTTATGTAAGGCATCGTGGCTGCCAATGCCCCACATGGAAAAGTAATCGGCCAACACGATTCAAAGTAATTATTGTCGCTTTCAAAAGTCTGCTGAGGTAAAATGATTCTTTTTAGATATAATTGTAAAAACATTTCACTATTCCTACGAGGTCACTTAATGACCAGCTTGTGAACATTTGCAACACGGCTAGTAACTAATAATTATCGTTGTTTATATGTATATGGAAGACTCTGTTTTGGTCGCTCTGTATGCAAGTTTTGTTCACACAGGTATACAAAAAGGTCACATAGTTATGCACTTTTAGGTACGACATCTGTAACAGGACTAAGCTTATACCGTGTTTGTATAGCCGACGCCTCCTGGAACTTCTTTTTTGTTAATAAATAAATTACTCTAAATTTTAACCGGTCGGAACTACTGCTGAGTGAGCTTGGTGAGCGTTTCGTCCTGAGCCAAATTGTTTCGTTGTTCTGCTTGACGCCGCCAGCGACGAGACAACACGGGTGCGAATAGGTCGTAGTCCAGTTGCTTCTGATACTTGTCCAAGTAGATTTCTGTGTTTTCTGCCTTTCCAAAGTGCGCCAGCACAATACTACTGCCATAACCGACCACCACAGCGATAAGAAAGCCGATCACACTTAACCACAAATAGGAAATTCGATATAACCAGAAATAGTGCGGTTCGATGACCACTGGACTGCTATTAGCGTTGAGTTCAATGGCATGTGCTAAGAGTGCGGTGGCATTGCTACAGCCAGACGTGCTGAAATCCAGGGTAACGGGCTTTGGTTTTGGTCCGCCAAAACCCATCCAGAACGACACCATCAGTGAAGCAAGGAACCCTAGCAGCACACCACGTTGATTGGTGCGGGTAGTGCAGACGCCCAGGGTGAAGACGGCCAGAAGCGGGCCGCCCACAACTCCGAAAATGGTGAGCGAGGCCTGAAGGACTCCACCAAGGGAGCCTGCCACAAACGCCAGCCCGATGCAGAGCAGGCCAAAGATGCAGGCCACAACTTTTGTGGGCAACGTAGACTTGGAGTCGACGAGCGTACGCTTAAATATCGTCTTGTACAATGGCTTCAGGTAATCCTCCAGCGTTACTGCCGAGAGTGAGGTAACAGCCGACGAAATCGTAGAGAGACTGGCGGAGAATATCCCAGACACAAAGAGACCGCACAATCCAGGGTATTGACCTACCAGGAAAAAAAAACACAAATAAGACAAAGTTTTCAGGGATTTCCCCAAAACTCACCCATAGTGTCCAGTGCGAACAGCGGCATAACCTGATCCCGCTTCTCGATGCGTCCTTCTAGCACCGGATCACAGTCGCGATAGTAGTAGAATATAGCCAGACCACTGAAGATGGTGCTGAAGCTAAGCATTCCTAGGATAGGCAAGTTCCACCAAAGCGCCGACTGAGCGCTTTTCAAATTGCGGACACTCAGCAGCCGCTGGACTTGTGTCTGATTGACACCGTAGAGAGAAAGGTAGGTGACCATGCCGCCAATGATGAGTGACCACCAAGTGTGCCTAGCGGTGGGATCCAAGGAGAAGTCATCGAACTGCACACGGCCTCGCTCCACCGCCACCTCCCAGATGGCCGCGAATCCTCCTGCTTTTATGGCCGAGACAAAAATCACCGCATAGATGGCAGCAAACATGAGGAAGGACTGAAACACATCCGTAATGAGCACTGCCTTAAGGCCGCCCAGAGTGGAGTAAAAAGTGCACACCAGTCCGATGACTACGATGGCCCATGACCGTGGAATACCAGTCACAGCCTCCAAGGCGAGAGCCGGAGCATAGAGGGCAATGCCCATGTAAAGAATCATTTGCACGGTGAAGGCGAGCGAGGCCGACAGCCGGGTGGCCTGGCCGAAGCGCCGCTCCAGGTACTCGTACACGCTGGTGGTCCGCATCCTGTAGAACACCGGCAGGAAGAGGTAGGCGGCAATGGGCGTGCTCAGCACGTAAGCAATGTTGATTACGCAGAACATTGTGCCGAACTCGTAGGACTCGTTGGACACCCCCATCAGGGAAATGGCGGACATAAAGCTGGCCATCAGGCTGAAGGAGACTGGAAAGGTGGTCATGCTCTGGTCCGCCATCAGGTACTCCTGCGTGGTCTTCTGCTTGCCGCCCGTGTAGCGGTAGTAGATGCCGATCAGGGCCGATATGACCAGGATGCTGATCAGGACAGCCGTATCCCAGGCGTCGAACGTTCCCACGGGCATGTTGATGATACTAGGGCTCTCCGCTTATCACAGAACGGAGGTCGACGTCCGTCACCGACTGAATTGATTTTTCACAAACGTCACAACCAGCGATTGACCGCCCGACACAATGACCTTTCCCGCAGTCAGCGTTTTCTAAAGTGAGCGCAAGTGCAGGGCAACGGGCAAAAACAACACACGCGTGCTTTCGAAATCACTCCGCTGGAATACGAAACGTTCTAGCGAAAGCTTCGGCCGTTAAATAACTGATCAGCTGCAGGGCGAGAGTTACCTTGCCCGTTGTGTTTAAATATACCAGCACATCAACAATACTTAAATACGGTAACATTTGTGGGCTGCCAGACTTGGTTATGTTCAGGGGTGTCACAGAAAACTCCGACGGATTTGGGGACGGTGTTTTAAAATTCAACCAAAATGCCAGAGATTACATTAAAGGATAGATTTCTATTCGACTTCCATTGGCAATAAATTTAATTCCAGTTTTATAAATAAATCATAAAATATATAATATAACAACAGAGCACCAAAGCGGATATTATGTGAAAACTAAAAACGTAATTTAATTTAAAATTAAAAATAAAAAGAATTTACTACATAAATATAACTATGTGAACATAACTAAGTATTTGTTAAAATCATCGGTTAAGGCTAATATCTCAGTTTTCAATATCTCAGTAAAACAGGCGCGGAATACCTTTAATATATTCAAGCGTTGTGGCAACGACGTGCCGCTATGGTCACATTTAATTTTCCCGCTCACTGTTTTTGTCAATTGGTTTTTGTTTACATCCAGAAAAATGGAGTTCATGGAGGTGGATGAGAATACTCCGCAGCTGTAAGTGCCCCTGCTTTCATTCCAAAGAACTTCTTACCCCTGATTTGGCGTACTTCATTTATTAGCTACGTACGCACGCCGGAGGACGTAAAGGCCATAGTGAAACACGCCAAACTGGACGAGCGCCAACTGACCCAACTCACCCAGGCTCTGTACTTCCCCTCGGCGGACGTCGACTCCGACAACCTGCGGCTCCTCGAGCTGGACGGGCACATGCTGGAACAGATCCGGGATGGCCAGACGCTCCACTTCAAGGGCGGCCAGAATGAGAAGGTGGTGCTCTGCACTGACGAGCGAACCTACGACGTGAAGGGTGCCGAGATCTCCAACAGCCTGCTTCTAGTGCAGGACCTTAAGTTCGCCGCCGCCACCAGCACTTCGCCACTGAAGAGTCCGCGCACTGGCAACGCGAACGCGTCCCTGGAGCGGAGCCTTAACGACAGCACGGAGGACGAGCTGGAGGTTCCGCGGACGCTAGAGCAGCGACGGGTGCTCAAGGTGTTCCATGAGTACTTCGAGTGCCGCGAGATAAAGCCGCGCTTTCGCAAGCTTGGGGAGCTTCTGCACCTGACTCGCTATTCGGGCCCGGAAAACGAATTCTGCGTCGAGCAAAAGCTGCTCTTCACCTTGTCCCAACTCCTGGACACAGTGCAGTGCAGCAGGGCACAGTTCATGGAGGGATTGAACCACTATCGAGCCATGGAGCTGGACGGACGGATGCGCGTGATGGAGTACGAATACGAGTACCGCATCATTAGCCTGATGCTGGGAGTGATCAGCGAGAACTCCTGGGCTCTGGACGAAGTGGAGAGGGACGAAACCATCGATGCCTTGCAGGGCATCGCTCCTGAGGCTGTTGTGGCCGGGCTCTTCGACCTTTATACCACTCCCAGCGAACGTTGTCCGGGAAAGTTTGAGTACAATGAATCACTGGTTGCCAGAATTGTGGCACAGAACATTCTTCAGCCAGGCTTGCGATTCCGCAACGAGGAATTTATGCGCACATGGCAGGAGGCGTTACCCGAGGGCATGTCCTGCCAGTTAAAGTATCTTCGTGGTCTGGGTATCTGCGACAAGGAGGGAGCTCAGCCTTGCATCCGTTCGCTGGCCGAGGAGCAGCTGCCCACCAACATCAATGATCGCATGAAGGCCTTGTTTAAAACCAAGCAAAGATGGACTATGGAGGAAATGGAGCCATACATAGAGTAAGTTTAAATTAGCCAAGAGGTTTGTTTTTTAAGTTTCCCTTCCAATTCCAGATGCTTTACCACCCCCACCTTGTCCGTATCCACGTTGCTGGCCAAGCATGCCCGTTCATTAACAGATGGCGGTGTGCGATACTTTGTCTCAAAGCATTGAGCGAATCATTCCTAAATGTTTTAACTATTTTATCCTTTATTTAATAAAAATAGTTTTAGTTTGTCCTAGGCATTTCTTTTGCGTTTGTTACGATCCTTTTTGGCCTGCTTCTGCTCTTCTATGGCCGCCTTCATGGTCTCCACGGCACTTTGGGTGTGGCTTGTGGCCAACTGGGTTGCCTCACTGTTGGGATACTTGAAGCTGAATCCTCTGGGGAAGATTGGTTGGGCCAGAAGACTATTAAGCTGGGCTCTTACTGTCTCCACTCGCAAACGATTGCGCCTTCGCTCTATGACAAAGGGATCCTCGTCCTGGTCACTGCCACTATATTTAAAAATTATGAACTGTAGTTATTAAAAAAATGTGCCTTGTTTATTGGTCTTACGATTCATCGTTGTAGCCATCGATGATCATGTCCATTTCTTCGGCATGCTTCTTCATCCAGCCGCGCTCGCTCTGAACGCGCTTAAGTTTCAGTTCCTCCTTGTCTAAGTCCCGCGCAAGATTTACGCGTTCCCTGACAGCGGCGAGGAATCGCTCCGAGATGGGAAAAAGCGGCAGATCCTCAGCTGAAATGATTTGTTTTATGTAAAAAGTCTTACGTTTTGCAAAATCACTCACTTCTTTCCAGTGTTTTGTACAGCTTCACATAGCTTTTTACCTCGCCCGGCTCCATGAACATGACGGTTATGCCGTGCTTATTAGCTCGGGCTGTGCGTCCCGATCTGTGGACGTAGTTCTCACTGGTACGCGGAACTTGGTAGTGAATCACATGCTCCACATTCGGGATGTCCAGGCCTCGCGCCGCCACATCAGTGGCTATCAGCAAACCAGTGGGACTGTCACGGAATCGTTCTAAATTCTTCAGGCGCTGTTTCTGGATCATATTGGCATGGATGGGCAGAGGATTGCAGTCCAGCAGGCCGAACAGCGTGGCCAGTCGCTTGACACAGTCGATGGAATTGCAGAAGACAATGGTGCGACCGGGATGGCGCTGAATAAAGTAGTAAAGATGGAAATCCTTATGATCGATTGGGCACAGCAGACGGCTCTCGGTCAATGTTTGGGCGGTTTCTGCAATGCAACATTGTAAATTGGGCCTATACCATTAGTTTGACTTGGAATACTTACGCTGTGTGCTCGTTATGTCCACAATCTTGGGTTGGGAAATGCCTAGCTCCTCGATGAGGCTCTCAATTTTCTGATCTACTGTTTGCTTCACAAACTTGGGTCGTTTGCCTATATTGCGCTCTGAAAATTAACAATATGATATTAATATCACTTTTACGAATAATGGAGTTTTCAAGTAACATACTTTGCATGTGATCGGGAAGGTCATGAACCAATGTCAGCGTAGCCGAATAAACAAAGTTCTGCCGCTGATGCTTCTTTTGTTCGTCCGAGTTAAGAACTTTAAGTAGACTCCTGAGTTCTTCAAAGTGCCCCTTCTCCACCATGCGATCCGTTTCGTCGATGACCAGGAAGCTGACATCCTCAATCTTGCCCAGATGGTGGTTGCCCTGGGCGTAAAGCTCCCAGAGACGACCAGGTGTGGCCACAACGATTTCTGGGCACTGTCGTAGAACTCGTTCCTGTTTCGCTACGGCAAGGCCACCAAAAATGGCTGCTACTCGAATGCCCGTGTACTTGGCAGCCGATACGAGATGATTCTTGACCTGTACAGCCAACTCCCTGGTGGGTGTGAGCACCAAGCCGTACAAGGGGGTCTGCTTGCGCTGAGCATGATCCTCGGCATCGCTTTCCTCATCACTGGCTCCGGAAACATGATCTAGTTCTTCCGGCGGAGGCGTCAACTCGTGTTCATCGGCCGCTGGTTCGGGCTGCTGTCCCTTCACCTTGGGCGCCTTTCGTATGCCAGAAAGGACGTTCCTTTGCATCAGCTCCAAGATTCCGGCCAGCATAGGAATGCCAAAGGCCAGGGTCTTTCCGCTGCCCGTCTCCGCTGCTCCGAGGATATCCTTTTTGCCGTGGATGGCAGCGGGTAGAGTCAAAGCCTGGATTTGAGTGGGTGTCTTGAAGCCCTGTTCGCCGAGGGCACGCAGGATGGGAGCAGGCACTCCCAGGCCGTTCCAGGCGGAGACATCTTCCGCTTCCACTGTGGGGATTGGTACTAGTTGTGGAGCCTCCTCGTCACTGGATTCCTGTTGGTTCTCCGAATCTTCCGTCTCGGCAATATCTTCTTTATCATCCGAAGGGGGTGGTCTGAGCAGTGCAAAACGATCTGCCGCATATTCTTCATTGGAATCCTCGCTGTTATCGTTTTCATTGCCCTTTGATTTTTTCTGTTTGCGAAGCTCCTTTCGCTTCTCTCGTTTCTCACGTAGTTTCTGCATTTTTTGGGCATGCCTCTCGGCTAGACGAGCTTTTTTACTGGCCTTGGCAGTGGCCACCACTTCATCCTCGCTTTCCGATTCACTGGAACTCTCGCTGGAGTCCTCCTCTCCGCTTTTGGACACCTTCCTCTTTTTCTTCTTTAGCTTGCGCTCCCTAGGGGGATTCCGGGAACTAACTCTTTTCTGCGTGGACTTAACCAGGCTTGCATCGTAATCTTTGAGGACCTCCAGACCAATTAACCCCTCGTAGCCTCCACAATCATCGGATATCACGTGGCCCTTGATTTTGACCTTTTGCCAGCTTTCTGCCTTGGAAACTCCATCCTCCTTGGCAGCGCTTTTCACTGCCTTTGGGGGCTTTGGTAACTTAGCGGTTTTCTGTTTATTCTGGACCATAGTTAGAGTATTTAATTATTTAAAAGTTGAATTTAACTGCAGCCCGCCGACCGCGTGTTTAGTGCTGCTTCTTCTTGCCACTGTTTGTTGACATGCACAGCTGTTCGGTGTTGGGCAGTACCAGCTCTTCAGTGTTGCACAATGCCGAACTACAAGCTCGAGCTTTGGCGGTTATTTGAATGTTAAATTCGCCTCCACTTTAAAATTATTTTAAAAATTTAAAATTTAGAATGCATTTTTTTACCAATTCACTTAGTTTTTTTATTACAAATTATTGTTTAAAATAAATGCACAAAAGATTCGTATTTTTTATTTCGGTGTGCAATAATTAAAAACGTAGAGTGAATAAAAAAGGTTCCATTTATATTTAAGTTTTTACCCATAAATAAATTCAATTGTTTTGAATCAATTTTTTTTCGAATTTAAAAATTCTAATGCATTCTATATAATACGAATAAGATCGTATTTTCAGACTTCCAGTTATCATTAATTCAAAGAGCATTCCGTTTTTGTGTGGTTTTTATTTATTGTGTGGTTTATCTATACAAATCAAGTTGAATTCGTTTAACATTCTGCTCGCTCTAAATTAAAAAACAGTTGGCTTGTAGTTGGATTACTGCTCGCCAGTCACGCCCAGCTTCTTTTTCAGCGACTCGGGCATTTCTGGTGGTGGTGGGCGTGGCATGCGCAGGGCCACCTTGACGGCGTCGTAGATGAACCACTGGGCGGCAGTCAGTGTGCCGATCATCACGATCCTGGGCACCAGACCGCCCCAGAGTCCTGAAATAAGAAAGACTTTGAGATGAAAAAGCCACAGGCAATCCCGAAGCCATTACTCACCAGACCAACCCAGCTGCTTGGCCACGTCCAAAGCGGAGGCTCCCTTGGCCTGGTTCAGCTTGGAGACCACTGTGTCCGCAGGATGCGAGACAATGGCGCAGAACACGCCGGCGATGTAGCCGGCGGCGAAGGTCACCACCAGCTGCTCGCCCTTGGTGCAATCGGCACGGGGCTTGGGCACCACGTACTTGTAGAGCAGCTCCAGCGTCCGCTCAAAGCAGGCGAACTTCATCATGGTGTATGGGATCTGGCGCATCCAGAGTGGCACCAGGCCCTTGTAGAAGGCGGTCACGCCCTCCTGGGCAGTCATCTTGGGCAGGGCCTCGCGCAGCGTCTTGGCGAATCCGGGCGTGGTCTGGATCTTGACCTTGGCCGCCTCCATGGGCGCCAGTGCGATGTCGGCAAAGAATTCGGCGGAGGCCGAGGCGGCCAGGTAGAGTCCGGTTCTGTACAGGAATGCGTTCTCCTCGCCGATAGCATCGCCGTAGATCTTCTTGAAGACCTCGTACAGGCCGAACTTGCACAGACCCTGCATCGAGTATCCGATGAAGGTGGGGGCCCAGCCCTTGGCCAGTCCTCGGACGCCCTCCTCCGCCATACTTATGCGGAAGCCGGTGAACACGCTCTTGTATTTGGCCGGGTCCACCTGCAGGCGACACTTGACCAAGTCCAGCGGCACCACCATGGTGTGTGTGGAGCCGCACGAGATGATGCCGCCCAGGCCGCACAGCAGGAAGTAGTGGTTGGAGCCGAATTCGCAGGAGTCTGGGGTGTATCAGAATAGGACACAGAAATTGATTAATCTGGTTTTTCAGTTACAGAAAATATGTTTAAGTTAAGGAAATGATATGGATCTTAATGTATTCAAATACATAAAACAACAACTTGGGTCTTCGGCTTTCTTTAAAAAAAAGCCTGGAAATAATATAATATTAAATATATTTAATGATTTTCTTAAGCTCTAGTTTTTTTTTGATTATTTTTGTAATAACTTAAAAACATTTTTAAAATTGGTAAGCAACTGCAGTATTCCAATTTTATTTCTTTTTGCTAATTTAATTTTACGGTCTACCAACCCAATCTTTTAAAAGTTTAGTTTAATCATTTATTTGTGGTCAGCCAAAAAACAGAAAAAATTAATACAATCTGCTTGGGTATTAAATGGGTATTTTGGAATGAAAATGTTTGTATTTTGTTCGTAGAGAATGAATAAATCGGAAACGATCCACAACCGAACTTTAATATCATAAATATAACTTCATGTTCGAACTTAAGTTGGTCTTCCTCAATGCTTAGTATATATTTAAATAATTGGACCGATGAGGAATTTTCCAGGTCGTCATTCTACTTACCACCCTCGATAGCAGCAGCGGCGGCGATGTTGTGGTTGGGGGTCAACTGGCGTGGAGTGACATCCTTGAGGGCGGGGGTCACCACAGCGGAGGATGTGGGGGCGGAGGCAGGCGTGGCAGCCTGGCAGTTGACGCTGGTGAATGGCGACTTGAACGTTGAGTTCTGCGCGGCATCGAAGAGGGACTTAAACATGGTGCCTTCTCTTCTAGAAAACAAAAGATTCAAGAATTTAAAAAGCATTAAGGTTAAGGTCATGATGTAACCGAATTGGTTTCAAAAACATCTACCTCTAAAAAATATATTTAGGTGTATCTTAGTATCCTCTTCATATTGAATAAACAAATGTTTATTTAATACTTATGCAAATCTTTTGTTCAAAGTTCATAAGCCAAAAATAATATATAGTTTTTTTTGTGAATTTTCTATTAGCTTTGTAATGCCTGCCTTATTCATTAAAATCTACCACTCAAAATAACATTAACGTTTATAATAGACCGTTATTTTTGTATCATATCCTCTTTAGTAAATCAAATGTTTCTGCTTTTAAATAGTGCTTGCTTATAGTTGCACTTAGATTCCCAAACAATATCCCTTATTCTCAAATTAAGATTTTATAGATGCAATGATTTTTACATAACTATTGTTTTTTCTTGTTCGCCAAATACTTTTTATGCATTGCGTAATAGTTCCCTCTCAGTACGTATCAGATCACTTTGTAAAAATTTCGAAAACATTTGCGAACAAAACGGTTTAAGGTAAACGAAACGGATCACTCACTTTATAGTGCAGGGGATCGAAGGAAGTGAAGTGCAGATAGACCAGAAATATGGTTGAAGTATAGAGTTGTTGTTGGGCTGAAATGTTGGGACCCAAAACAACGTTCGTCGTGCGCCAGACCAGAAAACCAAATGCAATGGCTGCAATGGAAAAGTGAGAGCTAGCAGCTTCTGTTCAGGGTTGTCAAGTGTGTCCAAAACGAACCGGTTGCTAACGGTTTAGTATCGGGTAAAAAACGAATATACAAATACAATAGGAAAACTATGTAATTAAACAGTCTTTTAGTCAGCTTCGAATATATTTCCTTTAAAAAGCACCTGACAACCCCTAGCCAGACATTGTTATTTTTAAATTGGCAGTTTTTGGCCACTACCACCAGCTGAGAAATTGCCCATTGAGCAGCGTCTGCCTTGCTTATAAACTGTATATGTGTAAAAATAAATTCATTAACGTTCGGCCAGCTGATCGGAGGACGAGAAGTTGGCAACTCAATCGATTCATCGGATCGCTCTGGATCAAGGTTAAGATCTTGTGATTTCTTGCAAAATTTAAACATTTTATTTGAAACGTACATTGCTATTATAGATGTGTAGTACTAAAATCGGTAGTTAGTAACTTTGTGTACTTAGGATCTATTACAAAAAACGGTATACGACGTAGTATCTTACAATCAGACAAGTAAGTACATTTCTGTTGTTGGTGCTTATAAAATAAATGCTAAAAATATCGGAAGTATATAGGTGCACATAATATAGTAATACTTTTTGCAATAAATTACACTAAAATACAATACAATACATCGATCAAAAATGGCAGAAACAATGTCATCACTTAATAGTTGGTGTTAGACCCGTACTCAGAGGCCCTAATAGATACAGATGGGCCGGAACTGGAGTCCATCGCGAGCTGCCTAAGGCCATAGCATGTCTGGAATGCGGACCCTCAATCTGGACTGGCGGCAGTTGAACTGCCCGTTTGGAAACTTACATAACTAAATTGGCAAACAAGCGGACATCTTACGCTCTAAAACTTAACAACGCTATGTGGACTACGATTCGGCAGTTTCCATATGCCGGTGCACCGTGACGGGAGCCAGGATGTAGTGTGGCCGGGACTCATCCCCCTCGAGGGGCAACGTGGTCTGCCCGTAGACACCACCCACACCTGCTGGCGGTCCGCGACATGGCGAGGGCGTCGCCTGCACCTGCTTGTAGCGCTCCGTCTTCGAGGTCGGCTGATTACTCAAGTACGGATGCGTGTTGGGCTGCGTGGAGGACTGCTGCCGATTCGTGGGACTCGATATGGAGGTGGATATGGACATGGTGTCCGACTTGCTGTGCCGCTTGTCGTGCAGCAGGAGAGGTTCCGCCAGCGTGAAGCATTGCTGGTCGGAGCTGTCCTCGTGCGGCGTCATCGTGCTGTAGCCATGGTCCGACTCCCCGTTGGGAGGCCGGCGGTAGCTACTGCCGCTGGAAACATGGTACGGCGAGATATCCGCCGGATGCATGAGCTGCCGTTGTGCAGATGCGTGGTCATAGCCTCCACCTAGAGGCGGTTCATCATGCGCCTTGCAATCGTCAAAGTTGAATCGGGACAACGGAAGACCGTAGTTCTCCTCCTGCACCGAATCCACATAGAATTGTTCCTGCGTCTGGGCATCCAGATTGTGCCTGTAGCAGTAAATGGCAAACCCTATTACCATGGCGAGCACCACAATGGCTCCTCCCAGCGGCCCAAAGGCGGAGTAGGCGTGCTGCTCCCTCTGTGGATTGTGAGCAGCCAGCAGTTCCAGCTCGTCCAGTTCGCCATAGGGCGTGAGGGATGCAAGCACTCCATTGAAGCAGCTTGCCTGCGACGAACAGAAGGCGGTGGAAAAACTGTTTCCGTCTACATCCTGCTGACACCATTCGCAGCCCATAACTCCGAGGCATTCCCGTTGCGTGGAGTACGTTTCACAGGTGCCTGCAGATCCGGGACAACTGGGCAGGGCACTGAGTAGCTGTGTGGTCGGTGGCAGTGCAATAAAATGCTCACTTGGTGGAGGACAGTAGGGGAACTGTTGCGTGTAATTGGCAAAGTAGACGAGAGAGGATGGCGAGCTGCTGTCCCCCACCATGGGACACTCACATGGGCACTCGCAGTCCGTTTGATCCATTCGCTTGCAGTTGAGGCACTCCCGGTCAATTGTGCTGCATGGACAAAAGGCTCCGCCATCGCAACTGGAGTTAAGTACGGCAGCAAAGAGGTTGCTACCCCGTATCAGAGCAATCGCGTACTTGGTTCGTTCGCCGTGCACTACGTTGCCCAGGATGGTGGTTAGTGATGTGTTGAATGCGTAGTAACGCTGCAGAGTACGGTTTTGATAACTGGCACAGCCCAGTTTCCTTACCAATTGGCCGTGATTGAGCACGTCGTTGGCCAAGTACGATTCCTTGTGCGTGAGGTGCTCGTGTGGACGCCGCTGATTTCTTGTGGGCGTGGCGGGTTGCAACATGCTGGGATGGGCCAGCAGATATCCTTCGTGCTCGAACAGCAGACACTTCATATGCGGCAACTGGCAGATCGGAGTGCCTTCCAGGATCAGACGATAGTAGAAGGCATAAGGAACGTCCAGAGCCACCACTGCCACTGGTCTGTCCTGCTGGACGGAGTGCAGCGCATGGGCCTTGCCCTCAAAGATGGTGTGTGCAATGGTAATAATGTATCCCGCTCCTCCTGCATCCAAATACGGAGCTGTGCTTACAATCTTGCCAGGCTGGGCCATTGCCTGTCGAAACCAAGGTCTCCGAGTTGGATCGTAGCTACTGCTAAGTAGGCATCCTGGGTACAGCTGCAGCACGCCACTCACACTGGCCATGTACCGTCGGATGATGTAGCTACGCAATGATCCTCTTGCATCCTGGTGCCGCCGTCGTAACTGCTGCATCGCCTGGTAGAGCACACTCACCTCATGCCGTATGCTGGGACGCAGCCCCATATTGGCCAGAAGGCCACTGGAGTCGCGAAGATAGGCCATTATTGACTCCACATGCCGCAGTTGGGTTCGAGGCCTATTGTTGTGCAGGAATCCGAACGGAGACTCGAAGGCGGCAGCACTGAGGAACAAAGTGGGAGCATCTGCAAGAAAATAAGGTGGACATTTAAATATATTTTAAAGTCCCCTATCGCTATCTATAAAACATACCCATTGTGGCCATTTGCCTGAAGTAGCGACAGATCTTGGGTTGGACGCTGCCGCCCTGATTGAGGTCCAAACGATGGTACAGCAAGTCCATGCTCTCCCCGTAGTAGCCAGGCTCGTAGTTGGACACGGTGTCCTTCAGGTTAAATCGTTGCGTGGAGGAAATATTGCGCAGGGTATCACCTCCACTGCTAACCAGGCACAGTACATAAATCCCTAGAACAGACTGCCAGTGGTAGGTACGCTGAAGCCTTTGGCTGCCCACGTAGACATCCGTGGTGGCGTTGCCGCTCTCCTCATGCAGTAGACGCTCCCGTATGAGGCTAGAAAAGTCCGTGGCGTTTTCCAGGTAAGCGATGTTTACCGGGTATGAAGTCTCACGCTGAATGAGTGGCCGAGGAAAGGCCGGGTGGGCTAGCGTGTTTCCTGTTGAGCGATCCAGGAGAAATGCATAGCCACTGCCCTGCTTGGCACTAGATACAGCACTGGGATAGTTAAGCAGATCCTCTAGCAGATCTGCCAGGTACAAGTTTACGCCCACAACCCCATATGATGGAACTGCATGTGTGATAGAGACGAGAACATCTGCAAGAATGAGAACATTTAGTATGTGAATACGTTAAATCCTTTAAAACTTACCTCCGCTTTCTGCGTCGACTACCGGAGGATGCACCTCCAGTGTGTCGCTCAAATATCGCTCTTGAAAGAGCTGCCCAAAGATCCGCGCACTTGTCTGCGGAAGCGACGTCTCGGCGTGCATTTTGCTAAGCACAAAGAAGCGACCAGCCATCTGAGATGCCAGCTGCCCACTTGGCCACCAATTGGCCACATCAATCTCGTACTTGGTGTAATTCTGGGTGGCCACATCGTTAAGGAATTGCTTTTCGTACATAATCCGTTTTTCATCCAGTACCACGGCGCATGTGTTGATGATCACTGGAGCCCTGAGCCGTCGTTGACCCTCTGCCACCACCCGTAGAACTGCCATCGCATCAGATAAATTAGTCAGAAGACCACGCGTAACATAGACAAATTCCACTGGTTGCTCTGCCGTGTTAATCATTCCCGATTGCTGCAGTCGATGGAGCAACCCGAAGGCATACTCAAATCCCAAAGAGTGATTCGTAAAAGCTTGTGCCCGGCTCAGGTTGTTGATGTAGTTTAGTATCTCCTCCTTGTGGGCCCGAGTAGCACTGTAAATTCCGTGGCTAGCCTCGGCGGACGAGGCATCCAGGGACATGAAGTTTGCTTCACTCGAAACGGTAACCAACGAAACTTTATCCGTATCCTCCAGCAGCTGGAGCATCTCATGAACTGCAAATAAGTGTATTAAAATATTTATATGAATTACAATAAAAGTAAATATATTTACCAAAGCTTTTTGTCAGGTCAAACAACTCCGCATTCAGAGCGGATCCCACATCGATGAGAAAGAGCACAAATTTCTGTTTAATGGCCGACACGTAAAGCTTACGGAAGTGCAGGCTAGCGGAGGATCCATCCGAATTGGACAGAAAGTAGATATGCTTGAAGTGGTTGCCGCTGCTAGGCTTGCTACTCGAGTTTTCCGCATCACTGCGACTAAGCCTGCGTTTAAGTTGAACCAATTGATTAGATATGTACCCATTGACAGCCAGGTAACGCGCATTATTTTCATTCAAGAAGGGGGCGCGTGCATCATCCGATTTCAGATAATTAAGGATTTGGATCTGCTGTTTGTTGTAATGAATTGATTGGGTCGACGAAGAGCCGTACTCAACTTCGGCTTCGTAGTCAGGCTGGCAGTTCTCGATTTGGCTATTTAAGTAGAGTGGCATATGCTCGGTGGATGGTGAAGCCGTGTTCCTGGCATGCAGATCTTCCAACTCCATCTCCAGGTCCAGTTCGCTTTCCGACTCCTCATCCTCGTCGTCGTAGCTGTATTGCCTGACCTTGGTGAGGTTGTAGAGAAAGAGTTCGCGCAGTTCCAGAACCAAGTGGGTTGCCTTCTGCAGCTTCTTGCTCAGACGACTGCTGAACAACTGCAAATCCCTCTCCAGCTGGGGATTGGGCTGGTTGTTGCTGTCGTTTGTCGGGACTTGGCGAGCGGGAGGCACTCCATTGGAGCTGCTAAGGTGCATCGAGTCGAAGATTTCCTGCAAGGATTGGGGATTTGAAATCTGACTTTACCAACGCATAAGAATAGATAACACCCACCTGAATCTTGGCCACCCTCATCTCCATGTTGCGAATGTTGCGCAGCTTCCCCTCCATGCTGTGCCGCAACTGCATGGCATTCTGCTGGTTGTGGTTCACGAAAAAGGCGCTCGCTGGCGACTGCTGCAGGGGCATGAAGCCAGGATCAGTAGGCACTTGGTTGCTAGTTAAGTTGGCTAAGGCCAGAGGAACTTGTTGACTGCTAGTTGGGCACGCCAGCACTGCCAGGATGAGCAGCGCGGCGTGGAGGCGGCAGCTGGGCCACATGGTTTTTGGGTTTCCTGTGGGCTCCGTGGCCACTGGCGCATAATAGGCAGTTTACCGCATGTCTGGAAGGCAGGGAAAGGGTTGAGTGGGGGGTTCATTCCTCCGGATTTCTATATTACCACCGAGCGCACGCTGAATTGTTTATGGAATTTCGTCACATATAATTTGCTGGTTCGCTAGTGTTAGGCATGACAAGCACGCGCATATTGCTCGCAGACACTGGGACAACACATAATTAACACTTAGGTCCTTGCATTATAATGCTTTAGCTAAATAAATAAAAAAAATTGTCAAATTTTTGTAGTTTTTCTTTACATTCCGTTCGAAGTGTGACCGTGCCTTGTTTAGTGCTTAATGGTAGCGTTAGTTCCTAAAATCCCGCTGACATTGGTGTGGCTGTATATTGCTTAGACTTAAAACACGAAATGCGGTACCCTAAAAGTAACGTGTTTTTAAAACTTTTATTTGTAGTAGCTCTTTTAATGTATTTATATTTCATATATATTTTAATACATTATAATTTAACTATTGAAATACAAAGGCATTCTTAATATTAAACTTACAGGTTGAATCTATTATGATGATTAATCAGTAATCTATCAAATTAGATTACATTTAAGATTATGTAGTGCAAAACTATTCTTATTCCACTTTTATTAATTAAAATCATTTGACTTTCCCTTTCACTTTTTATGACCATTTTTAAGTTGACAAACGTTAGGTAACTTCGGTCAGCAAAACCAAACTTGAGCCTTTGCCAATTATTCGCTCATCCGTTGTCAAGGTTGTAGGCAGTCGATTCTTTTTTATTTTTGTCGGTTAGATACGTGACTATGTAGCCTGAAGATGGAGCAGATGCAGTCCAATTGGTGTCAGACGAACAGGGTGCGTGTCCGGCATGATAAAGAGTGCAATGGATCCGATTGTTCAATATAAAAATGATCGAGTCCCGAGCATTGCACCGCAGTTTCGATTGTAACGTTCGTTAAAATGGTGACAAAGGTATAACTTGTAATTCTATCAACCAAATTTTATGTGAAATTGTAATTATCATTCTTAAAGTTTCTTTTATTGATTGCCTATCTGGCCATTGTGCGTGGTGAATTAGTTTCACCAGTGGGACGTAGGGCACCATATGCCCCAGCTGGTTGGCATCCACGGATTCCGTTTAATTTACCCAACGAGTACGTGCCTCCTATCCGTTCCAGTCAGGGAGTGGAAATCACCAAGGCCCGAGTGGACCAGATCGTTCCAGTGGATAAACCTCAATCGAACTATCTGCCCCCGCAACCACTGGATGTCCCCGAGGAAGAGATCCCGCCCATTTCCCGTCCGGCTAACCAGTATGGTCCTCCTGATCCAGGCTTTAAAATCATCTATCCAGACGATGAGGAGCCAGTGACTCCCAGGGACTCCACCGACAACCAGCAGTCGAAAACCAGAGAGGGCCGATACTTCGTTATCTCTCAGGATAATAAACTGCAGAGAGTTACCTTCAGTTCTCAGCAAAATGACAATGATGAGGATTTCACGGCTCAGTTGAGCTACTCCACTGTGGGACAGCTAAAGGATCCTGTCTATCGCTACAACAATCAGGGACAATTGGAGAGGGTCTTAAAGTAGATACTTGAGGATGCTTTAAAAATGTCTAGATAGATACTTTATAAAGTGCTCAAAGGAATGCAGTGCCTTTCATTCTAAAACCTTATTGAGGGATTTTCAATTACTATCATATAAATTAAATTTTTTATAAATAAATGTTTGCTATATAAAACTGCTAAATTATAATGCATTACAATTAATCCTTAAATGCTAAATGGGCTGAAAAAAAATTAAAACAACTTTTTTAGAGTTATAATAATCTTCAAGTTATTGAGCAATGTTGAAATAAAAACACATTTTGGCCTTTTTTTGACTTTGTTTTATACAAAAATGCTTCTTTATTCATTTAATAATTATTAAATATACACAAAAATCTCATAAGTTCGTTTCACTTTCGAATTTCCATTTTCGTTTAAAAACTAAATACAATCCTTATGCATGTATGTATGAATGCGTTATGGTCATGGTGTGTGTGAGTGGTGTGTTGGTGTGTGTGTGTGCGTAGACTAACACAAAATGAAGGCGCTTAAACAAAACAAAACGGCAAGGGGTTCCAGGCGTAGAGACAGAAAGGGGGTACAATCGGAAGTGAAACGGAAACGGAAAGGAACGCGCCTGTCTATGGCAAAATGGCGGCCGTCCCACTAAGGGGTTGCAGAAGTAGGGATAGACTGACTGCGATCGCTGGCGCTCTGGCTGGATGGGCGTTTAATACTCGGCCAGCGATCCCATGAAGTAGACGAGTATAGCTGCGGGTCGACCCAAGTCGGGAATCCACTCTCCCCCTCTTAATAGCCGTTGAACTTGCCCTGCTGCGCGTTGCTATCGTAGCCACCGCCATTGCGTCCGTTGCCGTTTCCGTTTCCGTTGCCATTGCCATTGCCCACCTGCTCGTACCGGATGGTGGGGCGGTATCCGTTCTGGTCGGCCTCGTACTCCACAATCTGCTTGCGACCGTCGGGGAGCAGGACGTAGTAGCGGCCCACGGCCAGATCCCCGTCCCGGGACTCCATGTGCCCGAAGTCGTTGCCCGACTCGTAGTCCTGCACGTCGTACTTGAACTCGTACTTGGCCGGTCCGTACTGCTCCTCATCCCGCTGTCCGTAGCCGTTGCCGTTGCCATTCCCGTTTCCGCCCTTGAAGATGGCTCCCGTCAGCGCCGGAGCACCGTACTGACCCTGGGGCGGGGCGATGGGGGCGCCGTAGCTGTTGCTGGGCGCTCCGTTGCCGCCGGTCCGCTGGGGAGGCAGGTAGTTGTTCGACGGCGACTGGAAGCCCTGCGTGGGCGGCAGGTAGTTGTTGGACGGCGCCTGGGGCGACTGGTTGGGCGGCAGGTACTGGTTCTGGGGCACTGGCGGTTCCGCATGGGTCCAGGCGGCCAGGCACACGAGCAGCGCAATAGACGTAAAGGCCTGCAAAGGGATATTTGGGTTTCTTAGTACAAGAGGGTAGAGCAAGGACCATTCGAAAGTAGCAACCCATGCCCAAAAACTCTCGTCCAGACAGCAGTCATTCGAAATTTTAAACGCTTTTAGGCACTTTAGTGTGGTTCCCCCTAGTCAGGCAACAACGAAAGTCGCGAGTTCTGATACGCCAGCCATGAGCGACTCGGATGAGACCGCCTGGATCCACTGGTTCTGCAAGCAGCGCGGCAACGAGTTCTTCTGCGAGGTGGACGAGGACTACATCCACGACAAGTTCAACCTCAACTTCCTGGACTCGAACGTGTCGAACTACCGCTGTGCGCTGGAGGTTATCCTCGATCTCAACTCGGGCTCGGCCTCGGATGTGCCCGCCGAGCCGGAACTGGAGGCCAGTGCCGAGAAGCTGTACGGCCTGATCCACGCCCGCTTCATCCTCACCAACCGGGGCATCGACCTGATGCTGGAGAAGTACCAGAAGGGCGCCTTCGGCACGTGTCCGCGCGCCTTCTGCCAGCGCCAGGCGGTGCTGCCCATCGGGCTGAGCGACAATCCCGGCGAGGAGATGGTCCGCATCTACTGCCCCAAGTGCAACGACGTCTACATCCCCAAGGCGGCGCGCCACTCCAACCTGGACGGGGCCTTCTTCGGCACCGGATTCCCCCACATGCTCTTCATGATGTATCCCGATGCGCGGCCCAAGCGGACGAAGCAGAAGTTTGTGCCCAGGTGAGCTCGACCACTGGCCCCCAGTTCCTAATTCTTGAAAGTATTGCAGCACTAAATTTGTTTACCAATTGTGAAATTTATACCGTTTATAAGAGTTTTTAAGCTTGGGTAATGTCTAAAGTCTTAATAGAACTTCAAGTTCATTTAAAATTGGCACATTAAAAAGGATAATAAAACAAGAATTAACTTTTAAGTCCGTTATGTTTACACTAATGGAAAAATGTTTTTCAAAGTATTAACAATTGAAAACTAATATGGTTGTGTTTTTCAGGCTTTATGGCTTCAAGATCCACCAGATGGCCTACCGATCGCCGACTGAGGTCTTCAAAGATCAGACACCATTGATGATGACACCAGTACCAGAAATCGATTCCCCATCCCATCACTGATCCCGAATGCGAAATTTCCCATGTGAAACTGTCTTGTGCTACTGTTTTCGGCTGGTTGGCTTCCAGCTCATTAAACTCTCATAACCATAACTGCTCGGGCTGCGATCCGCTTGACAATCTTTTGTTCGGATTTGATGGCTTGCGAGCAGGCCCAGAATGGGCATTGTCTTTCCCATCTTTACAGCATTTAGCCGGGGCATATGCAAATCTGCGGTAATTGGGTCTCAGTCTCAGGTGAACCTCGGATAGGATTGGATTTGGCTGAGCTGAGCTGAACTGAGCTGGGCTGCAAGTGAAGGGCTGATCTCGCGCTTGCGCAATGCGTCTGAATGTTAAGTATACGCCGTGTGGCGCGGACAACCTGTGGGAGAACCTCTTCGCTGCGGGCTTGCACAACGTATTTCCGAATCTTGTGCAAAAGATCTTCTGCCCGAGTGTTTGGGCACAGGGCCGTCAATGACTTTCATGCTTCATTGGCGTTACAGCGCTACGCTTCGTACTGCCTTTGGCTGCGCTTTTGTCTGCCTTTTTATCGCCGCCTGGTCATCTCCAGACTGCCGTACTTGGGCATGTCCAGTAGTTCTTCTTCCGCCACTTAAAGTTTCTCTAATTTATGCATTGCAAAATGACCCAAGCCTTTCTGTTTGCAACCCGCACCCTAGAAATGTACTGGGATCGCTGGCAGCAATTGTTTCCCAGGCGGATGAGATCGGTGTCGTGTTCTAATTCCGCAACCCAGCCAAAAATAAACAGTAGCTCACTCGACAAATTGATGGCGATCTTAGCCAGATGATGCCGCTTATGCAATTTATTATGCGGATCTCCGCTTGATTAATCGCCCGGCTGAACTTGACTTTTAATATGGCTCAAATATTAATATTTCTTGTCTTCTCTTTCCGATTAGCTACCCAAGTGTGATATGAGACAATCAAGGTTTCATTAGCTTGATGAGTTGTTTAATTGATTGATCGATCTATTGCCAAAAATCGATTTTAAATGAGGGCTATTGATTGGTCGGTAAGAAATATGAATATTAATTTCGAACATGTTTTATCACCTTTGTGATCGAGTTTTAAAGATGAGGAAATAGTTTGATATTTGGTATGCCTTGTAAAAATGATTTAAATAATTTTGTTTTTCAGGAATTAATTAAGAGAAATTGTATCCTTAGGAAAATGGCTAACCTCAACATATACTAATGTTTTTTAATACCGAAATAATATTTTCAGATAAAAAAACTTGATCTTATTAAAAGGATTAAAAAGGGTTTTAACTTCGCTTTAATTTTAATAAAAAGGAAACTAAAATGTTTGCTTTATCGGACTTTTTGATTCACTCCTTCATTAATCTTCAATACTTTTGATATTTGTTATCCGTGAATACACTATTGGCAATCGTGTCCTAATGTTTCCCAAACTGCAAGTACTCCTATTTATCCCGAATAGGTTTTCTAATTGAATCCTTCACTTATGCTGCCCATGTCCTTTTGCGAGGACTCCTTATACACTGCACACCACTTGACACTTGACAGTTCTAGTTGGCTATATTGTATACCTTCATTTTGTGTTGTCACTTGTTTGGGGTTTTGGCACACACGAAATCGGTTTTTGTTAACTTGCTCTGCTGGCTGTGTTCTTCTTGCGAAGATGGTTGACTTGATTGTGATACTGAAACAATTTCGTAGGCCAGTATTTATATTAGAAATGAGCGGCAGCTAACGCTGCGGCGTCGACGTCGGCTTCGAAAAATTGCGCGCCAAAATGTGTTTTTTTTCAGTTTATTTCAGTTTGTTATTTCAATTTTCGGGCAGTCGAAAAAAAGAGTGCCTCTGCCGAACGAGCACTTGAAAACATTACAAAATAATGCAAAGCACACGGAGCGGAGGAAGAGCAGATTGCTCTCAGTGATCGCGAGAAAAGAAGAGGGAAATCGCTTGAGGAGGTTTGTTATAGTAAACTAGTTACTTTGAAATTAAAGCGCCAAACATTTTGACGAGCGGGCTTCGTCTTGTGTTCGGCAAATGAGCGAAGATGAGTGCGGCGACATCCAAACAAATGAGACGAGGGAGTACCGCGCTCCTGCGGCTGCAGGCCATAAACATTTGTTGCCGTTCGTGTAATGGCAGAAACACTTATTTGTAATGGAATTAGTCATGCGGCGGGCAGCGACGCCGGCAGCGGAGCCACAGTCACAGCCAAGTGAGCGGAGGCAGCTGCTCCACGCCACGCATCTTCATCTCGGATCGCAGGCTTCGGTATTCAGTCTTGCGGCAGCACTGGCAGCGGCCGCCTCACTCAAAGCGAAAAACAAAAGACTCAGGCAACGAACTTGCTGCAGGCCCCATGAATTCGGGCAATGCTGCTGCTGCAAATTGTTTCCCCTTAGTTTCCCCTTAGTGCGTGGGAGTTTTCGCTGGGTTTTGTTCGGTTTTGTTTTTCGGCACATTTAATGAGCTGGATTATGCCCCAGAGTTCACAGATGCGGCTGTTTGGATTGGCGTTGACATGGATTCCAGTTGGATAAGCTGCAATTGAGATGTGACCACAGCGAGGGAAACAGCGTTTCAAAACGATTTTCAGATACGTTATCTTGGTGGGAAAGAGACGCTCTGGTGTCAAATATGTAGATTGAAATTAAACTGAACATTAGAGAAGACTTAAATGTAAATTGAAATCACAATTTTAATTTTTCTCTAAAATTATAATGCTATTATTATTTGAAAAGCCAATTCACATTTATGCTATGGTTTTAAGTCACTTTACTTGGATTCATGTTTTCGGTTGAACTTCAGTTGTCAGCGCAGAACAAAAAATAAATGCAGAATATTCTCGTGAAAGTATAGTTTTTTTTTGTTAAAAAGACAATTAATATTGAATGAAGTGTTTGTATAACTAGACAGATAATATAAAGTTGTGGTTCGAGAACCATTAGGGTATGCGGAATTATATTAAACATTACCAAAAATTACGACCTGTTAACAATAATTGTAGCTATGGGATTACCCTAAAATTACCATAAATTATATAATTTTTATGACAAAAAACTGTAGAATGTTCTTAAAAAGTATTAAAAGTATTATTTCATTTTAAAAGACAATTTAATTTGACTATAATTGAATAATAAATCACCATCCAAAAAAGATATATTTGAATCTTTGTATTTTAATGTCTTAAAACAATTGATATATTTTCTTTAATTAATGCAATAACAAAAAGTAATGATTTTAATCATTTTTGACATAACAAAAAAGTTGATATCCTTGATTATTTTAAATGAACATTAAAATTATAAATTTTTATTTCCAGAAAACATATTACATTTTTTATTTTTTGTCAATAGTTTCGAATATTTGTTTATCCCATTAAAGAGTCGATTGCATAACACAAAGAAAACTTGAACTCTTTAAAAATACTTGAACACAATACTTGACGACGGGGAAAAGTAACTCAATATTTTTATTGCCATATTCCATGTTCATTTAAACAGTGGGCGTAGCATCCATCACGATCTGCAAATATTTCTGTGGCCAATTGTCTTTGGCTCATTGATCGAATGCGTAGCAAATGGATTGTTGAATTTTTGCAGGCATTTTGTTATAATGGTCTCCGCTCATTATGCGATTTGGCACGAGCTGACTTTCACATTTGATAATGCCAAGTTTATGAGTTGTAAAATCAAAGGCCAGGCGGTGCCCCGCCCCAAATGAGCTGGAAATTAATGAAAAATGGGAGGAAGGGATGGGAGGATCGGGGGTAGGTTGTGAATAGCTTCCTCTTCCTCGCCGCGAATTCCGCAAAGTGCTTTTCTGCAAGTAATACTCGACCTTGCCACAGAGTACAATAAAAATGAATTAGAAAATAAACCCCAAAAGTTTTGTAATTACCAAGATCATTTGAAGTTATGTTTGCAAATATGCAAACGCGAAAATTAAAGTAAACAAACAAAAACTATAACATCTCATAATGGCTAATATGAATCTTGGATTGTAAACAAAACAATTAAATAAAACTTGGCTTTGCCGCATTCCTTGCTCCACTCCACTCCCGTCTCGGAAACAAAAACTGAAATTCATATTCAATAGCACTCCATGAACAACTTGAAATCTGTTTTCGGTTTTCAGTTTTCAGCGTCCTCTGCTTGTTTTTTTACGTTTGTAATCATTTTTCCAGCACATTAAAAAATCATTTAATTTCCTGCATCGGCTAATTTACATTGAACGTGCCAGACAGAGAGGCCATCTAAATGGATTCGGCGATGGAGAGGGAAACTAATGGCACCCAGCCAGGTGATGATGCGCCAAGTCAAGTCGAAGACAATGACGATTTGTAATTTCTGATGGCTGCTCTAGAGCTCCGAGAGGGGCGGACCTTGAAATACTTACAACTGCCGAATCCGTATCTGTACCTGTATCTGTATCTCCATCCGCAGATCCGTATCTGTGTTTGTTTTGTAACCTAGAATGCCGACGAGTGGAGCGCCAACGTATACTTTAAATTAAACTACGATCATTTCTGATGCAATGCCCCCCAAGACGGACGGACGGAACCGTGGACTGAACCGCGGACAGAATCAATTAAGGCATCTTTTGATGTAAATTGCGCCTCACTTCAAATCATCGAGCCACTCTAGATGATGATCTTTCGAGAGTGACTTTGTGGCTCAGAGTTCTTCGCACGGCGACTGCATTTTTCGCCCGACGCGAAGGTCACTGCCTCTTGCCAGAATCGGAGTAAAAGTCGGTTGACTCACACACGAAATTGCCAAACTTTGACATTTCCAACCGCTTTGAAGCGAACTGAAATTGATGTGAGTAAGCTGGGTGTGGGTGCATCATTAAGGAAGGGATGGATATAAGGAAATGACTGGCTTACAATGTGGCAAGTGTTCTATAATAGATGCGATTTAATGAACCTTAATTCAGTAAGTTACCAATGAGAAAGCTTTAAATATACCAAGTAAATGTTTTAATATTTAATTTTAAAAGCCACGCGTAACTTATATGCATTTAAAAATAGTTATGGTATTTATTAAGTAATTATTAAAAAAATAATCGACCCCTTTTAAATAGATTTTAGGAGTTGACTCAAATATTATTTGTTTAAATTATAAATCCAAGGTTTTTATCACACAAAGCTAATAAATATAGGAATATCGTTAAACTTAATTAAAGACATGTTTGGAACTTTTGAAATGTTTACACTTAAAGTTCAAGAATATGGATTTATTAATTCGTTTGTAAGCCTTCAAAGTTAGATAGTTTTAAAAATAATTAGCTCCCATTGATGCAATATCATAAACCTTAAACTATGCTACAATAGACGCCTTTGTTTGGCACCCAGTTAATGATTATAGAACTCTTTTAAATATCTATGAAAACTTCATTAACAACTTAACAAATAGTCCCGGCAGTTACTGATAACATTCCATTTAGGCAAACTCCAGCACGCGAAGGTCGCAGCTGGGAATCTGCTGCACTCATCCTCCGCGGATCCACTCACCTCTGGCATTTGAGCGATGGACCCGATCTCGATCGCGCTCTGCACTTCAATGGCTGTCATAAAAGACGCATTCACAGTGCACTCCATAAAGCAATTACACTCACACAGCCGACTGGCGCAGTTGGCCAAATTGCCAAATTAGTTGCTGCTAGTGCTCCATTCAGCACTCGGCTCTTGGATCTCAGCACTCCGGATAATTAAAACGTATGCGAAGCAATTAAACTTGAAACAGAACGGTGGGGCAGAGGAAGGCGGCCTAACCACGACACAGACATTCTGATGGGGCTCAATCAGGGGCAGGCAGGGGAGCCCGAGATGATTGATGTGGCACACGCGCACTCAGAAAAATATTGTCTAAACAGTACTACAATCCCCACTACTTTGACTAATTTGAAAGAATTTTATTGTCTGCAAACTAAAAATAAAAGCCAATTTATAGCTGAAAATGTTATTAAGGGGTATTTTCGGATTTCCATAAGTTATACCCTTAAACATAAAATACCTAAATTGTAAATCGACATCTTAATAGTTTTTGAATTACAGCCATTTGAAGAGTAATAACTAGAATCAATAGTTTACATGAAATGGCCGGAACGTCCACAAAAACAAATATTATTTTTTATTAGAGCTACAAAATTGAAAAATGTTTCATAAAATTGAATTTTTACACAGTTTTTGCCATTAATTTGACCAGTAAATGTTGTTCTTATTTTCATGAGTTACGTTTACTTATTCCTTCAGTAACTTTTTCCTAGAGGAACCTTAAACTCTTGGAAAACTTTTTTCCATGTGTATACACACACGTAACAAAAGCAAATAAAAGCTAGTGACTAAACATTGCATTTTGTGGGCGATGAGAGCATGGGTCCTGTGATTTATTTACGGTCCCAGCGGTCATAAAGATTGTTCCCACTGCCAGTCAAGGCAACAAATGATGGTGTTGCAGCTACCGAAAAATTTGCCTTTTGTTCGGGGATTGCCATTGTTACACAACCCCGGATGATTTGGTTTGGGCCACATTAGATGGCCGCAATCCATTGAAGAACGTTCGATGAGTGCGTGCCCCGGCGGAGACTTGTGTTTTTGGGGTTTCTCCTCACCACCAGGTCGCCATGAACGAATGGTCCATTGTCTGTGGCCCTGGAATGCCGCAGATTGCACA